ACGTTGGTGTGCGGAAACACGATTGTGCATGAAACATTCAGTGTGATGACAACCGATTGTCAAAAAATGAAAACAAAATCAGAAATCGTTGCAAATCGTATCGTTTAATAGCCGAAGAAGGCTAAACAAAAAATTCAAAAAGCCTTTTTTTCGTGTTGCAAAGATGATTCGAGATGATTGTTGTTAAGAATTCAATGTTTTGTGCCATTTGGAATTTAGATTCAATTCACTGTTCACTGCTGCAACACCTTTGACGAAAATTTAATAAAAACAATCAAAAAGATTTATTTCTCACTGATTATACGTGTTTGGTGTGTTTTATCACTCTTCAAATGCCCTGTTAGCGGCTTTTTTCCACTGAATTCAAATTTACCTACCGAATAAAAACATTGATGGTAATTCAACATTTTACCTCCAATGAAAAAATTACTTCGGCAATTTGTTATTTTGCCGTACTACTTCTGACAGTTTGCCTACTTCAAATTGTGAGAGCAGAGAATGCAAAGTTCCCAATAAATCCAGACGTAGAACACAAGAGCGTCAACAGATAAGACAGATCGTCAATCGGTTGTAATTTCGAATGCTTGTGTTTCAAATAAAGATAATGATCTTCCATAACTGGATTTTAACTATTTTAATAACAGCTCACCTGCAACGATCAGTCTGCGACTGAGATTCAACTCGAACAGAGCTCATCCTCTGGGATCCGAAACCAAATCAGAATATAAATTAAAAGTTTGTGCAAATTTTACATTCATTTCAAAATGATCCATTTTATTTTGATCGTCAATCATATTTTGAAATTTCACATCGATCTATTTGGCTTAGGCATCAACCAAATGAAAATAGAATGAATTTCAGAATAATCATATTTTTCTCTGTCTATTTCACTCTTTCTTAAAAACTTCAACAGATTACTAAATTATTTTTCCAAATATTTTCAGATTGTTTGATTTTTGTGAGAAAAGAAGACCGGGAAAAATTGAAAAGTTATAGATTGAGTTCGATTCTTTGAATATCTAATACCAATGTGGCATTACTACGGAAATATTCTTTTTTGAAAGCTCATACATGTTTCATATGAGATTTTCAAAAAGATCTTCAAATAGAAACATTTCATAAATTTTACAAAGACAAAATTAATTGGGTGCAGCTCGCCGTTTCTTGGTGTTTTGAAAGTTTAATCCAATTGTATTGATGGTTAAAAAGTGAGAGAATAAGTGAGAAATAATTTTATGCAGTTTTGAATGATGGCAGATAAAATGAAGAAGGCAAATAAGGGGAATATAAATGGTGGATTTGTGCACGAGCCATGCAAGGATGAAAAAGTAAGTAAATGTTATGTGTTTAAGGTTGGCTTATTGAAGTGTGTTTTTTGAACTTAATCTATGCAAATAATGGAATATTTCGAACGATATCGTTTACAAAAAAAGTAAAAAAGTAACAGATAAAAATTTATTCACTTCGAGATTTGCAACTTATCTAAAGAGGAATTGTCATTTAATATTATCTATTGTTACCAATGTCAATTTATGTTTTATTGTCTCTTTCGAAAAACCACGCTCGTCACGCTTGTAAAATGCGTCTTCAATTGAAAATACCGGGATTCAAATGAGGTCTTTTACTCATACACACATGCTTTTAGAATTACGATGCAGAAAACTGTAACTTTTCTCAGAAGCAAATATAATAGATACATAAACAAGCCTCCCAAATCCTCAGCATTGAAATGATGATTGATTAAGTGATTAACTTTCCATCGCTGAATGCAAATTGCAAGCTGAAATTATCGTGCCACCTGCAATAAATCGCATCTGTTGCAGTGAGCTTTAGATCTGTCGCAAACACGTTGACGTCGCATCGGACGACCAATTTTAAATTGTTTGCACAGAGATTATATCGTATTTGAGACATAGATAGTATCATCGTATTTGCACAAATTATTGCTTTTGTCACAGAAATAAAATTACGTCCACAATAAACTCGGTGGTTGATAACATACGGTTTATAGAAATACTATTGTTTTGAAAACACTTTTTCATATTTTCAGACGGTAAAATTCAACACAAGCAAGATAGCACTTGAGTCTGGCATTGACGTCGCAAACCAGAAAGAGCGTCCGACATGGTCAAACAAAACGGAATTTTTGATGTCATGTATCCAAACATCCGTCGGCTTGGGCAATATATGGCGATTCCCATTCACTGCATATGAAAATGGAGGAGGTGCATTCCTCATTCCATATGTGATCGTTTTGTTTATCATTGGAAAGCCCATGTATTACTTGGAAACATTTTTGGGACAGTTCACCAGTCAAAGCTCGATTAAAGTGTGGGAAGTCAATCCAGCGTTTCGAGGTGTTGGAGTGGGTCAAATTATCACTTCGATTTGTGTCATCACCTATTACTCGTCGTTAGGTTCGTTCGATGAATGTAAACCGCTAATTGCGCTGCTAAATTAGTTCACATGCTATTTTAATTTAAAAATTTCAAAAAATTTAGTTGCATTGACCGTGGACTATTTCTTCGCGTCATTTTCATCAAAATTGCCATGGTCCGTATGCCTTCCGGAGTGGGGACCTGGCTGTGTTGATTCCATTTCGAAAGATAATACACAGTTTCTTGCGAATAACACTGAAGTAACAAGTAGCTCTGAAATGTATTTCCTGTAAGTTTGGCTTGATTTGCATTTTGTCCATGACTTTTTTCGAAAATTTTCATGGATTCCAAATCATTTAGATCTCTGCCATTGTTCAATCATAATGTAATTTCCGATTTTCAGAAAAGAGGTTTTAAATCAAAAGATGGACATTTCGGATGGAATCGGGATTCCAAGTTGGCGTTTGGCATTATGCCTGCTTGGCGCATGGGTGATTGTATTCTTGATCATTTCGCGAGGCGTTAAAAGCTCTGGCAAATGCTCGTATTTCCTTGCCTTGTTCCCCTACGTCATAATGCTAGCGCTTTTAATCCGTTCAGTCACACTTGAGGGCGCATCAAAAGGTATTCTCTTCTTTTTAACACCAAAATGGCATGAACTGACAAATCCCAAGGTAAGCCATCATTTGACATTGATTCCTATGTATTAAACTTGTGTGTCTTTGATTATATTGTAACCCCCGAAAACAAAACCTCACCAATCCTTGCTTGAATCCATATATTTTGCATCGTATTTTTGAAAGAAAACTAAAAACTCCTACAGATTCCATCCATTTTTTTTCTCGAAATTCGATAAAAAAAACCATCATATTTAAACGCGGCTTACAGGTTTGGAGTGCAGCCATTCAACAAGCATTCTATTCATTATCGATTGGTTTGTGTCCCCTTGTTGTGCTATCATCATATAATAACTTTCACCATAGTATAAATAGGTGAGTATCATAACTACATTGAACAGTGTGTCTGATCATCAGACAACCGAATCAACATTTTTTTATCATTGTTCATTTGTATGCATCGCAAAACAAACCCCTGTCAAGTTGGCCTGTTATCGTTGACACTAATCACTTTGTGTTTTTTTATGTCAAGACTCTCAACAAAAAATGCAACATCCACTCATGTAGATAAAATAAAAAATCGGACGAATTTGCGTGCATTTTTGTCTCTTTGTGTGTTTATTGTTTGTTTTTCTCTTTGTAAATAAGCTTAAAAACAGTTTTTTCTCTTCCAAAATATGACGTGTGAAATGATTATGAAAAAAAATCGTAAATTCGTAGATCTGGCTTGCTGCGGTCAACCAGTGCTTTTTTTCTCTATCACTAGGATCGGGAACAATTTGTATGTTCTCATCGTATAATCAATTTAATCATAAGACATATCGGTAAGTGTTGAATTCCTCATATTGTACATACAATCATTTGAACAACGCGTAGTCTTACGGTATTTTTCCACTTAATTTCTAATAATTATTAAATTTATTTTGTGTGACTAAATACACTAAAACGAACCTATGACCCTTTCATAATTTTTCATAATTGGTATTCTCACTAACAAAGAAAAGAATTATATATATATTTAATTACTCCATTCTACATGAAACTAAAACAAATGCATGTAAATAACTAAAAGGGTATAACTTAACTATAATCATATCATTACAGAAATACACTGTATTTGACAATACTCTAATTTAACTAACAGTCCAAATTTCATATCGCTGTGGTTTTATTAATCATTCAATCCGTTTTCTTACTACGATTCTAGAGATGTATTGATCGTTACATCATTAGACACATGTACATCCATGATAGCCGGCATTACGATATTTGGTATTTTGGGTAACCTAGCACATAATATGAATATTGATGATATAACCAAAGTAGTCCAGAGTGGAACGGGTCTAGCGTTCATCAGCTATCCGGACGCAATTAGCAAGTTTGAATATCTTCCGCAGGTAGTTGGACCACTTTTAGCAGCACAATTTCGCCATCAAAGAAGTATTTCGATCAATTTTTCATTCGTTCCTATTTGACAGGCGTTTGCTGTACTATTCTTCTTCATGTTGTTCGTCTTGGGCATTGGTTCAGTGGTAGCTTTGCAAAACGTTGTGGTGACTGTGCTGTGCGATCAATTCCCAAGTTTAAAATATGGCCGTGTAGCCGCTGTTACATCAGTACTTGGATTCTTCTCTGGCCTTGTGTACCTCACACCGGTGCGTAACAAAAACAATTCTAACGATTGCTTACGATTCAATTTCTTTAATAACATCTATTCGTTTGATTGTTCTCTTTATTTTCACCAGGGCGGTCAATGGATGACAGTGTTGGTAGACAATTTTGGCGGAACTTTGCCACTTTTCGTGCTTGGAATTTTTGAAATTATCGCGATTTTCTATTTCTATGGTTTGGAAAACTTGTGCATTGACATTGAATTTATGACGAAGCGTCGTGTGACGTTCTACTGGCGTTTATGTTGGTTCTTCTTGGCACCAGTCCTCATGTCAATCGTATACATTCATTCAAGCATCACAATGGAACCGTTGAAGTATGCGGGACACGAATATCCAACCAAGTACATCGTTATCGGATGGGGTATCTTTTTGTTTGCAATGATTCAACTACCGATTTGGTTTATCTACCGTTTTGCAAGGAGTCCGTTGCCAGCCTCAAAGGCTATTGTCGATATTTTTCATAGCACTAATTTATGGGGTCCGCGCAAACAAAATGATCGCAATGAATGGCTAAAATATCACGAAGAAGTCAAACAAAGAAGCAGAAATAATGCAAAAGCATCGGGGCACTCAAGATTAGTTAGAGCATTTAACTTAGCCCTTGGGCGATATTAAACGGAAAATATCTAGATGTGATGAACCTTTAACCAAATAACCAACAAAGACAAATATATAATATAATTTTTAGCCACTCTTTTTCATTCAATAAAACATATTACTGAGCATGCAAATAAATTGTTGATTATTGTCATTTTACCTGCTTTGAGCTTGAAACGAACAGAGAAAAATGGTTTTGGGAAAAACAATCATTCGCCAAACATATTGTTCATTTCCGGTTAATTGATATTCAAGCGTTTCAATCCGTGTGAAAAAAACTTGTTTGAAATGAGCATCGATCTCGTGAACAAAACATGATGTAGTATTTACGTCTTGAATAAAAAAGGTAGAATTTGAATAAGTTTTTTTGTTTGACTCCGTAAGCTATAATTTAAATCCCTTCGTTGAACGTTTCCTTAAATATCACATTACCCATCATTATACATAACATGCAAAGTGACTCATTTTTAACGGTGCCTCGTTGTCGTTTCTGTCAAATTTAGTTGAACCATTTCAAATGTAACGTTTTCAAACAATTTCCCCTCATGTATGAATTGTCTAATGCGCCGACTGTCAAATGTCAGACGAAACGTCACATTGTTTCTGTCAGTATTATTTGTTTGTACGCGTAAAATTTTGTGTGATTTGCTTTTTTATGAAATGAATTAAGTGGTAGAATGTTTTAAGCATAAATTTTTGAATCATCAACGATAGGGAAAATAATACAATGGGCGCGAAACCGAAAAACGTGAAAATTTTGACCAAAACGATTCCATTTCGTAAGGATTTCTTCAGAGCAATAAAAGAGCCGAATGAGTCGCCTGAGCAGTGGTTACTTCGAATCAAAAAACTGGCCAAAACATGCTGCTTCGGAGCACATAATGACCAATTCATTGTCAATAAGTTTATTGTGGGGTTGGACTCTGAAATAATTGATTACTTGTGTTCCAACGCTCTAAGCCTTGATATTCAAAGCTCGCTCGAACTCATTCATGTATACGAAAAACAGAAAAATGTCTTAACATTGAACCCAACATCATTTGTCGAAGAAGCAGAACCATTACTCGAACCACCCGAATCGGTATGTTGTGGAATTGTGTGCGCAATGTACACAAAGTACGCCGATGGCGAAACTAATGCAATGAATTTAGATTTTTTCAGAAATGTTGAGGAAATGTGAAGCTTCGGAGTCGGTTGATGATCGAAATCTATCGCACAGCGATGATTCTTATCAATTTGACGATGATAACAGTAGGGACAGCGATTTTATGTGTGAATCTGAGACCAAGAATAAAAAGGGAGTTAAAGAGAAAAAAGTGATCAAAACTAAAATTGAAGCCAAAATTGAAGAAGTGATCGACGAAGATAAAAGTGATGTCAAAACAAAGGAAGCGGTGGCCTTAATAATAGCAAAACCAAAAGGTAGAAAAAAGAATAAACCGCAGAACAAGGAACAGACAAAGAAAATTGAAAGCGAGGCACACAATATAGACGATGCAAAAGCGGATCCAAATGCGCCGAAGAAGAAACGAAAATACAAAAAGAGAGCGGTGAAAGAAAAACAAACGTTCGAATGCGAAATTTGTCACTACAAATGTGCACATCAATGTATGTATAAGCGTATGTCGAAATGTTATGAATTTCAGAAAATATGAGTGAAACACAATTTTTCAGGTCATTTGCGACGTCACAAATTGATTCATCAGAATGAAAAATCCTTTGTGTGTCACATGTGTGGAAAGGCCTTCAATTTGTTTATCAATTTAAATGCACACATTCGACGACATATCGGATACAAGCCACATACTTGTGAAGTATGCCAAGCGTCTTTCTTGGATAAGACTAGATTGAGATTACACATGCGAACTCACACTGGGGAAAGACCATTCTCGTGCCAGTTCTGCGATAAAAGTTTTGCCGATCGATACTACCTGAAAATACACACGAGATTACACGTAAGAATGTGTACAGTCTTTGTTTTAGATGATTCATTTGATTGACCCACATATTTTTTGTTGAATTTTTTAGACGGGCGAGAAGCCGTTCCAATGCGACCAATGTCATAGGACCTTCTCTCAATCGAGCAGCTTATCGGTGCACAAGCGGAAAAACTGTGTAATTGACCAATTACCGTTTGAATAACTGTACAATTCTCCCTGCCATTCGAAGTGGATATCATCAATTATTTTGATTTATAGGTTTATCGATTTTAAAATGTAAAATAATCACACCATGGTTATTCATAAAATTATTGTTCGACCGAAGATTTATACCGTCATAGAAATCCAGAATAAAATATTTCGTTATAAATTTTTTTATTGTTTTTATTGAAATTTTGAAAATATAGGAAGGAAAAGTTGGACCATAGCTCATGCGTGTTCATCAAACACTGTTCAATAGAATCGAATCGATGGATGGCATGTTCGTTTCGACTATTTTTTTTTTATAATTTGAGTATAACTCATGATTTTTTATTCAAACGATGAATACTCGCCAATCGAATACATATTATAAGCAATAAAGACTTATGGTGAAATTGATAGTCTACAGCTTTGCGAGAAAAAAAATTCTATATCTGTTGGATTTTTTGATTCATATTTTTTTGTTTATAAATAAATGGCGAACTTGGCGATTTCGGTGACAGCAATTCTTCAGAATCTTTGAATATCTTTATTGAAATCTCTGCAAAATAGGATCAATTTGATTAGAAAATATTTCGCGACCTCAAATTTTCCATTGAAAATCTTCTACCGTTGAGTTCGAATCCAAATTCCAAGTCGGTGTACTGTGTGATTTCTTCTTCAGAAATGTCACGTTGCTTGTTTTCCAATATCTTCGGCTTCGACTGCCATTCATCCAGATACCGATTCAGTGACATGCTTGATGCAACCAACAAACTTTCCTAGTGTGATTTAATCGTATATTTTATCAGAAACTATATCGTTCAATTGATAGTTTCCCTTTTTTCAAATTACCTTATTCAGAGCCATTGGTGTTGTATCACCCTCCGGCAATGGAATACTAGTAGCAAGCGATAATGCGTCGAGAACTTTTTGCTCCGTAACCGAAACACCTATGCTTGGAATTTTTCCATGGTACTCAAAATTTTCGTGAGGGATCATATTAGAAGTTTAAAGGTAGCAATGGCAGAAATTTTGGGCTCTATGGGGTGATTTAGCCATGGAACAGAAGTCTATGGGCGTCATTCGCTTTTTTTTTGAAACAATCGCAATTTTCGACGCTAAAATCATACAAACTTGTGTAAATTGATACTAGAAATCAATTTTACGTCAAAGATTAGGTGGATATAGAACCATAGTAGGTCACTGTAAGTGTGTTTTCTATGCCATAAATGTGATTTTGTATCAATCTTTCAACCGCTCGATATTTTTATGAAGAAATGTCAATTTTTGACCAAATTTGTAGGAAAATCGATGTTCAAGTGTTGAGAGACCCATATTTTTTGATGAAAAAATTGTAGTTGTCGAAGACGAAAACATCGTAAGAGACCAACATCACTGATGAACAGTTATAAAAGGGTCGTTCTTGATATCAATCCACCAACTTATCAAAACGAAATATGTGGTTCAACTACATTCGTCTCCTAATAAAATCTGATAAAATTTATGTGTAGAATCGTTCATTTTAAAAACTGTAAATGTTACTACAGTGTAATTTATTTCAAATAACCTAAAGTTATGATGATTATGAATTCAGATCCCACGATTCCACTTCATTAAGATAATTTGCGTATTCTCTAAGGTTTATATTGAGTGTAGAGGAAGTTCTATGGAATTCGGTGGAAATAGGATGAAAAATATTCCATTCCTTTCGTTATTCAGATTTTTCTATCGATTCATTTCATTATTTTCTTCCGATAAAACGATTTTTTCTCTAAATGACAATGGGATAAATAGAGCGGATTTGACCTAGAAAGTGATTCAATGGCACTTCCATTACTTGAGAAAGAAATTCAACCGAAATATTTGCCGCGTAATTTTGCCGCTCAAAAAAAAGAAGATCGAGCGCGTGAACCATCATGCATACAATTAATATGCAAAACTGAGAAAGAAGCTACTTTTGCTTCTTTTCTTCACTTGCATTGAAAATCGACTCGACAATGCAAAGATCCTTTTCAAGCCAACAATCCTTTTACCAAAGGTTCGTTGTCTTTATCGTCCTTTCTTCATCGATTTGTGTGAAACTTCCGGTGTAACGTATAAACACACGCATAAAAAGACGCACTACATATATCGTGGTTAATGAACTCTATGTAAAGAAAGATAAGTTGACAATGAGTGTCAGCATCGTCACACAATGGAATCATTTTTCGTTAAGTACAACTAAATAGATATTACCTCATTCATGTTCATCATCGATTTTTTTTCTCTCTAATGATTTCGACACAATCATAGGTTTATTTTATAAACGTGTATGTAGATATCTTATACCATTTGTCATATTTTGAATTTTAAAAAATGCCTGTTCTCATTCATTTCTTTCGTTCATTCTTGTGCCGTATTGTTGGCCATGGTTCAGATATGTATAAACTGGAATTTTGTGCGTTGTACGGCCATTGTCAACAAGTTCAGCAACAAAAAAAGGGGGCGTGTATTCATTGTTTGCATTATCTTCGTGCAAAGGAAAACGCTCTCATTACACGATCCCTTTTCAAGTGCGGCAAAAAGAGGCAAATTGTATCACTTTAACTGAAATTTCACTCTTCACAACATTCGATTTGCCATTGTCTAGCCACTTCAATTTTCCCACTTCATCTCACTTTAGAATACGATTCCGAAGAATCGGCTCGGTTTGAATTCGTCCTTTGCGAATATCTACTTCTTCGATCAACTTAACTGTGGTGGTGGGGGCTCGGAATTCGTTAATAAAAAGGATGCACGCAACGAGCATGCGCTCAGTTACAATCAGTACATAGACATTTGAGTTATATACGAGTATTTAGTTTTGTGCATAAACACCAAGGTATAAATCGGATACAGAATACCTTTTTTGTTTTGTTATTGTTGTTGCTGCTGGAAAAACTGTTGGAAAAGATGTCTGAAAAAGCATTTAACTTGATGAAAAGTTTGGAATCAAACAACATCGACGACATGGGTTTCAAATTGAGCCCATTGCGGAAAAATCGAAAGCCATTAATGGAGAAGAAGCGTCGAGCTCGCATTAACGATTCACTCGAGGCGCTCAAAGAAATTTTACTGAAAAACACAGTCGCTATAACGCAAGGCACACGACCAACAAAACTCGAAAAAGCAGACATCTTAGAAATGACTGTGAGATATTTACAAGTTCTACATAAGCGTAATAATCCGGTGACAAGTGCAAAGTCGTCCGAATGTTCTGTTACATCGACAACTCCCATGCGAAATTCCATGAAACCAAAATCGATTTCCAATGTTGAGTACTTTGATCGGCCATTGAAATCATCCAAAAGCAAACGAAACATTGACGACGCAGACAAGGAAAATATCCCAATTGCCGGATTTATTCGATCCACCTTCCGTACCAGTGAAAGTAGCGCCTTTAGAATTATTTCAAGTTCAAATAAATCCAAAAATAAAAGTGAAAATCACCACCACCGAAATAGCAACGACCCTTCGAATCCATGGCGGCCGTGGTGAATCGAATTCAAATTTCTCTTTCTTTATCTCTCTCGAGGCGAGGCTGTGATCCATTAGATATATAATAAGTGGTTAAGTTTGATTTGTTATCCTTCAGTTACGTTGGATGTGCTTGGAGTGAATTTCAGTTTCTGTCGAATGTCAAGTTCCGACTTTGAATTCATTCCCATTGAAATTCAATCCTGTAAAATCGATTTTCCAAATATTTGCATTGAACTTTAACTTTTTGACTATTTATTATGTTTCTGTTACAATTTTTTACTCTACAAAAAGTTCCAATGAATAACTATTTTGCACTGTTTTTTTTCTTCTCGTTATTAATTGATAGTCGTGTCGTGAACGTTTGAAAATGTATCTGTTTAACATTTATGTGAATTATATCATAGCAGATTAGGTAACATATTTCAGTTTTTCCATTATTTTTTTTTTTGATATCGAATTGCCGATTTGTTTTTATAAAAGAACATTTATGTACAGTCTAATTGTTTGTATAAAAGTAGAGTGAACATGTTCGAATAAATAAATAAATAAATTATTAAATTTAAAAGTACGGAGTCATGTGTCGATTGTTTTTCTTTTACATCTAATGCGACTATACATTTTTTTTTACAATAAACCCTAGATTGCTATCTGTTTAAGAGAAGATTTTGAAAAATCTTCCAAAATAACCGAAACCAAACGAACTAGTTGCTTTCTTCTTTTTGACTGGTTTCGCTTCTGTGGCTTTGTTCTTTTCAGTTTTCACTTCATTGTAGTCTTCTTCATAGTCCTGTGAAAATAAAGTGATACGTGTTAATCATTTGTAATACTCTAGTAAGAATGCAAAAAAAGCATATTTCGATGGAATTTGAAAAGAAAATGACACTCACATCATCCTCATCCTCTTCGTAATCTTTATCAGCTCCATCAGCACCGTCAACTTCATCACTCTCCTCATGTTCGGCTTCGGTAGGTTCAACCTTTTCTGTTGGGCTATCGGTTGGTTGCTCCTCATCGTCGGCGGCCAACTCTTCAATGGTTTCTTCTATTGTTCCCATGATTGAAGCATCATTTTGATCGTCAGCTTCGGCTTTTAATTTGCTTGCCGAGTTTTTCGGTGTCTTTTTGACGATTTCAAGCTTCTTTTTAGGCTTTTCATCATTTCGTCGGTTGATATTGATACCTTCGTTTGGCTTTTTCTTTTCATTGCTGTTGCCACCGAGGAATTCCGAAACGAAATTTCCAGCGCTACCAAAAAGACGTGTCAATCCAAAGTCATCGTCGTCGTCATCATCGCCTCCACCGCCACCGCCTAAGATACCACCTAAGTGAAGGATAAATTTGGCAATTTCATATTTATTCGACAAAAAATGGTCTCTTATGGAATAAAAAAAATGGTTAATACAAACACGAATATCGAAATCTTTTCCTTCGTTTAGTTTGAACCTACCCAAAACATCCCCAACGAATCCACCTGGGCCTGGTGCTTCTTCCGAATCATCATCATCGTCATCATCATCATCACCACCGGCAACTAATCGAAAGAAATCAAATATTTTTTTTCATGATAATTTATTTTTAAACTCCAAACTAATTCCGAACAAAGAAAAGTATCCTCTCTAAACCAGTTTTTGTTCTGATGAATCATGAATGATGGGAAACTAAAATATCAAGTAAAATAAATAAACTTACGTTCGCCAATGCCCAATGGATCATCGTCGTCGTCATCATCATCATCCTCGTCTTCATCGTCATCGGTGATATTTGGTGGCAATGGCTCTGCTTCCATTGTTGCTAAGCCTTTTGGTCCGAATTGGAAACATGACACCCGAAGTGATGCTTCAACGTCATCATCAGCTCGCAATTCCAATCCCAAACATGCTTTGAAGTTTTCATCTTGTCGTGAAATACCTTTAGAAGATATACAAAATAAGTCAAAGTCAAAGGGGTTTGAAATATTTTAGAATTAGAAAACTTTTTGTTCAATTTTTTTTCTTTCTTTTTTTTAATTTTTGAATCCAATTGTACTGTACCATATACGCGGCCGCAGAAACGATTATATCCACCGGGCAATGGAAGGCAAATAGGTGTTGGTCTTCGGCTATCAACCGTACGCGAAGCCAAAACTAAGTCACCATATTTGATGCCAATCGACAAACGATCATTATCCAAATAACGGACAGTAGCGCAGCCAGGTCCACGAATTGGAATAAACGGAATGTTGAAGTCGCGGCAACACTTGCATGTCGCTGATGAGCATGAGCAGAATTTGTTGATTGGATTTGGATCATTTTCGTTCAATGGTTTTTCGGTGCTTGGTTTGGGTTCGATTTCATTATTTTCGGCTGAAATGGGTTTCACCACATCGGCGCTGGGATTGGTATCAGCCTCAACTGGAGCGATGACAGCTTCTTGCGAATCAGTCAATTCTTGAACAATTTGAATATCTTGGCTGACATCATCTTGACGAACGGAATTTTCGGCCGATGAAATATTTACTTTGAGAGTAGTTGTTTCAGGAATTGGATCGATGCGAGCTAGAAAAAGTTGCACAACATTTAAACTAAACTCACACTCTCAATGGATGAAAATGCAAATCACAAATTACCTATTCGTCTATTGACATTCTTTGATGAAACGAACGCGATGAGCGCGCTGATGAACAGCAATTCCAGAACGAATGGTATCTTCATATTTATACACTATTGAAATATTAGAGAGGGCAAAACAAACAAAAAATGATTGATTCGAATTTAAATTATAACAAACGATTAACACTGAAGAATTATAATAATTCAAAGAAATTTATAACAATAGGCGACTAATTGGCGTTCATGGTATACTATCGAAATGGATGATTTTGTCTATTTATTCTTCTCTCTTTTCGGTTTGCTCTGTTCCCGTTAGGTTTTTTCACTTTCATAAAAAAAATCGATAAAAGAGTTTGCCGTTAGTTTACCAACAGTTCACATGTTTTCGTATTTTTTTCGATTTTTTTTACACTTATCATAAGCTCTTTATTTGAAGAGTGATAGATGACAAAAGATGAAACATGCTGCGATTTCAGTCGAAAGTATGCGGATGTTGATCATAAAACGTGAAAAGTTTAATAACAAAACTGAAAGTTTTTTTTCGGTGAAAATAAGTGGATCACGTTTGATATTCGAAATATTGACATTCATAACCAACGCTCACGCATAACAGTAATGCGAATAAGAAAGATTTTTGATCAAAAATTGGAATCAGCAAATGGATTTTATAGCATTTTTTTTTACTCAAAGCTATTGACAATAGCGCGAATTCTACTTGTCGAAAATAACGGGTCATTTACTAATTTTGGCATTGGTAAATCGCTAATATCGGCATTGTCGGCATTCGTTTGGCCATTTCACCATATATTCTAAGAAGTGTGTGCATCTTTTGCTCACGGTGGTACACAAGAGAAATTCGAAAATTGATTTTCAAACCGTCAGACCATAGCAATCTACACGATGAATGCCATGCATTAACATATTATTTAGGTCAGTATTCACAATTAAATACATGTAAATATTCAATAATAGCAACAATTTGCATAACAGTCTAGATGAATAACGGTCTCGTAGATAGAACTGATTTAAACCGTAACCCAAATCAATGCCAATGGATGTGAATGAGTGTAGAGCTCGTATGTGCGGTTGTATGGCATCAACATCAGAAAGTGCAAACATTTCAGCCAACGTCGGAACGCAATTTTCAATCGATGAATTCCAATTGGAGATAATGCTTTTTCCATTAAATTTGCACCAAATGTCAGACCAAACGTCGTCTAACTGACGATTGGGAATGCTTAAACGAAGATTATATAAAATTATACTCATGTGTATTTCTGAAAATGATCTCTGCTTCCATATGACTGATTGGAAAAAAACGGAGAGATGTTGCACAAGCGATAGATGCGAACGAACACGTTTTTCTAGAACATATTTCGTTTTGTTCAACAAAAGCAATCCACAAATAGCGTTGAGATATTTTAATCTTCTACTAAAGTCAGCACAAAAAAAACACATTGGACTAATTTAAAGCTCCGATGAAGAATTCATAGAGCTTAGGAGGTGCAAAACTCGCGCCATCAAAGAAAATGAAGTACAATCAACTATCGTAATAACGCTCAAACAATTACTATAAGACTTAATTAAGTTGTTGTTCATTTTCAGCAATTATACTGTTCTTTAGTCGAATCGGTCTTTCAAGTGAGATTTTTTTTCAAGTAAACGCACACGCGAGGTAAAAAATTTAGAATTCCATTATGTAACCATATAACTGATGATTTAACGGTGAAATTGTTAAATTGCACTTTGCTATTTTTGAACATAAATTCTCTTGGTTCATGGAATTTTTCGATGTGAAATGAACATTCTTCGAATTTATCGTTTATTTGATAAGACATTTTTGTGTACTGAATTCGTTATGGTATATCTTTAAACATAATCTTTTCACTGATTATTTTGAATTCTTCATCATTTTTTTGGTTTTTATTTTTTTCATATTTTTATATTTAGACCGTAGATTACTGCGGGTTTAACTCTAAAATTGAACATTCAACTTTCTTGTCTCAATCGAAACACGATTCGAAATCTTCACTTTGAAAGGAGAAAAAAAAACTGAATAACTAAATTCACCTTGTTTGAATATTTTGACGTTGAGCGACTCGCGATCAGATTTCCACGATTGAAGTGTTTAACGTTCATCAGTCGACTGACTAAGCGAAGAGTATCTGTTCAACGATGTAATGTATGTTGAGAGTCTTGAAGTCGATGATCGGCCACGCGAACCGAAAAACCATAAGCAGAAAAAAGTAAGTGTAAGCAAAGCAGAAGAGAAAAGAATACCAATTCCGGCACACAAAAACTCGAAAGCGCGTCTATTTTCTTCTTTGCGTTACGTTCTTCTGTTGCTTGCTGCAATATGAATATGAGAAAAAACACTAAGCGCCACATTCACAGTCCACACGTTTGAATGAGATAATATGATATTCGGTACATTCTTTTTATCACGCAACAAAATACAAAATGAAAACGGTTTAATATCGAGTGTGCCAAGGTTTTAAATCATTTTAGGTTTTGCTTTCATCTCGTTAGATATTCAAATCACACACGCATACACACAATGCGGCAGTCGGTAGTGTAGCACTTGATTAAAGTATATCATTAAAATTGGTCAATTGGCCTAATTATGATTTCTCCAAAATCGAAATTTGTCCGGAATTTCTTTTCGGTGCATTTGCTTCTTTCGTTTCGACACATTGTCAACAGCAAAGAAAGAAAATCAGTGAATTTCATATTCAGCAGGTAAAGAAATATTCATTCATCAATAATGAATCCAAAAAAAACCGTGTGATTTATGACAAATTTATATGTTTCGTATTAGAATCACAATGACTTAATCAAGACATATCAGCGCAGTTATCAAACGGTTAGCCATTAATATGACGCCCATTTGGTGGTGAATGAATTGTGAGAATACCCATCGAAGTCATCAACTTTCAAAATACCAAAACTGTTGGATTCTTCTTGAAATTATATTCGGCTGTTCCGTTGTGTTCCTAAAGAAATAGAAAACAAAGAGAAATTTGTGTCATTGTGTCTCTTTCACATATGACGTATTTGTATTCCACTGTCTGCATACACGGTGTATAATATTGCATCGAAAGGCTGAAACTGAAAGCCTTTGATAAAAGATTTACGATGAAAAGCCTATTAAAAATAGAAAAATGGAAAATGACAACAAAAAAACGTCCACTGGATTTTTAGTAACGTTGACACGGCCAATTTATGTTTGATCTATAGACGAAACCAATAACTTTTACCACTTTTTCTCGCATGAGTTTTTTTTTCATAGTTTCAAATCGAATTCTCTTCCATTATTTTTTCTTTTAATTTTTTTTTGTTCTACTGTACAAGTGAGTTCTTCGACTTGCACCAACTCGAAGTACAGTCGGTGCACACCTTGTAATGAGCCAAAATATGAATTGTTGTGTTCAAAAGATTATAATAGAACAGTTATTGTTGTTTTTTTTTCTGCTTCCAATTTCATCGATCGCACAAGAGTCAGATTTTGTTTTTTTCCTTCCTCCCTTCTTTCTGTCTGTCTTTCGTTTTGGTTTTAAAAACTTCAACAGTCATTGTAATTCAGCGAACGCCAGTAATTTGCTATATGAATAAGTTTGACAGATATTATTATGTATTGAGAACAAAGCTGCTCAATCGAGGCATATCGCACTCACAACATTCTTGAGCATACTTCCACCGAATGCAAACCAAACCATCGTATAGACTACATACCGTAAATAACATGACGTTTGATCGCAAACATTATGCATTTCACGAACAACTTTTTCGAGTGTGTCAGACATACCTACGTATACTGAATCGACAACAATTAATTGAACCACTTTAGGTCGTTCAGTACAGACAATACGTATGAACATTCGTCCGCTTTATATCGATTGTACACAATTTTGTTTTGGTTTCATGTAGAAAAAATGAAAGAAAATTTAGTTCGAAAATAAATTGTTTATCTCGTCTGTCAACGATCAAATCAGATGGGCTGGCGTCGATTTGTTATCGCAGCGATAAGAACATTTGAGTCATATCAAATAGTAACAAGTGGTATCAAATTCGATGGGGATGAGTAAACGTAAAAGTGGGACAACAGGTCGATAGAACATTGTTCAAAGCATTGAAACCGGTTGGTCAACAGGTTCATCGATTCGTACTGTGTAAAAATAGCTCATGATCCATGATCCAAGAATGCATTTCTTGGACGAGAGAGTCTTATAAGTTAACCTATCGTTGTCTAAAGTAACGCTGCTCGAAATCAAAACCGCAAATCGACGAGATGAACAAACGAATAGCAATAAACATTTTTTTTTCGCGGCGTATTTTTTTCTAATCTCTTAATTATGGTCGAAGATTGAAATGATGTTCTAGTTTTTGTGATTTCGTGCATTAGAAATAAATCGTTTTACGTCGACTATTCCGCTATAGACTATGCGGCCGAACCCGAGTCTATATACGAGCAATCATTTTCGTTCTATAATTTTTTTTTTCTTACATAATATTGAACTGAACCATGGAATTTTCAGAATGTGCGTCCAACTGCAAAATTGCATCTCTTCCTATCTCCGCTTTCGAACGAACATAGAGTCATACCACTTCGTCTTGTTTCTGCTGCGAAATTTATTGGTGCATTTAAACCATAAAAAAAATTCAAGTTCGCACATATATACCTGAGTTAAGAGTGATAATCACTTTTTAATTTTGCTTGTAAATACTTGGAATTCGCATTGGTTAGCATCTGATAATGCAAACACGTTTGCTTCGCTTATTTTGATCTCATTTCATGTAATCAGTTTTACAATCGTTTCTTATATTTGTTATTCATTGCATTTTCAGTTATTCATAACACTTACCCGACAAATAAAACATAAACGCAGTGATGATGAACATGATTTATGACTTTTTTTCACCAAATATTTATTTACATTTAATTATGAGGATTCTTGATACAAATAATAAAATTACGAACCAGTGAAGTAAGTATAAGCGAGCAGAAATTAAAATTATTATGTGCCATTCCGTGTGATCAATTACAACATAAATACACAGCGATTGAATTGATTTTACATCAACTCACTCAAAACTGCCGATGAATTTATAGCCATAAACGGCGGGTTTTTTTTTCTCTCTCCATCAAATCAATGGAAATTAATTGAAAAATGTAATTATTCCACGTTCGATGCGATGCGTTGAAAGTAATTTAAAATACAAAATATTCAGTTTTTCTTTTCGATTATTGGGCCATATCACAAATGGCTAATAATTTACACACTGAAGTAAGAGTTTGATTTTATATATAAATATATGACTAGAAAGTAGAGAAGAATCATTTGGCAAACTTGAAGAGCAACAAGAGTCTTTCGGTTTTCAATGTGATAATTCCTAGAGCTGAGTGTGATCGGCTGGAAACTCAAACTTTGATGGAAACATTTTTGACTTGACCCGGGGATCTTCTGGTGTCCAAATACGCGCGAATAATTTACAGCCAGTAATTCGATCTCCTTTCCGATGCCATGACAGTGAGTGAATCATCCCATTACCTTGAGTTTAAAAAATGAGCGAAAATAAACATTTAAAATTAATATCCAAGTGAAGAAAAGTATTCGAGAGAAAAGTTCTACGAACAAGAAGAGAGTGTTGAATCATTCAACACGATATCAAGTTTATTCGGCGGACCAATTTGATTGTTATTATATAAAACATTTTCATACGTATACGAAACGAAATGAAACGATAAAGATAATTTTTCTTCAGCTTTCTCTTCAACGCAAACTTCATGCATGAATGGAACAAATCACAAAGAAATATAAATAAATAAACGCAACATTTCCTGTTATCGTTGAAAAAAAATTATTGAGGTATATTATTTAGTGTTTATAATCTCATTCAAATGCGAAGCACATTAATACGGTAGGACGCAAGAAGGACCCCACAATTGCACGCTACACCAAATCAACGTGTATTTTCTACGTTCGCAGCGAATCGGCTAATCCTGCCCTTCAAATTCGACTCTTATAAATGTTTCCCTCTATCGCGCCTATGTAATTATTTGTTGCTTGAACATGTGAAATTTGCTATGGTACTCCAGATGTTCGGCTATAGCAAGTATGGTATATGGTATTAGATCGATGGGTTCCGACATCGCCGATGACATGCAGTCTACATTTTCAGCTAAGGTTTAATACGGTGCAATTGTTTATGGTGAATCTTCAACCACAAATCACCGAAAATGGATGTTTTCAAGAGGCGCAAGTGCGCATCAATGAAATTACACTTCAATGATTTACAATTTTTCAGCTAAAAAACCACAAAATAGGTTGAAAATAGTGTTGTCAAATTCAAACTATGGAAGGAATTTTCAATTCAGCCCATTTAAGATTGTTATATCGATAAGATTATTATCATGAAGAATTTATAAAGAATCTATTTTTGGTAAATTTACCATAAAAGAAACTCAAATCCAATTTAAAAAATTCTCATATTATTCATTTTTGCAGTCTCTTCGCCTTTTTGCTACCGCTCAGAATCATCGGTGGTCCGTTTTGCTTGCGCCACAAAAACCCACACCGACGCAACGTTTAATGTTTATAGCGAGTAAATAAAATTAACACGGCAGCATGCAAACGTGAATGGCCCAAATATTTTGTGTTTTGCTACAATTTTGGAATGCATTCAGAAACCCATTTGTGTTTTCGTAATTTCGTTGTGTTTTGCTTTGTTCTTAATGCTCTTCAACAAACAATAAAAACATCGCTTTGCCGCTTCGGTGGCAGAAAATAAGATATTTAGTCTCAGTCACGCGATTCCTGCGTAGTAAATGTGAAACAGAGAAGAAAAATGCCAAAGGGATGTTCGCACAACAAATATAATTTGTTTGCAATTGATTCAGTTTGAGCACATTAACATGAGGGTAGCACATAAATATGTTTTGTGTGCAATTATTCCCATTTCATGTTTACACGATCTAATTGAATGGGGTTTGAATTTTGGCACTCAACTCATCACATAGTTAATGCCACGGAATACTAAAACACAGGGAGAGCACGGACCCGAAGTGAACATCCAGTGGAAAATACATCGGATTTTAATACTGTGCGAATGATAAGTACTTTATTTTCTGCTCATTGCACTCACTTTACATTTAAACTAGAAATTGCATTGCATATATATGTTTAAGCCATCTAATCTGGTCTTAAAAGAATTGAAATAAATAAATTTATTTACTTTTCATCCGAGGATTAGCACTTTTTTCTCTGCGCAAATACTGTATGATTCGAATATTTCGTTGAATTTTAAATTTTGATTGTCAACGTCACATTTGGATAGAAAAAGAAGTCGTATTAGATTTGAGCTCATTCGAATGTTCTACATATATTCGAAAAAGAACGACAAAACAAACGAGAAACATTGAATTATTAATTTTGGAAGCGAATGTATCGATTTTTAACATTTGAATATTAAATATTTTAAAGTTCCGGTATCAATAATGAAAGAGTAGTCAATACTTCCTCAATTTATTTCACATTATAATATTGAAATACGTGTTATACATTATTATAGGCACTTCGCACAACCACCGCTTCGGCGACATTAGCAAAGAAATATATAACTTTGAATGTACCAATGGTAAATTATTTTGTTTTTTTTTTTAGTCCAGACTACAGACAAAAGTGAGGGTTCCGATTGATTTCCCCTTTTAATGAAGAGCATAATAGCAACCATATTGAAACAGTTCAAATCTATTATTATCTAGCCCTCGAAATTGCTTCATGATATTCAATAATGATACAGAATTAGATTGCCGACTAATAGTTGTATCATATGAATGAGTGATGTATTTGTTGAAAAGAAATTCCTATCTTTGGGGTCTACAATCGATTCAATGATATTCAACTATTTCGTTTCTATTCTAATCTCTCACCTACGCAATTTAAGTCATAAATTTGTTCAAAGCAAAAAAAAAATGTATCGAATGTGATTAAACACGATGACGGAATATCTTGTGAAACTGAATTATCGTGTCTTTTTCCCATTAATTGAGATCAAAACAATATGTTTTTCGTCGTCATCGGACAGATCGCGTTAAAGGCAACTTTACGTTTCGTTTGAATCGCCGACACTTAAAGGGGAAAGTATTTTTTGTTATTTTTGTGTATTGATATTGTTTCCACTTGAGTCAATATTGTTCGAGGCTATTGTTATTATTGTTCCCGTTTGTCTTTTTTACAGTTAGTGCACGTGTGCACTGCTATCAACCCCATAAACACTTTGTAAACCACGGAAACTGCAATACAATCATTAATAAATAATAACGAATAATCATTTTTTTACTCGCTGTGTCTATTGAATGCATTAGATTGCGAGCAAAACAAACTGTAGAATATTATCGTTCGACCCCAAATGGCAACGGTTTCGATGCAGTTTGTAATCATGTATTTCCGATAAATAATTATCCGCTAAATGTTTCAAATGTTGGGTCGACTAATGTCTTTTTCCATTTTATCGACCGCAATTCTGTTTCGAATCAAACATTTTACGACCATTTTTAAGCCATTAGACGAAAAAAAAAAACAATTAAATTTCTGAAAATTAGAACATCTTTGAACTAGTTCTTGTGGCTAATGGCTCGTTGGTATTGATATTGACGCGATGTTTGTGTGAATTGGCCAGATTTCTTTTATTATGACGTGTGTCATCATGGGAAACCGTCGGTATGGCATGTGTCATCAATTAGCGGCATTACACTCTTTTGAAGTCTTGAACAATTTTCACACACGTTTCACTTGTTTAATGTTTTGATTAAGCGTTTGTGTATGGCACACACTAGAAGAATTTACCAGCAACAATAACAACATTCGATACTCACTTCGACAACGTAGAATCGTCTTTTTGGGTGGCACTTTAACAATCTGCTTTTGAACACCGATCAGGCTTGATGTGTTGCCATTCTTGTCTTTTCTCACCATTTCGCCCAGAAAACTGATGTAGCTGATTGCTAATTTCAAGATATCGACTTTACTCAATTTCTTTTCATACGGCAATGTTGGTATATGGGCGCGTAGTCCCTCAAATGCTTCGTTTATATTCTGCATCCGACGGCGTTCACGTAAGTTGGCTGCTTGACGCTGTTGCGACTGTAGATTGTGTGAACGACGTGATTTTGTTGGCCTAGAAATGTTATTTGTACATTAAATTCTCTCGCTGGTCATTTCTCAACAACAACAAAGAAACCAACATCGACGGAATTGATGGCAAATCAATCACTTTTTAGGTGTGAATCAGCATTTTTCAGAAGATTCACTTTGGATTGAATATTGTTATGACTTTTTCCCATTTGCTTGATAGTCTTGAGAAAAAGAAATAAAATGACTAGAAGAATGGTTATGGAAAATATCCCCCGACAAAAAGAAAATGACTGATTTTACAAAAATATCAAACCTAAAATTAAATTGGTAAACAATCTTTTTTGGGGCACACGTGTTCTGATAACACTCTCGGCTCGTAATGATTACATTTTATCAAGCATATGGGAGATTTGATGAAAATTCCAAGTGAAAGTGATAACAATATAAAATTCCACTTGCCACAAAATGTTTTACTTCATTCGTTAACAAATCAAAATTTAACGGAATTTACTCACAGTTTATCTAGATTATTTTCTTGGTCACTATTGTACGAGCTATACAGATCACTATCGGATGAGTTATCATTGCACAAAAATAAGTCATTCGTCGATGCCGATGGATAGTCAAACAAGTGTCGATTTGCCAAACTTTCAAACTCAAACGCATCGATCGAAAACATTTCTTTTGTTATCTGATATGTATTGAGTCTATGATAACAAATCGTTTTTTTTCTGATTGCTCTCTGTCCTTTATTCTCTGATGACCATTCTTAGCACATGTTTTTTTGGAATTTAACAGTAAATTGTACTATAAGAATGTTGTTTAACCTTTGAGAGACAGCCGATTACTACATGAATGGTCACAAAAATGAGTGGAATGTGGTTTTTTCGGTTTATCTGGAAAATCGCACCCCAACTCGTAGGAGACCAAATTGAAAGAGTCGATATGTGGTAGTTATATGGAGATTGTCGAGGAAAACGGGAGGCGTGGCTTCGTCGTTCCTCATGAAAATCACCAATGAAACAACAATAGAAATAGAATAGGGGAAATTGTATAACTGTTTCGTTTTGTGCTAGGGTCGATTTGATGGACGTTATAATCGCTGCTTTTAAATGACTTGAATGAATTGTTCTTACTTTATATAATGTTGAGTTGGAAAAAAGATAAATACAAAGAAAATCTTTGTGTTCGTTTGCAACTTCTTTATTTTTTTCGTTACACAATTAAGTGGCTATAAGTTGACCAAAAAAAAAATGCTCGTATCTAAAATTAAATACATCATCTGATTATTTTCTCTCTGGGATAAAAGCCATTTTTCTATGTTAATCTTTATTGTTTTTTTTTACTTCATGATAAACAATCCACTTCAGTCTTCCTTCGTTTCGATAGTTGTAGCTGTAGCTGTTGGTGTTTCACTTGGTTTTCCATAATCATCATCACCCTGTTCGAGAAATTCATCCCACTTGGAGAGTCGCTCTTTGGTCTCAGCTTCTGATTCATTGGCCTTATACTTTGTTTTACCATCCCACAATTCAGCGGTGAGCAATCGCTTTCCGAAGTATCTCCTGTGCATCATTTTAACAACAATATCGGCTTCTTCGGGATCACCCATTCGAACTTCGGCAATACCTTCTGGTTCAGAGCTGTAGATGACAACCTTTTTCACAGTGCCACACTTTGAACATTCTTCACGAAGATCATTCTGATAATCAATGATTAAATCAACATGATTGTCAAATGTTTCCGGTTCAAAGAGATTTTTAATTATGACAACACGTTCATATTTCTCACGTTCGCCGCGCATTTTATCTGGTCGCCAGTCCAACAATTTTGATTCTAATTTTTTCTGCTTTTCCTTGTCTTGTTTATTTCGTTTCGGTTTCAGTTTCGGATTGTAATCGCCACGCATTTGGAATTGAGCTCGTTGAACTTTGATTTTGCGTCCTCGCACTTCATATCCATCGAGCATATCAATGGCCAGCTTCACCGATTCAACCCGTATATAACTCACTAGACCATCGCCTTTCAACTGTCCATTCGGTTCGGCGTATAGTTTCACCTTCAATTTTCTGGTTTTTGGATCACGGAAAATCATTCCACACTTCGACATAACCTCAATGAATTCTTCTTCAGTTATGTCTTCCGGCAAATTGGATACGTAGACCTTTGTGCATTGCTCAGGCGCTTCTTCGAACCATTGCGGTTGACTAGCTTTTCGTTTGCCGGTGGTCACCTTTAATGGTTCATCTGTTTTCGCCTCTGTTTCCGGCTTAGCTTTGTTGAGCTGTGATGAGGATGTCTCGGCTGGTTTCGTTGAGGTGTTATCGATGAATCCATAGTTGGTTTGATATATTGCAATAAAGTCATCGTCGATCTTTGGGAACCAAGCTTTTTTCTCTTCATCCCAAAAGTACACCACTCCATCGGAATCGGTGTGTAAACGTTGCCCATCGACACACACAGACGTTGCAAATTTCTGATCACCATTTTTCGCTTCCCATTCGTTAGTGACGGGATTCCACTTGTAGTGCTCATTCTCGAATTCATTCGCAGCATCACTTGATGCACCCTCCTTTAGAATCCACTGGTTTGTCTCCGTACACCATCGATAATATTCATTTTCATACGGATTATTTTCACCTGAGTCTTTGGGTACCCATTGCTTCTTTTCTTTATCGAAAACATACTGATACTTTGTGGCCGGATCAGTGTAAATGGCTGTTCCATCGTCTGAATAAGTCATGCACTTTGTATAATCTACACTACTGCCAGCAGTTTGATTCACATCCTCCTCGTTAATTTCGTTGGTTTCCTTGGGTTGACTCTCAGAATTTGCACTTTCATCTTTCTTTGACGGCTCATTTGATCCATTCTCAGGAATCAATTCACCATCGGTTGCAACTTTCGTTGGTTCATCCGACATTTTCGAAACCAATAGTTCTTACAATTTGTATTTTGTAATTAATTAGTTCAAAAATAACCCGTTTGCACTTTTCATTTGAAACAAAAAAAATTATCAGCTTCTTTGTTTGAGGTATTTTTGAACAGTTTCTTCTTTCGTTGCGGTGAAAAAAATCTATATAAACAGATGAATATACTATGTTTGACGTTTGCCACTTTGACAAATGTTTAACCAGCACACCGCGGTTGGCCACATGGAATTTTACAGCAGATGGACAACCTATCAATTCTTGCAGTTCTTGTCACAGTTGAATTCGCTGCGCTACACTGAAACTCATACAAGAACAATCCAACCATACGCTTTGCTACGTGATTCGAATGGATTATAAAGCAGAAAAAGAGAAATGTGTTTTGTTTTTTGATAAGTCGTTGTCTGCATACAGACGACAATGAATAGAAAGATAATTTGATATGAAAAAATATCATTTAGCTCTGACATGGCAGCCGATTCAGCGAGCTTTTTCATTAAATAATTCTCTAGGACAATTGGAAGGAGAAGCAATATTTAATTTGTACAGTACAATTTGTACTCAACTTGTTTTTAATTGAATTAACATAACAAGATGACATGAGACATTTCAAAGTCACTTTCTTTCTTTTTATCGTTTCCCTCTTTCGTAGTCTCGATTCGTTGTGGTATTTCTTCGACCAGCGCCGTAGCCAGGCCGGCGCAATGGGTGCATTGCACCCTCCAAAAATTTCAAAGGTGCAACAAAATCGGGAGCAAAATCGGGTTTCAAAGGTGCAACAAAAGAAAAATTTCGATTTTGCACCCTCCAATTTTTTTTTCTGGCTACGGCGCTGTCTTCGACGTTTTTTTGTGTGTGAAAAAAATAAGCGTCATTTTGCGGTTAAACAATCACTAATCTCTTGTTTGTCGTTGAATTATGATAACAAATGCATTTCCGAACGAGGTCAATCAAGCATTTGGACTTTTACCAAGCGACGACTGTTTGTTGACAAAAAAAAAACAAAAAAAGTAAGAGTTTCAAACGAAATTTTGAGACTCAAATTGGACGACGTGTATACGATGCAAAAGAAATTCGTCTTGTAGAAAATTCAACTTCAAAAATTGCGCCAAGCTCGAGTGTTAACATATGCGACGAATTGTCAAGAAATTGCGAGAGAGTTCTCACGCAATGCAACACAAGTACATAGTACGCCTGGGGAATGGAAAAATACTAGCAACGAATCTGATGATGACTCAGATTACATGCTATTGCGAAATATCAACAGACATGATAAAATAATTCAAACAATTTCATCACATTGTTTTCACAAGGGGAATAAGGACTCAAAATGATGCAATATGTATCATGATAAAATGCAATTAGTCTGTTAAAAAAACATCGAATTGAGTGTGGGTCCAAAACGGATGATTCGTTATCGCATTTGTTTGATTGAGTTGAACATGATTCAAAACAAATTTCGGCACGGTTAGAGGTTAGGTGATAGCGACAAATCAAAACTGCTTTGAGGCGAAATCGAAATGCGCGCCTACTTTTGTAGCTTGCCCACGCACACACAGCCATATTGTGTACGCTCTCATCGTCTCCAAAAAAAGAAAGAAAGAAATTACTTCACATTCGGTCGGTCGGTCGGTCGGTCGGTCGTGTACTGTGATGGGAACGTCTTGAGCGAAATGCTCACATACACGTAGCACCGCACCAACACACATGTATACGTTTCATGGTGTGCGTTCAGAATCCAAAATAATACCGGCAGCTGCCTGTATTTTTGTGCCGATGTAAATGTGCTCGAATGGTCGCCATGATTATTTAGCTGCTGCAACACTTTCCGTATAGGCGATATTGTGCAAAGAGACTGAGAGGAAAAACACTTCATTCAATTCGTTCTTACAGACACGTGGATAACCATAGTGTTCGCGAGCAATAAAAATCGCTTGAAAAGAATGAAATTTACGAATAAAGTGAATTGATTTACCGTCATTACATGGAAAAGCAATAAGTGAACAGTTGAACAAAGTAAAACAGTTGAAAATTGTGAACAAAATATCATTGAAGCAGCAAAGCAAATAGAAAAATCAAGCGTAATAATTGAAGGAAACAAAATAGAAGGCACGAATTGAAAGCGATTTCCGAAAAAGGACATAGTGCGGAATAAAAGTGTGAATTGCGTAGCAAGATCGTACCGTCAAGACAAAAAGAGCGAACAAATCTGAATATCTCTTCTTTTCTGTAAAAAACAAACGTCACGTAAGTGCATACCAAAAGAATAAAAATGAAAATTGGAATTAATTTTTGTAATGACGATGCCAAATACAAAAAAAAACGGGTTGCGAAGAGAATGCCTGGAAAAGAGATGGAGACAATCGAATGTATAAAGGAAGAACAAAAAAACCGCATGCACGTATTTCACAAAACGAAAGAAGAAAAAAAGAGCGTATCATACATACGAAGAGCGACCCACAAAAATCAGTTCAAATCAGTTGAATTTGAACGGTGAAAAGAAAAATGTGACGATCGCCCATAAAAGTAGAATGTTCGTGTAGCTATACACAGTGATGCATGCACGGCGTTGTTATAAATATAACAATCTGTTTCGCACAGCGAATGGTGGCTAATGAAAAACCAGTCAAAAGGAAAAGATTCATACTATTCGATCTGTGTGTATGTGTCTTGGGTCCTTCTTGTTGTTGGATCTATTTTTTGCGTTATTTCCGTGAAAGAAAGAACAAAGAAGATTATATTGCGCACGTGTTGCGAATATATAATTTTAAAAAATGATGGAATTTATTCATCGAATTAAGCGACACCTCTGCATGAATGGTATGAATGCGTATGTATGAAACGAAGAAAAAATGTCATTTGCAAAAAAAATGTGCCCGCTTGAAGCGACCAAAGTTGTTGACCAAGCAAATGCGGTAAAAGACGGCGTGACTGCAAATCCCGTCTTAAATAACATAGAGGAAATAACACATTCGTCGACAAATTCCGCGCGAAAAGTTCTTAAATGGTTTTTTTCTGCTTTTTTTCGGGAACTTTTTGTAGCGAGAATGAATTCATGAGTAATTCATTTTAGATTAAGTGCGTCGTTCAATTAGCAAATGTACGCGAGTGATAGTGCCTGGAAGAAGTATATTCAATAGCACATTGTATGCCGTAATCAAGTGATCTAATCGCACTGACTTTCGCTACTGTGCGAATGAAAATGTTGGCATTTCCGTTTCAATGTTGTGTCGTAGAATGGAACGAAGGTGCAGAAAAGCCGAAGCCCACAAAAACCGAAATACCGAGATTAAAACACTCCAGTTATACATCAACATATATGTGTTCGCGCGAAATAGATGCTTCCCACAGTCTCTTTATAAATACAAACAACGAAGAAATTCTTTGCAAGTCATCGTTTCTTTTTCGGCAAACAACAATCATCGAATGATGGATGTTTGGATTTACACAAATATCCAGTATAAACATTTGCCGAATAAAAAATGCGCTCATTCAATGGTTTCTTATTGTTTGTATGGAATGAAGAGACGTTTAAATAAAAATGACAACAGTTTAAGAATCGGGCGTTTCGAATTTGATCAACACGACACTTTGCACCCGTTGCCATTTCTACACCATATCGCCAATTTCACATGAGTATATCCGAATCACATGTTTATCCAATGACAATATCAAGCATTTTATTTGTTTTATCGAAACAAAAAATGCCGACGATAATCGTATTTCGCAAAGGTATCTGTTGAACCATGAAAATAAACACAGATTCAAGTAAATTGTTTGATTAACGAATAAATCGGTGAAGTAACATAAATGGGCTTCGGTGCGACAACGGCGAAAATAACCACAACAACGACAACGAAAATTGAAAGGCCAGCGCATACTTTGTTCGCATTGAATACTTCGCTTCTTATCAGCGCATTTCAACGCGTGCTAATTGGTTATTGTCGCTTATTTTAGTTTGTTTGACGAATGTATTATTGATTACACGCCAATATTGATCGATCAAAATCGAAATCAACTTTTCAAGCACTTTTGGCTACAGGATAGCCAAATCTCGGGTAAGATATTTTTTAATATGAGTAGTGAGCTCATGTTTCATTTTTTTCCGCGTCCATCATGTTCTTTTTTTTTCAATAATCTATCTATCTATCTAATCATTATTCATTGCTATCAGCGCAATGGGAAGCTTATAATAATATATTTTCGCCACTCAAATTTTATATGCTTATCAGTTGACACATGAACATCTGCGTTGGTCCCAATGCCTGCTTTTTTCTACTTACTTCCCCATTGTCAATACACATACATACTAAAAATTTCGTAGAAATTTTTTTTTATTGATTTTTGTTTTCAAGTCTAAAATTCGTTTCAAACGAACGCAATCAAGAAACGACACATCAACGGTTGCATTTTCATCTAACGGATGTTTGTCATTCCAAAATGAATTCTTGGGAATTCGTTAAAAGTTAATAGCAATTTTACAAAATGCGTAATTTTTTTTGTCATTGCTAACAATAACAAACTCAAACTAACACATTGCTTTATGGCTAGAAGTTTCCCTGAACATTTAAAATTTGTTCCGAAGAAAAAATCGTTATCAATTTACGTCACGCCCCATCGAAGTGGCAGTTGGTCGTTGAATAACACTTTGCCATGATCCTGACCTCGTCTGATTTAATTTCAAAATGTTTATTATATTTGCGCTATAGCCGACATTTTTTTCTATTCCCCGATCGAAATAGACTTACCCAATTTAGATTACATTGATGTGACATTTTGTTACATCTCTCGCTCATTCTAATCGGTTTGAAGTGAAAGTGATATCGTCTTTGATTCGGGCAACCTATTGACGAGCTATGTAAATGTGCTTTAATTTTGTGGTTTGTAGGGACTTCGGTTATACCAATGAAATCAAAATTCACTTGTCACATTATGGCATAGTAACAATCAATAGGTCGTGCATATCATTAATTTTTTAAGTGTGCTCGAATTTTCGTTTTTGTCATACACCTGTAGCTTCGACGAAAATTTCACACAAGCGAACTTCTTTTTGGATGTGTTAAGGACAACGTTCTTGTAATAGTAGTTGGCATCGTGAATAGTTTCATTTCTTCTTTATATTAGTAAATGGTATCCAGCAAATGAGAGAGTAGAAAGATAAGCCATAACACGCCGATATAAAATACGCTTCAAATGCGTCGTTCGAGGTAAAAAAGCTATCAAAGCGACATTTACTCGTTTCATTTTTTCTTCTTCGTTCAAATGATAAAAATCTCCAATTCAATGTGCGCATAACTATTGGCTATATATCAAGTTTTGGCACTTGATCGCATGCTAATACGCTTCGACGAAAAAAAAACGATTTCGTTTGCGTTTTCGTTTTCGTTTTGTTGTCCTTTTCTGTCTCAAACGCGTGTAACGTATATTTCACCGATCGAGTGCTTCGTTTCTCGATCTGATTGGGTCCCACTGAATTCGTGTGTATTAAAAGCATATATGTTCACAAATGCATGAATGTGTGCATGTTTTGGTGCGGCGTGTGTTTCATATTTTAATCAAGGTTTTCTCTTTCCATACCTTCGCCGATTGAATGAAAAAAAAATATGTCAGCTCATCACACCCGAACGGGACTCAGTTGTGTTTACTTAGGTTTTTTAATTTCGTCCATACGGTCCGTGTGACATACACAGCGCGACAAGTCGGGAAGTTCAGTCATCACAACGGTGTTTTATAAAATTTACATGCGCACAAAAATAGAAACTCCAAAGTCTAGTCCATTCCTTATCGTTCACATTTGTGTTTTGAGGAAGAAATAAAATTAAGGCACAAACGTAGCTCAATCAGTTTTCGACCCTCCGACAAATTGTTTTCTTTTTAAAAATACACAGCGAGCGTTGAGCCTACGGTGACTGTGTTTTTTTTTCTCATAGAAAATTGATAACCGAGAAAAAACTGCTCGAAGTTTGAGCCAGTTACGCGACTGTTGTTTGTTTTGATAACTTTTTCTTGCTTTTGTTCGCATCTAATTTTCCTATTCTATTGTTACAATATGGATGTACGCCACCAAACTAGCAATGGAGTAAGTATTTGATAATAAGCGAAACGTTTGCGTTTTATTGTGGGTTTTCCGGTGAATTCACATTGAATCCGATCAATTGGATCAGAATTTTATTCAACCGCATGTCAAAGTATACCGGTTTACCTGGAGAGTAAAAGCAAGTTTATTCATTGCGTCTTTAGCTCATGTTCGTTCCGTCGTCTCGCACGTATTCGTTCGCTCGCTCTTTTTACATGTGTTTTTCATGAGTGGAATTTCAGTGATCGCTATTAGTTATGGGCTGCAGTCTCTGCCACGTTGAAGCCACGTAACTCACACTAGCATATAATCAATATTTAACTATGTAGCAATACACATGTTGATAATATTTGACTATCCGTGTCTATAGATTGTTGTTTTTCTTTGAATCAGTATCTGTTGAGACATTCTAGAAGTGGCAACTCGTTCATATACACATATTATTTGTGTCTTTCTATTCTGATCTTTGGGACTATATTAAAAAACTGGTTTTGCTTATTGTTTCTATCAAAATTGTTTCTACGTTGAACCCAATAAAACAAAGTAGAAAGAAAGACAACCGCATTTCACTTTGATCGATTGCCGGTTTCTCAATGGCTTTTTTCAGCGAACATGTGGTTTGTTAGATTATGATTCAATCAAAGAGATTGTTTTTTTCGCTTTCGTGTGTATGTGCGTATGTGTGTGTGGTAGAATTTGAAAGTTCTTGATATTATTTATGGTATTTCGTCCGATCAGTTGGCATGGAGAAATATACCATACTAATGCATAAATTGTCGATCATAACATAAACACTTTACATAAAATCCATTCGAAAAAAAAACCTTTCGATCCATTCTAATTTTGGTAATTTTGTTTCTATTTATTTTTCCGCAGCATTCTAAATCATCATGGTTTTGAAAAATCCTCTTATACTTTTAACGATACCATTTGCATTGGCATTGAGTTTGATATGGTTTCGCAGAAAAAAAATTCATTGTGATTCAGGTGGTGATAAAGAATCAGCCAGTGAAAAAAAGACTTTGAACACAAACTTAGAATCAAATAGTGCAAAAACAAGCGAACCTCGCGTCGATCTAAGACATAGCACTTCATTGCCAATCGGAAGCACACCGAAAAAATTGTCATCGTCAGCACTAAATAATAACGATTCATTTGATTTTAAATTTGGCAAATCGGCACCCATTGACATTACGCCACACAAAACATCACCATCACGCTCGAAAAGCGGATCGAACGAAAGCGATCAAAATAAACTCGAATTGAATTCAATTGAAGAAAATTCATTGGATTCAGTTGATTTGCCCGGCTCAATTACCTGCCGTCGTCGTTTCTCATTCACCATTCGAACCAACGAGCCAGCCGTTGTTGTCAAAGCGTCTACAATGGATGTAAATAAATCACCACAAAGTTCCTTTGAAACCGTAACCACTTCGCCACCATCGAACTCACCTGCATCGGTCACCAAGAGTCCGGCCAGCGCAAAGACAACACCAAGTTCAAGCAAAGCAAAGAGCAGCGAAAAGAAATCCAAAGCTTCGAAACAATTGGCAACCAATGAAACATCCAGTAAGAAAGATGCAAAGAAACCGGAACGTGCATTGCCCGTTGCAAGTCCACCGCTTAGTTTGTGCAGCAATAAATCGCACGATTCAGGTGACTCAGGCAAAGGTTCAAGTCCGGCCAATTCGGAAGGTGGCCAAACATTGTCGTCAATTCAATCGTACGATTTTGAATTGCCACAAACGCTAGTCGGTTGCTTGGTTGGCAAAACGGGTGCGACCGTACGGAAAATTCGTGATGAATGCAACATAAACATTTCCATCAAACGGCATCCAATCAAATACAAGAAATACAAATTGTGCACACTGCAAGGCACCCAACAACAAATCGACGCTGCACTCGCAATGATTAAGAGCAAAATGCCAGCGAAGACAAATTTAGAACGGGTCGATATTGAAGTGGAAACCGCTGAAATGTTGGCAGCCATATCAAAAATTGATTCCAATCGATTGCAGGTAAACGTCTTATTTGCCCCATTTATCTAGATTCACAACTTTCCCATTAATATTTTATGATCGATAAAATGCTTTAATTATTTCGATGATTATTAGCCAAAAGTCATAAACGAAAAAATGCGAATTATCATTTATTTGTTTGTTTGTTTCTTTGTAACGAACAGTTAAACTTGATCGATGGTATCAACAACGATGTGACCGTATCATCAGTCATCAATGGTGGTCATTTGTTTTTGCAACAGCCATTGCATCCATCCTATATGTCGTTGAATGTGTTGCAAAATTGCATGAACCAAAGTTACGCATCATTCGAGTCACCAGCACTTCCAAACTTCAGCATCGGCACCGTTTGTGTTGGTCAAATCGATGGTCATTGGTATCGCTTGCAAATCATTGACTATCAACCAGAAGCCACAACCTGTGTAGCTAAGTATTTAGACTTCGGTGGATACTGTGAAATTCAAACGACTGAGCTTCGGCAAATTAGAACCGATTTCATGACAGTTCCATTCCAAGCCATTGAATGTAGTTTAGCCGATATCAAACCGAAAGGTGAGTCATCGTTTTCAGTGAATAAACAAATCCATTCAAATTTTTTTCGAGATTGTTTTCAATATAAATCGTTTCGGCATTTCGTTTGCAGGTGGAGAATGGAGCATAGAAGCTTCTCAAGCTGTAGTCGAATTAACCCAATATAGAACACTACAAGCCCAAATAACTAGTTACACGGAAACTGGCGTGCCAGAAATCCACCTATATTCATTTCTAAGTCCAAATGTAAGTTGAACTACATTTTAATACATCTGTTGGCAATGGAATATTCATCATTGCGATAAAATGAAAAAATCCACACTCATCATCACCTTTCAAAATGTACATTTTTCTTAATTATTCAACGGTTTTTTTTTTACTTTTTCAGAATATTGTATTTGTCAATCAAGAGCTAGTGGCTAGAAATTATGCTGAATGGTGTGAGCCAATGGCTACGTTGTAAGCATACGCTTGTACACGTAAGATATTTATGATAAGGCGAATAAGGTCCCCATCATTAAGCATAAAACAAAACAGCGATACCGCACGAGCATTAGGTACGAAATGAAAGCAAGCAAACAAAAAACTGATAATTATACCGAGTAAAGTAATATTTCTGCGATTATTTGATTTGGACCACTTCAAACACAAATGATATATACAAACTGTTATATGCTGCCCGTTTATGAATGGTTAATCTCTGTTATTCGTGAACGTGACTCAATTAAGTTTTAAACAAAATGAGAAAAAACAAAATACTAGAAAAAAACAACAATTTTCTTTAGAATAACAAAAAAATACAAAAAAAATTGGAGGTAAACATAACAATTCTATCTCACTAGAAAAATGGCAAAATTAAAAAGAAATGCACTTCATGATGCAGTAAAAAATATAGATGCAACACAAAACCAATAAGAAGAAATTGAACTCACAAAGTTTCAGTTCGATTTGCCTTTGATCACAGATGAAACGCTTTTTTACCAACTGTTTTTTTTTTTTAAATATTATAACAAAAGAGAATTTATTGAAATTCCTGATTATTTCGGATTGATTCACTTGAACACGTTTTCTTTCTTTGGTATTAAAATTTATGAATCCGAATAGCCAACGATTGATATTTTCCAACGTAATTCATTTCGATTTTTGTTTTTAGATCTCTTCATTTTTTTGCCCCGTTAAATTTTGCTGATTTGAACCAAATTTCAGCCAGAATGAATGCACAATGTTTACCAAGAGTAATGAGGCTTTGAGTTTAGCGAAATTGTTAATGATGCATGCTTTATTTAATCGTTATTGCTTTCGGTTGTATTCTATTAAAATTTGATTATCATTTGCAATTGGTTTAATTGACAAAAGCTCAGTACATATTTCAAATAACCTCAGAATGTTGATTTCAATCTTTTTTTCTCGTTTACCACACAAATTTTACTCGATTACAACATATTATTTACACAAATTTTATTTTTTTTTTCTTATTCCTCAATAGTTACTCTATTTTCTTTTCGTTTGGTTTCATTCAAAATTCAAAAAAAGTTTGATCATTTTTCCTTAGTTATCAACCGGAAAATATTCGTTCTATTGAAGATCCTAATTTTAAGATTGGTTAAGAATTCATAAACTTAAAAAAATGTAAATAATTATGATAATTAAAGATTTTCATTGGTTTTCATTATAAAATTGTAGTGTTTTTATTTTGCCATCCCGTCAGCATGCCTTGGAATGGCCATCACCCGAATGGTATTCATAGGAAATTACGTTATGGTATATTTATGTGCCAACCAAAAGTATTTTTCATTAACAGTTAATGACGCATATCGAAACATGATTCGGTTGGAAAACAAACGCAAGTTTTTTTTGTCGTCCAATCAACAGAAGATTCTTTCCAACTATACAAACGAAATGCTTTACCCATTTGCTCAATGCCATTTTGTGTAAACAATCAATTTTTGATCTGTTTTGAATGTGTCAACAATATTATTTCATTTTAATTTTGTTCATATCGATCAAATGTTTGCTTGTTTGACAAAAAAAATATCATACCATATTTGTTTTTGTATGAAAAAAAGCCAAGCTAACATTTTCCATCGGAAGTGTATGAATAAACAATAGATTTTAAATAGATTGTTTACTTAATGAGCAATATAAAAACAATCACATTGAGTATCCAGCGCTTATCTGCACATTTTTATCTGCTTTAATTCACTTTTGTGACTATTTTTGCTTTAGATGGACAAATCGATTGATAACATGCCAATAAAACAGGGCTGGAATTCTAAGTCATTCCACCAAAATCGTTCGGAATTATTTTTTTCGTACATAAGACCATATTGGAGTGAAAGAGAGAGATTCCACTAATTTTCTGCACTCCACTGGAATTATTTCTCACACAATCCACTCTTCCTTGAGTTATCGGAATAATTTCGGTGGAGTGCAGAAAAATAGTGAAATCTCTCTCTTTCACTCCAATATGGTCTTATGTGCGAAAAAAATAATTCCGAACGATTTTGGTGGAATTCTTAGAATTCCAGCCCAGCACTCCGTTTCAAAAATAGCCACGAGAGACGCAAAACTGTAACTCCAACCTGGACTATCTATTCATTTAGATGTATGAGTGATGGTGGATTATCGATTGATTATTTCCACATTTTTATTGACTTTCTACGTGAATTTCACTTTGAACTCGAAATCAAGTCGATGAATTACTTAGATAGAAACGATTTCGGCCGGTCAACTTGTTATGTCATAGCCACTTCAATCAAATTGATTCAGTCTGAATTCAGAGAATTTAGAATTCTATTGGAGTACACACACAACATCGAAACGGCATCAAGAAACCGTAGGTAGGTAAGTACCAATAGCCCAAAGTGAAACGACATGCTAATCGTGGTTAAACATGCTGTCAGTATCGGTCCAACGAGATATATTGTTCTGATTTTATTTCGGTTTATCTTTTTGAAACTTACCTTTTCTGCACAGTCGTCAGTAAGTTAACTCTTTTCAGCACCTATTTCTAGGAATAAAGTTCAGGGAAAAAATTGAATCCGATTCAAGTTTATAGACAGACACTAGGTTTATTTCCAAATTCTGTTACATTTTTCAAGGCAGTCTTCGTATATAAATAACTTAGTGTTCTAGGGATTATGGCGAAAAAGAGTCGATGTATCGATAAATGTGGATATGCTAAAATTTGTATGCTATAGATTAGGAATCATTGATTATGCTCCAACAATCGACTGTGGTGTGACAACTTCAACGGTTTCGCTGGATTGAAGACGTTCCAGGAAGTTTTTCATCGAAATGCTCTTGAATTTTTTGTGAACACCGAAAATCTTCTTGATGCGCCGCTTCCGTTTTTCTTTCAACGTTTTTGTTGTGTTCAGCCCATCGGTGCATGCCACGCTGCGCTTGGTTTTTTTGCCAAACACTTTCTTTCCATCGATTGTTGCATTTGCGCTGGAATCGGATTCGTCTTCGTGCTCGTAGATGGTTTCCAATTGCGTGTACTTGATGCGGCCCAATGATTTGTTCAAGTACAGCTTTTCAATGGCCTTCGAGTTTGGATTGAGATTCTTCTTCTTCAGTTCAGTTTTTGCTTTGGGTGCTTCTGTGCTGTTCTGCCGCAGGCGACGCATGATGCGGGCTCCAATCCCGTTGCTCATCATTTTTTCAGTCGGTTTTTCAAATTCGTCTGGTGAGTTGGGTTCGCTTAAATCTAATGTGGACATACTTTTTTCGACGATCCTTAGTGCTTGTGTTGTATTATAGTCGTTGGTCAAAGTTAAATGTTTACTACAAAAATGAATAAAAACAATCAAACATTGAATATCGGTTGAAATATCGGAAAAAACATGCGTTTAGAATCGCTGAAATGGTTTGCTGCATACTTACTGATTGAACAGATGAATGATATTCTTTAAGGTTGTTGCATTCCCGCTCAGCATAATAATGAAAATGAGCACTGGTTGTCTGAAAGTTTGACTTTCCAACAAATTCGACGTTTTCCTTGCAATCGTCAATTTTTACTATGAAATACTTGAATTGGAATGAATTATATTTAAATCTATTTAGGCCAATGCAACGAAATTTCGTTTCGAAATTATGCTAAAACATCGTACGATCACAATTTGTTAGGAATACATACGTTCGAGTGATTTTTTTCGTTTTTTCTTGTTTATTTCAAACTGTCAAATTGGTGTTGCTCGAGACGCGCATTCGAAAATCGAAAAATGTGGGAGAAAGTTGGAAAAAGGTAGACACAAATGGGGAATCAATTTATTCCAACATTTTTCAATCCCATATTATTTCCCCCTTCAAGTTGTTTAGTTGAAAAGTTAAAATCGAAAAAAAAAAATCCTCAATTGCTTTTTGCATACTGTTGCAAAAATTGACAGTTGATTTTTCGCGCCAAGCTACCGAAACATGTCATGCGGCAACACTTTCTCATTCGTTTTTCGATTCGAATCGATTTTCAGGCCTTTTTGTTTGTTTTGACAGATCAAAGGTTTTTTTTTCTATACAAAAATATAGGATCGAAGTGACACACTGCACCATTTTTGTTTATGAATACAACGCACTATAAAGTAAAAACATATTGTTGATTTGTGTTTGCCGTAGGCATTCAAAATGACCACGGAAACTGATTTTAGTGTGAATAAATTATGGAATTCGTTTTATTCTGATGTCGTTGTCTTGTCCATATCAGTTGTGATATTGCTTTTTTCATGTATTGTCAGTGTCCATATCAGGTGATTGTCAATGCATACCCATCGTTTTTACTCTCATTTTCGATTTGGAATACACAAATTAACGAAATTGAATCATTTATTTTTTCAGTATTTTCTTTGGCTTAGTTATAAGTTTTTCGTTTGCGGCTGGATGTGCGGCAGTTATTGTTGCGTTACAGCATAAATCGAGCATATCGTATGGCTTCCAAAAAGTTCAAAAGTACCTTGGCTTAAAACAGGAACCGAAGAGCAAGCCCATTGACTGTGATATCTGTGGCATCATCAAATGCAATCGCCATTTAACGGCTCCAGACCGAGAACCATGGCGCAGATTATTTATTACGCGTGAATTGGATGATGCGGTTTCTAGTGTATGTATTGATGAGAACGTTTGCTATTTACGTATAATGACTAAATTAAATCGTTTTCTGTGCTCACAGTTCTACACAAAAATACTGAACGCATTTGTGGAAAGTTGGTTTTCTCTTCTATCGAAAAACGAAGATTTCGTTACAGGTAATGCTTTCTACCGTTAAATTAAGTAATGCTTTTGCCCACTTCAGTGGTGCATTTGGCCATTAATTCACATACAATCCCGTCCGAATCGGATGAAATTCGGGTATCATCCAACTGTACGCTACACTCGAATCACATCCATTTGTGACGGTAATAATGTGTGTGAAAACTGACTGACTGACTGAGAATTATATATGTACAACAGATTTGATCGTTTTCATCTTTGAATCAATTGAGAAATCAGAACCGTTGTGCAACATTTTCAATTGTAAATGTCACTTGAAATCTTCAAACTATTCATTAGCTCTAGAAATATGCACGATATAATAATCATTTTCAGTATAAAAAACTGTCGAAGCAAAAACATTTTGCTTCTCTTTGGAGATTTCCCTTTCTGTCTCCAATTCGTAAAACAGCAGTTTTGACGCAGCAACCGTCACGCCGTGCAAATGTGGTGTTCAAAGGATAAAACATTGACGTTGAACGATTCGTTTTGCAAATGTCACTCAGCACAGCGGCTCATTGGTGTAGGAACATTGACAAGAAATTGACGCACATTTTTGTGAGTGAACATTCAACGAAAGAAGGCAATTTTTTTTGCGAAATAGTTGCTTCAATTGCGAAACCAAAACCCTTTTACAGGTATGTACGGTTAAGAATAGAGTTTTTGCACAAATTAAATTGTGGATTATTTTGGAAATTGTTGTGAAATTGTTGTTTCGTCATACCGGTTCACATTTTCATGTAATGACATGTTCAAAACGGGAAAAATCGCAATATTCTAGACCGATTGCATTGATTGACGCGAATAAAACAATATAAATTAATTCGATCACAACAAGTTTTCCAATTTTTTTTTGTTACCAATTACAATTAATGGATTGTGGTTTTATTTTTTCCAAAGATTATTTCGCAATTTTGAGGCGAGATCTGCATTGAGACAGAGAGACAGAGAGCAAACGAAGCCTGATCTATTCAAATCGTTTGGATTCATACGAAGTGGACTTATTGTGACCGAGGTGAGTTTAGTGAACGTAGAAAATTGCAACAAATTAGCGTAAAATCATGTTTTTGCGTGTGGTGTACATGTTTCGACATGATTTATGGCGACGGACTGATGAATATCATCACATTGTTATCGTATTCGTTTGAAGCGATCAATCAGTGCATTGTTTTCGATTTCCGTAGCGTTAGCTAATTTCACAATCGCTTGCAACAAACATTTTATTCGTTCTACAATTTATTTTCTCTCGTTTAGATCCATCGCGATGGCGAGGCGTAAGCGGCACAATAAGACGTTTGGTAAGCCAAGGGAGAACAAAGTCCAGATGAAAAAGCACTCAATTGTGAAGAAAAAACGTGTCAATCGGAAAGAAGATCCAGAAAAACAGTCGACAGAAAATGGCACAATCGAAATCGGCGCGATCAAATTGGCATTTAATTCGATAATTAATCCGAAGTTAACAGAAACAGAAAGAGGATTTCTGATCCATAAGTTCTTCGAGAAATGTTTGAATGCTACGAAAGTCATGCATCTTGCATCGATGTTAATGCTCTACACAATTAACGAAGCATTTGATGATGGCAATTTTGACTTCTTCGTGAATCAAAACGGAGCAAATTTGATAACGGACTGTTTCAACTGTGTCACATCGAACAACATCAACGATCCACTCACAGCCCAAATGCCAGACGCATTTCTCGCGATGGTGACACAAGGTAGCCCCAACTTTGAATGGCCACGCCGCCATCAAATGACCCGTCAAGTTTATGCTCTCAAGGACCAGTATGTGGCCAATGTGAAGACAAACTTGGAGACGCACTGTTGGGTGAGATTGACCCACTTTCTACGTGTAAAGTGCCATGAATTCAATCACAAAGGAAGCCCACTTGACGTTATTTATAATGCATCATACTTGCCTTTCGATGACATTGACATTCGAAATACGATAAAAAATTTGATGTGCAATGAAGATTGGACATATGATGATGATGAAAGTCGAAAGTGGAAGATGGATATACTGTTTAAGGAAGGGTCTCAGCTTTGTGGACCATCATTCGTAAAATACTTCACAATGTACGAATACATTCAAAAGGACTGGTTCGAGTCTTTGTGGATGTGGATAGGCATGCAACGAATTGTAGAGAAATTTTTGATCGATACGGCTCACCTTCGTCAACAGTGGAAAGCATACGATCGTGATCCAGTGAACAATCGAGAGCCGTCGGTACCGAAGATACCAAAAGTGAAGAATTTCGCCGCAATTCCACTCAGTGATACAAAACTGAAGCACATACCATTCGACCATAATGATTTGATTGATATCATTGGCCAGTTGAGAAATGAACGGGGATGGGATATCCGTGCTGATTATCGTACATACTACAAGCAAGGCGAGAACAAAGACGAGGCATGGGGAATTGTGTTCGATATGGACAAAATCAGACAGCTCAGAACCGGTTCGAAGGAGTTTTACCACAAAATTCAAACCAACAGTAGTGCCGTGTCGGTGTTGTTTAGCAGACCCAAACGCAAAGGAGCCGGCGTGACTCTGTCTGAAATCAAAGCAAAGTACGAAAAGCCAGTCAGCAAAGGCGGTTACAAGTATGAGTCAGGAATTGATCCCGGCCAGAAAACAAAAATGGCCTGCGTGCGTCGGACTCTCGCTACTGGAATTGAAGTAAGTTGAAATATCATATGAAAATTAACATAGATTTGCATTGTTGTTGTTCATTTCACAGACCAACATCAAATTATCGAGTATTCAATATCACTGGGGTGCGCGACAAGGAATGCGCGACAAACAGGCCACGAAAATGACCAGAAAGTACGTGCACAAAGAACAGCGCGACTTGAAAAGCTATCCGATCACATCCGTATCGCCGCGAGGATCACAATGGAAATCATTCATTAAGCACAAAATCAAAATGCTGACAGATTCATTGGCTACATACGCCAGAAGAAAATACGCACAGCTATCGTTGCACAAGTACATCGAGTCTAATCGCGAAATGGATTTGATGGCTAAACACATAACAAACAATGAGACAGGAGTTGTATTCCTTGGTGATGCGGCGTTCCCATCAAATTCGAAAATCGGTGTGAAAAGAACAAAACGATCACCGGATCAGCGAAAATTCATAGTTAGCCTAAAAAAGAACGGCAAAACGGATGTTGTGCTTACACCAGAGCCGTATACATCACAAACCTGTGCCAATTGCTTGCGGCGATTTCCGAGAAGCACAAAAAGTGACCGATTCAAAGTGTGCAAAGATTGTCGCCCACACAAGGATGTGAGACTCCCACCGGTTATTGTGACTGATCGAAGCAGACGGCGCAAGCAACGTGATCGAAAACAAAATGCCAGCCAAAAGCCAACAGCAAATGTAACTAGAGCCGAAAAAGCTGAGAAGCACCGGGAAAAGCGTCGAAGTGAGCGCGAAAGCCACAATCCAGAGCAATTGGATACCGAAGAGGCAGTGAGACGGTACAATCGACGCATACGACGGCGTGAACTACGTCAACGACGTCGAGTTGCAGGCCATCGCAGCCGTAAAGTAACCAAACAGCCGGAAGCGGAATCCGATTTGCCAGGTTTTGTGAAAATTGGTGACACAAGTATTTGCAAGATTCGTGTCAAAAATCGTAAGGCCAAACCACAATTATGGCAGCGAATACATTACGATGCAACTGATAAAGGAATTGGGTTATTGGGGTCAAAGAAAATAGCCTTACAGAAAAACTGGCACTCAAGCCCAATGAATGATCAGAACGCTTTTACTGCTACTTGGCATCGTGACATCTGTGCGGCGAAGTGCATCTTGTACAGAGGTATGTGATCTACACAATACAATCACATTCATGTTTTATTGTATTTCAATTTCGAGTTCAATTCGTTCATTCTAGGCCGTTGTATGGTTTTCGACTTGAATGTGCACGAATCATTTGTGTTACCACCAGAAAGGATTTGGCCAAAATGTCGAGATGACCAATCGAGTCGGCCAATCAAATGCTGTCGATGAAAAGTAGAGCGTAGATCAAGAGAATAAAATAAAACATTAACGATTAGTTATTATCAAAGCTTGATTTTTGTGGCTTTGTACATTAAAATGTGTGTGCAAATACACGATGTAATACGGGTTAAACCCGTAGGTAAGTTGTTGTATGTAAGATTTTCTCAGTCAGTTGGTCAATTTCAATATCCACACCAATATTTACCAAAGTCATAAATGGACCTAGTTCAAGTGAAGCGTACAGTTGGATGATACTCGAGGTGGGTCCATTTATGACCTTGTTTCACACGTGATTTGTTATTTTGTTATCATAATCGTTTTTATATCCTTCTAATTGATTTGTTTTTACCGTTTTTTTCTACTTCCATTGTGACGTTAAAAATGACTGAAACAACACACAAATGCGGGCCTTAATTCGACCGTTTACATACGCTTGGTAATGGATGTATTTGCGTTAACAATTGTTTCTTGGGTACAGCTTTAAGGCACATTCTCCGAGAAGCAACTTGTCGCCTAATTCTTAAAATTAAAGATGTAAGTATTGAGAAAGACATAAAACCTAGGGCCGAATTGAATGATAATCGATTCAATTTGTTCTTCAATTCCAGTTGGACATTCCGAAAATAATAAGCAACAAGCTGTTGCCATGCGCCTTAAACCACCATGAAATTGTTCAAAAAATGTTGAAAAATGGTGTTCCACTTGATAAATTGGCTGATTCGTTCTATGCCAATGAATATCAAATTCACCCCGCTGTTCGCAGCCGTCAATCGGAGTTGGATTACCTGCGAGCTGTTGCCCGATGCTTGCTGCCTCGATGCGTGTCCATCAATCAGAACCTCGATAGTAAAGTGTTTTTCAGTTTGGGTCGTGAGTTGTTGGCTTGTTGGGTGCTTCTGCCGGTCATGGATGTACTGTGCTCTCCAAACTGGCTCAATGCCATGATCATCGAAGCCACCGAAAAACGCACTTTATCCTCATCGAAATTAGTCGAATCCAAGGGCGAAAAAGTGATGTTCTTGGGAAAATTCATCGATAAAACTATTGGAGGCGGCCTAGTAAACAAAGGAGATAATGAGCATCCATCAAATGAAGGAACAGATTTCCTCACCGATCAGCATCAGCTCTATATGTTTATGCAGTTCTTAAAGCGAGAGGGAGCCGTTGATATTCTTCGTTTCTATTTAGACGTGGACAATTTAAATGCCGAATTGATGGACCCCAAAATCACAACTGACCCAGCAAAACTGTCTTCACTGCAACAACAATCGGAAACACTACTAAAAGCATACCAAGCCATGATGGAGCGAGACTTCAAGCAGCCAGTAGCAACGCTTGCCGAAGCTCAAGAGGATGTGAAAAACAGTTTGAAGAGCAAATGGCAACGAGCATTCCACCAAACTCCAGAATACTTCAAAATGGTTTACGGCAGCCGTGAAATATCGGACTCGGGCGAATCTAAGTTAGTATCTATGATTTTTTCTTTGTTCATTTCCAAGGTGTTTATATTTTTATTGACTTTTCTTCAGAGCATCCGACGTGCAATCGGGAACGCCAGTGTCTCGTTTTAGCTCCAAGCTGAAGGGAGCTATACGCGGTGCAATCGACGGCGCACCTCTTGAAGCCACCGAAGTTCCCACCGTTTGGGATGCGTTTACCGATGAACCACAGGTATTTTACCTTCACTTTTTTCTAATTGACAGAAATCAATCATTCTTTGTCATTTGTCATAGGCAAATAGTTCAAATCTGGGTGGCAATTCAACAATATACACGATGGCGAATAAACTGAGGAAGGAACGGGGCCAAAATTTGGACACATTCATTTGCACGTTTATGCAGTCAATCGAACAGAGTACAGACGTTGGTGAAGATGTGATTGAAATGAAGGAAATCAAACCAACGGACGTGAAACCACATCCGCCCGGACATAGTCTGGTTTTCGGTGATTTGTTCGGAATAAAATCGTATGGAGTCAAACAACCAAACAAAGAAGCACTGGCCGAACAAATGCAATGGCTTCAAGGACCATCGGAGTGTTTGATTTATATCTGTGAGTTATTTTTCCACAAGACATCCATAGTTTGCTACGTTTTCCTTCAGTTTTAACAGACCTTTTTTACATTTACTAAATATCTCATCTCATTGCAGTGGTCAACATTTTGAATGTAAGCCGTTTTATCATCCGCTTGATTCTGGGTCTCATCAACATATCAAAATCAACAGTTGATGCTCTGTTATGCAAAGGCATAGATAAACTGTTGCATATAGCCCTTTATGAGCCCCGGCTAACACTCTTAGTTCGGACAGTCGATGCGCGATTATTCGGTGACGAAAAGAAGCCAGAGCCAAGTTTTACGGAATTACTCGAACATCAACGACAAGCCAGAAATCGTCTTTCAAAAATCTCTCCAAATTTTGCCAGCGTTGCAGACACATTGCAGTCGCCGACACTTAACAAACAGCTTATGTATTCCTTATTTGATATGATAGTTGGAGAAATATATCCCGAGCTGGATAACATGGCCAAAGTGTAAAAAAAAGTTACCAATACCCAAATAAACTATATATATATATGAAATTTACATTTTCATTGTACATTTGTAATCGTATGAATCTCAAATAAATCATTTTATTGTCGTAATTTGTTTTTTTTTTCTCATGTCCATTCAAAACGCACCAACGACTATTTGCACCGGAATGCAGCAACAACACGAAAACTGAAAAGTGTTGCCAGCGCCGAATTGAAGGTTTGGTATACACATAATTGGAATGTCATGCGAAATAGATGAAGAAAAAAAGAAAAACAAAATAAACACCCAAAAATAGCGTAACACTGTTGTCATTTCATTTAACTGAAAACAAAGGAACATTTTGCAAGTGAACAGCAACGAAACGGGATTTAAAGCGAAAGTGTTCGTTTTGATAGAGTTTTTTGTTTGTTAAGAGTGATAAGGGAGTCAATTTAAAAACCAAAGATACAGAATGAACACTACAAACGACTGGCAGACGTCTTGTGCAAAAATCAAACATCGCGGTGCATATTTGTTCAAACATGGAACGTGGGCAGACTGTCGATTCCTCGTTGGCTCGGAGAACAACCAACAGATTGTGTCGGGACACAAATTAATATTGGCGATGGCTAGCCCTGTTTTTGATGCCATGTTCAACGGCACATTGCCAGAGAAGAATGACCCCATACCCATTTGCGATGTTCAGCCTGAGGCATTCATTGCACTAATGGAGTGAGTGTAAAATCTTGAAAAACTTGACGACAAATTCGACGTTCAAAGTACAAATTATTCATTGGAAAACGTGTTATAATCTCATTTTTCAGATATATTTACACTGACAGAATCGAGATAACATCGATGGACAAAGCATGTGAGCTATGCTATGTTGCGAAAAAATACATGTTGCCAGTTGTTGTTCAACGATGTACTGAGTTCCTGTGGTCCGATCTTAATTCGAAAAATGTGTGCCGTGCATTTGAATTTGCCAAACTGTTTGAAGAGCCTGCTTTGGCTGAACGATGTTTACAGGTGCAAACGCATGACATTCAACATCTTATTTGAGGGAAAAATTGCTGATTTTATGGTGTTTTTCAGATCATATGTAGTCAAACCAACGATGTATTATCTTCATCGAGCTTCGAAGATGTGGAATTATCTACAGTTCTAACGATTCTTGACCAAGGTGAGCATGAAAAACGAAAAAAAAAATTAATAAATAAATAATGTTTCTTGACCAAGATTGCTTACACATCGACTCCGAAATGGATTTGTTCCTGGCATTGGTTCGATACGCTGAAAAACATGGACATGGAAAGCTTATATGTGAGTGTATTAGCGCAGTGTAGAGATTCATTTCCAAATTGTAATATACTTGAGAATACAATCGAATCGTTCGTTTTTTTTAATTTCAGCCAAGGAAGAAGCAGAGATGATTGATGTGGACGCAAATGAAGGACCATCTGATCCACAGCCAAATGCAGGGCCCACATTTCGTGATGCATTGAAGAAAATTCGCTTTCTCTTGATGACACCCAAGCAATTTGCAGAAAATGTTCCGCGGACCAATCTGTTAAGCACGACCGAATCATTTGCAATTCTTATGAATATTTCAAGCAACGACATACACCCGATGCCTGAAGGCTTCTCAACAAGCACCGAATGTAGATCGATCTCTCAAACGCCACTTCATAACAATTCAAATGCATTAAACTATTATCACGAGAATTCTTCGGATGGGCATCAGCTATTTCCGTTGCCCTCATCATCATCTCATGCGGTGTATATGCCAATTTCGAACGCCAATTTGAACAATTTTCATGTTCGCACAAGAAATGCATCCAATAAGTTTCGTGAACCGCAAGCGACGAGTCGCGATATGATCATAGATGTAACGGAAACGCGTCGATTCTATTGCGTGAGACCAATTAGAGAGCAAATTGACTACTTCAATACTAGCGTATCTGATTGCTCCCTCACGTTCACCGTCGATCGTAACATTTGCATAACTGGCATTCAAGTTTCCACTCAAGTGTTGGGCGAACAAAGTATGCAATCCGGAAATCTGCCCGAAAGATACTCGGAGCTCCTCTATGCCCACTTGTTGGATTCATACGGAACACGATTGACGTACACTCATTGCACCTCAAATGTACGCTTCGACTCATTATTGGAGATTTCATTTGACCATCCCGTTCAAATTCACCGCGATCGATTCTATAAAATCGGCGTTGCGTTCAATAAGGTTGGATGGTACCCAATGTGCACATGTGTACCCACCGTTACATGCGAGGGAGTTTGCTTCGATTTTCGTGTTGACGGACCAAACGGCGAATCATTGCGTGATGGTTTGATTCGATCCATCGTATGGAGCCCCTATGCACCACGAGGTGAACGTGACTGAGATTCATTTTACTCGGATCATTGCGCAAAAGTGCGTCGAAAGGAATGAAAATGAAAATGTATATGTACTATGACACGCACGCACGCACACACAGACTGACGCTGATGCAATGTTTGCTATTTAAAAAGGAAAATCATCAATCTCTAGTTATTTGAATTTCTCCTATAAATGTTCTTCTTGGTTTTGAATTAGCGCTAATCCACCCATCACCTGTGGGTGGTCAAAAGCCATCGCTTCATTCATTTAATTGCAATGAGAAAATCAGACACAAAAATCAAAAATTTATTTTCATTAGGTTGACTCTATTAACATTCATTTATTATCGTTTTATTCGGAAAGCAATAGTGAACAAAACTATGCGAATCTAAGCTATTGTGATAATCATAATTTGTTTGCACTTAAAATAAAAACGCTGTTTATTATGTCTAAATAACATTCTACAAATGATTTTGTATTCGGGTGAATTTTGTCATTATTTTCCAGATTTCTGTGCCATTGCCATGGCATTTTCATTGGCCAAAATTTGGAATTCCTGGAACCGTTGAGATATCCGTTGGTTCATCTTCAAGTATTTTTCCATACAATTCAGTGCACACAGGTCCTGTTTAGGAAGAGAGTAATCAGATGAGAGAGAGAGAGAGAGTCAGTCAGTCAGTCATACTTGGAAATGATGAATTTTGGTACTCGGTACCAAACGTATTGGTACTGAAATGAGCGTTTTACCTCAGCCTTCTTGACATCTCTGGATGTGAAGTCACTGACACAATCCATGAAGCAAATCTCGGACAATTTATTGTACGACTGAAGAAAATCAGAAAACTGAAAACGATACAAATCCAAAGGATAACATGAAAATCAAAGAAGTGAGGTTAGGATTGAAATCATGTATTTATTTGAAGCTACACAAAAAACCTACAGTTTTCAGTTGATCTTTGTCCAAAGACTCTAATGGAATGCCAGCTCCAGCCATCTTCAAATGAAATTAATGATTGTTATTCACCAAAGAGCACGAATCAAGGCCAATCGAATTTATTGACTTACCGCGATTGAATTGAATGAAAATATTCTGACTGAAAAGCATATGAATTGACATACAAACGTCAATAAGATAGTAAGGTAGTGTTGCCGCAATCAAAGCGAAATTCATATTTATCAGTTGATTCGAAAATGAAATTCGAATCCAAAATTATATTTTCAATTGTTTGGTTTTTCAATTAATTTATACTTTATTTCATTTCAATTTACAAATGTTTAATCAACTAATGTTTTCGGTTAGCAGCTAATGCCTAAAACTCTTAGTTTATATAAAAGATGAATTATAAAATAGTTTTAATTTTGTGTATTCATTTTTTTGTTTGTATTTTTTTGATCATTTTATGTTCCATAAAAATGAATTCTGTATAGAACATGGGTTTTGGTTTGATTTGTGATCATTTTTGTTGTTGTTGTCGATTTGATGTAAACAAATAAATAAAAGAAATGTTAAATGCATAAAATGTGATTAAAAGATGAACCGTTTGTTTTTTTGTGTGTCAATTCCACATGGTTTTTTTGTTTCGTTTTAAATCTTGGTATAAACAAGTCAATCAAGTTGTTGGTATAATAATGAAGGGAAAAACAAAAAAGATGATACGATTATTAATATTTAAAATGACAGAAACACAATCAATGTTGTAACGAGTCCAAATGAGACACAGAAAAGCAACAATTATTACTGTGACAAAGAAGAAATTTCAACATTCCTCCGATTTTGTACGGGGGCTTCCCTTCTCTTTACTCTACCTCTTTCTCTACTCCAAATAACTAAAATACACAAACAGTGTTTATTTTTTGTCACCTTAGATCAAGCAAACAATGGACTTCATTTTTTGAATTGCAAACAATGATCGTCGCCACTTTTTGTACATTGTGTATAAAATTGTCTAATAACTAATTCCGATTAGTCTTTAGATTGATCTAATTCAAATTGTTTCATATGTTCAACTAATTTCCACGTTTCGGTAAAATGAAAATCATCATTAAACTTAACCACTAAGCGTTTAGCTGGATTTTGTCCTATCATTTTACAATTTTTGGTTTCTTAATTATCTACCTGAAAAGTAAAGTGTATTGAACAAGCTGTTGCTAGAGTTACTAGTGTTCGTATTGCTGTTACTGGCCCAACGATTTTCACTTGATGTGCTTGAGTATGTGTTTGGTGCGGCAACTGAATGATGCGAATGCTGATGCGATGGTTGTGACGCTGGACTTGGTACTTGCTCTACGGCGGTTGTCTCATCGTTCGGATGTGTGTCACAATCTTTCATAAATTGAATGATTCGCTTGGTCTCTTTCATGTGATTAACATGGATTGCTTCCGACTGTACAAGAAACGCGAAAAATATGCATTAAACATTGATTTCAAATCAATTTCGACTCAACAATGCAAAAGATTTCGAGTAAACTACTTACACTGGCTGTCAAATTCATGAAATTGTAATACTTTTCCAGCACTTGAACCATGTCAACGAAACTGTGATTGCGTAGAATTTTGCGCACTTCCATCTCATGCTGCTTGCACTCCATTATCAAGTTTCCAATCAATAAGCAAACGTAACTCGCCAAAAATGTGTGTTCCATGTGATTGCCAGCCTTTTGCAACACTGGAAGCAAAATGAATCGATTCCGTTTAGTTTTAATGTCATCGCAATCAATGAGGTGATTGTTTGCAAATCCTCATAAATCCAAAGTCATTGTTAAAATTTCACTTAAATACTTACGCTTTGAAACCGTTTCTTCCACATCTTCCTGAGATTTGTGTTTATTTTTGTCACGTTTTTCCGGATTGTTCAAAATGTCGTCTGTGTTCTGTTCAACAAGTCTGCGAAAGAGAAAATTTTATTTTCAGTTAGACAATTTCAGACAGTAAAATGTTTCTCGGGTTCATGTCCAATGAAATTGAACCGATGAAGCAAATATCTGTTGCCGATAGATAGTATGTCTTATTCTTATTCTTATTCGGACCGATGCGTTCCATACCTTGCCATTTCTTCGTATTTGTAAAAGTATTCGATGATCGCTCGGATTGCTGGAACTTTATTGTACTGATTTCCGAAGTCAGACGGAGCATTGGTTTCCATGATGATTTTGCGATTTTCTTCCGAGTACGTAACTAAGTTAATGAGCAACAATAATACCTGCGGAGAAATGAGAAAAAAACCAATAATAGTTACCACTTTGGGATAATTTCCAAAACAAAAAGTACGAGGGTGACACTCACTAAAAGACTCAGTTCGAAAACGCATTTTTCTGGTATGTATTGAGGTGCTTGGAACAGTAGATGTAAACAGGTATCGAAAATAATGGGTTTTTCACCGAATAGAACCGAACCCAAAGGCTTATTGTTGAATGTATGCGTTAAATTGATAAGGACTTTTAGCGTAGGCACAAGAGCTTCTCGCAGTACGACGCCTTGCTCGCCAGCCGGTGATGCTTCATTCGTTGGATATAGCGAAATTTCACTGTCGCACAATTTATAGAATTTGACCAATGTTTCAATCACTTCGCCGTTCTTGTAGTGAAGAATATACTTTTGATTCTCTTCATTGCGTTCCGACACATTTTCCAATACCCGTAAGCAACGTTCGATTTTCCGCAATTTCTCCAACAATGTTTCAGTCCATTCGATCACATAATCCGAGATCTGCTTGCAACATTCACATATCGTGTTGATGATATGTTCAAGGCCACCAAGCTTTCGCATTTCATCCTTAAACCATTCGCCTGCCCGCTTCGATGTCAGCGTAAGTAGTGTTTCCATGGCCAGTGTGCCGATCGAAATGTTGTCCAGATTCAAGTGTTCAGCTTTACCCTGGCTTTTGATTTCACGGCAAATTTCAATGACTTTTTGTTCGTTGCGCTGCGATTGTTCGTCGGTAAGACCGGTTTCTTTGTAATTATTCTTGCGACTTATGTCCGAATCCAATAGATTCAACATTAATTCCAGTGAATGCTTGTCCAAATCCATGTTGAGATTGTCTTGAATCAACACGAACATAATTGCGGCGGTACAGAGACCAAGACTTTGGTTTTGTGTTGCATCATGCAGAGCACCGAAGAAATTCGTTGCTGTGCCATGTGCTCGGACATGCATACGGAACGCAGGCGTCATACACTTGAAAGCCAATTGAATTGCCGCCAAACTTCGGGTAGCAATTGGATTTTGGGATTTCAACGATTCGAGAATGTATTCGACATCATCGTCCATCTCTTGGAATTCACCAATTTCCTGCATTTGATGCGCCTTCTTCACATTTCGAATGCGCAGATCGTCATCAGGTACATTTGAACGCGCTGTTCGTGTGAACTTTGACAATGTCGTCGAGTTAGAACCACTCAATGCACCCGTGGACGGTGAATCGACATCGTCGTCTATGTCGAAATCGTCTTCGAATGTGTTCAGCGGTGGATTACTCTTTGCATCATGTGGCGATCCCTTCTCCTCGGAATCATCGTCCCATTTGTGCTTGTATACATGTCGTTTCTGTTTGATGCTGTCTCCTGAATCGGTATCGATTGCACGACTCTTGAAAATGCTGCCTTTCTTCTTCAATACCAACTTTACACTGGGCTTTTCGAAGATTTCCTCTGGCTTCTCCTCCGGTTGATCGAATTCAAACGATGTCGACGTATCGTTATTGTTTGATGCCTTTTGCTGGTCATGGCTGCCATTAAATTGATTTTGATTTTGACGCTTCGTTCGATTTCCGCGCCCTTTCTTCTGCTCATCGTACGACTCAGCGGTCGGAGTATCGTCAAACGGCAGTTTCAAACTGATTGCATTCAATTCACTTTGTGTGTCAGATTGAGGTAACGGTAGTGTTAGGGTGTCGGATGATAGCTGTGCGATTGGTTGTGGCGGTGTTGGATCTGCTGGTATTTCTTCTGCAGCCAATTTACGTTTTCGTCCATAGCTCCTCGTTGGCGCCACTGGAGCTGGCTCTGAGATTTGGTCCTTTTCCTAATCGATGATAGATTGAAATGTAAATATATTTGGAGCAACAACCTCGGTAATGAAATCAATTTGAAAAACTTACCTTCGTCATATTTCCGTTTGCGGTGTGCCTCGTTGAACGAGTTGGTCGCTGTGAAACCTGTGGTTGCGACATTTGGTCAGTATTTGCAGGACTTTGATTTGCTTTTGCTTTGGCTTTTCTTCCACGACGATTACCCCGTGGTTCACTGTTAGTTTCTTCGTTCGGTTGATTTTCTTCGATGTGTTCTGCTGGCAATGGATTCGAATGTTCAGGCACGAAAATATTTTCGTCTTTGTATTGCTTTTTTGCGGCGGCGGTTATTCGCTTTTTGGGATAGTTTTCGGTGACTTCTTTAACTGGTGTTTGTTCCGTTTGGATGTTGGCAAACTCGTTCGATGGCACGGTTTCGGTCACCTTGGATGCTGGCTCGTCATGCTTCCTCCGACCTCGTTGCTTTTTCTGAACTGGTTCTTCTGGAACGGTTTCGGTGTTTGCTTCGAACTTGGTTTTATTCTTGCCCCTACGCTTTTTCGGCAAAACACCACGTTCTGTGTCACTGTTTGCTGTATTGCTGTTTTGTGCATCAACGTCGGCCGATAGATGAACGGGAATATTGGTTTGGTTCAATTGTGGACTGGCAAATTGTTGATATTCTGGTGAAATGCTTGCTGCGGCGGCGACAAAATGAGATTGTGTTGATGGATCAAATGGTCTGTGTGTCGGTGATTCGGTAAGTGTTCGGTAGAGTTCGTAATTAGCCGTTCCGGGTACTGGAACATTGTCTTCTACCACATTTCCCGTAGCTGTATGCTGCGGTGTTGTACGTCTCGTACTTCGTCCTCGATATGGTTCCGGCTGTTCGTTTTGTTCCACCAATTCGGAATTATTCCTCAACCGCGCATTGGTTTTGATCTTCAGTTTGATTGGTTCTGCTTTCGGTTTGGCTTTCTCTTTCTTCGGTTTTGCCGTCGCAACGTTTGCACTTTGATCGTACTGGGGCTCGTTGGCTGTGTAACCGATATTTGCGCTTGTCGATTGCTGCTGAGTGGCTAAATCCTCTGACAACACCGCTACCAATGACGCAGCAGCCGAAAAATTTGGATTCGGTTGAAATTGTTGGGAATTTACGTTAACGGTTTGCTGAGTTGGTGATAAATATGGAGGCGATCCGCTAATGCCCTCACTATCTGTGCTGATAAGTCGAGAGGTTCCCTATGACGAAAGCGAAAAAGAAAAAGAAAACATATTCAAAAAAATGCACAGCCGACAATAAATCCATCAACAATAAGGTCTATTGATTGCAATTTGCACAAGCAAAACTAAGAAATCGGTGATCGGCAACGGTTTATGAAAGTGAAATATGCTTTTATATTGATGCGACACAAGTGTGCGATGCATTTCGAAGCATTCCGTTCAATAAATGTATACGAGTATGTGTGACAATGTCAATATTTTACAACACTGTGCGCTTACAACGCGTTTTTTTTTCTTTCCTTCGGTACTGTACTAAGCGCGTAATTTATAAAAATCGTCAAGTGATTCATGTTTAAGGATTTTATCCTATTTAAATCCATTTTGAATTTGAAAAATGACGTGGTCCTTGATATAAATTCGACTATTACACGATAAGAACACTTTTTCATATCAAGGCCATAGTTTTCATACATGTCAAACATCATATTACTGTTTGTAAATCTGTGCATTATGGTGTATGTGACACTGATTTCTTTTCAATATTTTTTATTGGTTACAATTTTACCTTCAAAATTCATTTTTTTTTAAATTTTCGTTTAAAGTTTTTTTCTATTCAAAAATATCTTCAAATAAAAACAAACAAAACAATCGATTTATTTAATCGAACACACTTTTTACACTCTACACTCTCAAATAATGAACACAATATGAAAATAAAAAAATTTGAACGAGTAACCAAGTCAAATGAAGTGAAAAAAATACAAGCAGATGCTTTTTTGCCACCAAACAGACTAATAATGTTGACACTTCACACACATAATGTTTTCCTATTTTTTTTTTCAACGTTGATGTTGATGTTATTATGTTACATACAATGAACTGACACACCGATACACGGAATTCCTTTGAATGTGGTCGTGTGCTGCACATCTGTGAGGGAGCGGTAACACTGTCGTAGAGCGCGCGTACACAAATATCAAAAATGGCGGAAAAAAATCATTCAACGTCAGATCATATCGTAGTTGTTGTTGTTCTGGTTTTTTTTTCGTTACGGTTGTTTTGACATTTGATATGGGTGCGTTCACACGAAAATCACTCACACTTGACAAATACATGTTGTTGCAACACAAAAGTTCATGACACCGAAGTAATGAATAAACGATTAAATTAATTTGAAAAAAGGAAATGAAAATGCTTACTTTTGAAATTCGTAGAACGATTGGCGGTCCGCAGTGTTTCGACGGCAAATCACCCGGTTGCAGCATTTGTTCGTCGTGATATGGCTGATATGGTTGTGGTATGTTTTGTTCGGTTGAATTGTACAAATTATTTACAACTTCTGCACCATGGATTGGCGATGTTATCAAATCATTGGTGGCTACAGCGGCAGCGTATTGTTCAGCGATTGGTTCATCGTTTGATAATTGTGCCCTTGAATTTCGTGGTGGGCTTCGGCTTTGATCCTCTGAATAGTTTACCACTTTCCTCGTTCGTGACAATACCCTCGTCGGTTTCGGCGCTTCGACAATCTTTTCGCTTGGTTTTGACTTTTTCTTTGATGCCTTTGGCAATTTTTCTGGTTTTGGCGGCTTTGCCGCTTTTTCTACTTTTGTCGGTTTCTCCGCTTTGGGTGGTCTTTCCACTTTTGGTGGTTTCTCCGCTTTTGGCGGTTTCTCCGCTTTTGGTGGCTTTTCTGCCTTTGATTTCTTTGGAGAATCTCCTTTCTTCTTTCGCTTCGGCTTTTCCACATATAATTGCTGCTGCTGCTGCTGATAAGCTGCCACCGGATTGGAAAAATACGATGATGGTGAGCCCATAACAGCGGCGGCCATCTGAGAATCAGACAATGCCGCGACAATTGCGTTTGCATCAGGCACTGAATTACGACTTTTGAAGAATTTTTTTGGCTTCGGAACCGTACTGCTTTCCGACGGTGACTGAACTGTGTTTGTGATTCCACCATCGATCAACGATTTCGGTGAAAATTGTGCATACTGCAATGATGGATCTTGATTTGGACTGAACGACGCAAATCCTACAAGAGACGCAATTCAGTTTGTTTACATTCAAAATACATTGGTACTCGATTTGGATATTTAGAATTCATTCATTATTTATACAATTTGCATAAATAATCGAACTTACCATAAACCGGACGCGCTCGCATCGATGTGAAACTTGTGACGCCCCATTTTCCAACAGTTCCCGCAGATCTGGCTGCGACTGGTCGATTTGTGTTTTCTTTTTCCTTCAGCAAAGCATCTAATGGCAACGCATACGATGGTACTGTTCGACTCTTACCCCAACGTGACATCTAGAAAAAATGCAGGTAAACAGCGAATCCCACACACAAAAACAATGAAACGTTATTAATTCTGTTTACATTCCATTCCAAGAAAATTATAAATAACTGCGAGATAAACACTAGAAATGTTGATATAAACAGTCAGCAAATGCTTGGAGATAGCCCTGTCCACTTGAAATCATAAAATCGATAAACATAATTGGGGCTTTTGTTTGGCCATATCATAGCCTATATCGATGTAGTACATATGTCATGGCGATGCTGCGATTGATATTCAAAAAAAAGAAACGTTTCGATAGCTGTTTCAAAAAGTGTGTTGAAACCAAAAACGAGTTTTTTTCTTCATTCGAATGCACTTGGCGTTCTGATTGATAATTCAATGCCTTGTGTGTGTGTATGTGTCATACCAGACCAATGCATACATAAGAAATGCATGAAGTGAAGATCAAGAAGAAAATACGAAATAAACAATGAAAACAATAACAATCCGACTGAAAACAGCGCACTGTCTAAGGCTTTTTTCCCTTCATTCGTTCGGGAAATCTAGTACAATTCCATCATCACATCCACACAGCATTATGTAAATGTTTATATACATATATTGAATATATCATATGTCGTGCATGGTACAGTGTGCCGAACGCAGCTCACATACCGACCCACTGAGAAGATGAAATATTCACATAAAAATTTCACGCACAGCTCAAAAATGAACGGACCGAAAACTTGACATTCATTTTGTTTTTTGATGGGATTTCATTTATGGCCCTTTCCTTCCGTAAAATTATCGACTGATTTAGGGTTATTTCTATTCACAAAAAGAATACAAATTTATGGGCTCTCAGTGCGGATTGCACAGTCATTTTTTCTCGTTTAATATGCATTACAGCCTTTCAATTCGATGAATACCTTCGATAACTCATATAAAAAATTACTTTTGCTACAGCACAAATAAAATGAATTGTCCACAAAGTGATATCACTTGCACCAATTTAGAGAAAAAGAATAAGCGTCGAATTGCACGGAATCTTACATCGAATTGTGTGGAATTTTTTCGAGTTGTGGTTCAACATTTACTTGAATCTATCGAAAATGTGGGATAAATCACATTGTAATTTCACCAATAATTGTGATTCTTCACGTTTCTGAATAGTTGCCCACTAATCACCTACAAACACATTTAAAAACGCGAATTGAAAGGAAACTCTCTTGACATTAGATGTGCAGCGAAAATAATAGCGAATGACTGAATGAGCGGCAGTCGTCTTGAATAAACCAAACATACGAGCATGCCGTCCATCTCGCTCACACTCTCATCATTCGATTTGCCGTAACGTGTGTGTGGCTCTCTGTCCATCCACTCGATGAAATTCACGTTTGTGCGCAAAATATGAATGTTTGGTCTTCGAAAACCTGCTGCCTTGCACTAGTATTGGTGGCAAATTTCAATGTATTGTTCCTCTTTTGGCACTTTCATTTCACATCGTCGTCCGTCCGAATGTACGTACGTACGTTCGTTTCGTTCTGTGCATGCATATACACAGATGCAAGGAATACAACTCGATTTGGTGAACTCGTTCTTATTCATGTTGTTATTGTTGTTCAATGGACGACAGAATCACTATAAACAATTTGAGAATGTACGTGGATGAAGCGTTTGCTCTTTTCTTTCGTTTTGTTTTTTTTTGTTTTTTATTACATCCACGCTGAAGAAGACGTAATTAATACAGATGGCGATTCTTTGCATCGATATACTTTCCATTGAAACTTTATTCGGGCCAATCGCAAATATTCAAGCGTATTCAATTCGCAAAATATTAAATTCGCTGATAACTACGGGCGAAATGAAAAAGTCACTTTTGAATAAATGCAAATGAATGTACACAATTCTAAAAAGTGGAATTTCGAAACATGCTATTGATTTCCAAGAATTCATTATCGTGAATTGCATCGCTGACTAGTTTACTACCGAATATCGTATGGTTTTGAGATGTTTGACGATAGTTGATTTTTTGCACAGTAAGCTAATAGCGTGAATGTAACAAACATTGATATCGGTCAATTCGCACCTTACAACAACTACTCGATTACACACTCGTTGACGATGATTTCACCCGATTTTTTTTCCCTTTACAAACAATTTTTTGTGATGGATGTTATTTTCAGCCAGCTATCAATAGTGGCCACTCATTGATACAAACAAATTTGTGTGCACTGATTTTTGCGCTTTAAAACTTTTCTTCGTCGGTTTCACACTTTAATTACAAAATTATGTCTAAGTAAGTAAATACGGCCATTTTGGGAATGCACTATGAAGTTGATACTCTCTCACTCACGATTTGTTTTTCGCTTTTGTTACGGTGCTGCTGCTGCCTCTAATTTGTATATATAGACAGAGAGTTATACATGTAGCCTATAATAATATATCTGAGTCGCGCCGCGCGCGCGTTTCATCCATACGCAAAATTCAGTATTCTTGTGTGTATATACGGAGACTCGACGGCGGAGAGACCATTGAAGAGGAGAAGCATACAGTTTCAACGTACTAGATCCCATGTACTTACACTTTGGTACAAACACATCTTACATGCATATGCTTGTGTATGCGTTTGCGTATGTTTGTATTGGATTCGATATATCTTCGTTTGTTTTCACTATGATGCTGGATACGTGTGTTGGTGTTGGATTTCATTCAATGAGTTCATCTCTCTTTTTTTACCAATTAATTTATTGGTACATACATTCAGGCGCATTCAATACTACCTTTTATTGCTCGAGCACATTTTCATTCAAAACAACGAGTTTCGTTTATAAATGGAAAAGAAACTTTAGAAAATAAATTGTTTCGGTTTTATTGGAAATAGGTTTCGTTTTTCACAATCTTCTGACAATTTTCTTGGTCAATTGGAAACATGAATGAAATATCAATGTCGTATTTAGGCAGTTTCTCCCTAGAAATTTAAAGAAAAATAGATTTAGTGGTCAATAATACGTATACATGGAATGTTGAAATCGAACCTGAGGAAACTGATGACGTTCGCACCGACCGTTGGTGTTCTGGAGAGCATCAGGGCCGACAAATACCGATTGGACTTCGGCTTTTCCGCACAATGCATTATTAATGCCCACTCACGGTACTCTGTGTCGATAATGTATGTGTTATAGACTCCCTCATCTGGAAAAATGGTTTGAATTATTAATGAGTATGGACGCTTTTGGCCCATGATTTTCAGCTTTATTGATGACATGAATTGAAAAAAAAAAACTCCGAATGATGAGCTAGATTTTTTTCTCTTTTCCTATCAAAAAGTCAGATTGAAATTGGTTCTGATTTGATGAAAAATGTTGGTATTAAATAAGATATTCGACCGAAAAGGTATATTCTTAGGTTTTTTCTATGATAATTGGATAGAATTTTTGACTTCTTCCATGAGATAAATGCACTGCATGAACAGTGTTCATTGAAAACACAATTTTTTCCACTTGAAATGAGAAACGAAGAGTTGACTCACATATATATTCTGCGTGAATCCAATGAGCTGGAATGTCAACATTTGGGACGATCCAAGTCAAATTTCCGTACAATGCGTCCATGTCAGGATCGTCTTTGTATAAATACGTAAAATTCATTGTGATCTAAAAAGATTGAAATCTAAATTGAGCAAATCAAGTGCATAACGGCATTTTATTTGTCCATTCATACGAACATGTGCACTTTCCGTTGATATCGAGAAATTACATTTCATGCAAGAGTATTCGGCCGCTTCCTCAGACGACGCATAATATTCAATAACATACCAAAATCCCATCATATCAGTTATATTGAAATTTCGCATCGCTTTCACCTACGGCGAAAAAAAAGTAATAAAGCAGAACGGTAAAGTCCATAAGAAAAGTGAAAAATAAAACAAAACAAGAAAACAAACACAAATGAGTTCTCAACTTCAATTCATTAAATTTTATATGTGAATTCGGTTTCTTTCACCGATTCATTTCAATGCTTGAATAAGACAATGTGCCCGAATAGCAAGTTGAATTGGATGTTGACCTGTGGACAGTTTTCTTGTAAGTCTGGACGATAGGGCACCGGATGGAATTTATTGTAGTCGAAGAAAGCAATGACATACGGTGTATGGAAAATATTCAACCATAATACCAGCGTCAATGTAAATAAACAAGTGATTTTGCTCGACATATCTATATTTAAATTCACTCGCTTTTTAAATCACTTGAAACACTTTTTCTTATGTAAACACACGCGTTTTATTCGTAAACGTAAAGTAAAACGAAAAGTGAAATTATCTATTGAGACGAAATGATTGTGTTATGTGGAGAAGCGATCCGTTCCAATATTTTTTCGTGACTACTTGAGCTTTGTTCATTTGATAAAAAAACAAAACATAAAACTTTGTTTTCAAGAATCATACAATGGGTTTTATCTATAACGGATGCCGGGGCTACAGTTTTTTTTTTCATTTCAGCTCGAAATTCAATGATAAAAGTACGTGTTGACATTTTGAAATGTGTATGAATAAATTTAATCCCACTTCATTTGATCGCCTAATGATTTTAGAAAACATCTTGTTGAATAAGTTTTTTTTCGAAAGACTCAGAATGACCGTTCAAACTGCTAAATTTCAAAAGATCGCCTGCGATTACGAACATCATTGCACCATGTGTCATTATTTCTATTCACTCATTAATGGAGAGCTAACGCTTAAAATACTTCAGAAGCTTCAGTTTCATTCATGCTTGCAGAAATTACGCCGTAATTATTTCATCGTTGCGGCTCATGCAGATTTCATTGTTCAACGTTGAAAATATGTCTGGCTGTTATCATTCCTTTCAATGTGGTTCAGTATGTAGTATGTACGAATTGGTATTTCAAAATCCTCACAACTGTTCACAATGGACAGGTTTTTAATTTGAGCATACTTTTAATTTTAAATAACTTGCGCTATTTCACGTGGAGATTGTATGAAAGCCCGATTGCATAGAATGTGTTGATCGCGTCATTTATTTCTTTCTTTTTTCCACCGCGACTTTCTTTTGTGCATTCTTTGAATTCGCATTGCTCCAGAATGTTTGAGCATAGCCGACATCTTTCCTTCTTGTCCGCTTTGCACAGTGCTGGATCCGTGAGCTGATCTTTCAGATTGAATCCGTCTTAAATGTACTCGTCGATTTTTCTCTTTTGTCGACAATTGCGATGATGGGTGTTCGTTGAAATTATCAAACATTCAAGATCTAATGGCTTAGCGCTCGCATTAGAGCCTCCATCCAGATGCAATTATTCGAGCTAGTGTAATTTCGGTGCGCACATGATGAATTATGTGGTCATAAAAACGGATGGAAATAAATTTCCAGTGATAAGTATCAATCGATTGATCCTTCAAGCAAAACTCATAGTTTTCAACCTCAAGCAGATACGAAAAGTAACAAAAATGCATCTTTTCTCCGTTTCCGAATTTATGTTAACGTTTTTATTTTTGTTTTATTTTCGCAGCAACTAAACGAGCCATGAATGAACCATTTCTCACACATTGAATAACCGATTTAAATTTTCTGTGATTCTCTTTCAACATTCATCTTTTCTGAAGTGCGAGCGTGTGCGCGCGCGATCGATGCTCTTTTTCATCTCTCTTCCTCTCTGTACGTATGTGCTTTGCAGCGGAGATGTGTTCGCTCTTTTCAAGAGCTGGTCAATTCAATGTTCTTCGCAGCACAAAATCGCACAGTATTCGCGGAAAAGAAAGGAAACTGCAACGTAGAAAGAGTGAATACTGAATACTGATAATAAGAAACACAGCCATAAAAACAATAATAATAAAACGCTAAATAACTTCGAAATTCTGTGTCAACAGACTTGGTTGAATCGCCTGTGTCACACATTCGATGCGAACGAGTGATTGCAATGGCAATGACGATGCGTGTGCATCGTTCATTTATTGAGGTTCAGATCGCCTTGTATCGGTTTGTTCGCGCTCTTGCTGACTGGCTGGCTGGCTAAATGCATGCGCATTCGAATGAGTTGTTAGTATGTGCTGCTCATTTCTCATTTCTCCGAATGTATAAGAAATGGCAATCCGCAGCGCGCGAGTGCAGGTAAGCAATGGTTCGTGTTTCATTGGCTTGTTATTTGCTAATAACCATAATTAGTTGATGTGTGAAATTGCTTTAGCTAAAAATAGATGAAAGCGAACAACTTGCAAGTAAAAAATGAAAAAGAATTGCTATATTCAATGGGTGGATTTCATTGATTATGGGTTTTAATTGCGGATTGCGAGCTGTTAGAACGATTGATGATGATATCCAATTGACCAATGGAAAGAGAAACAAAACACAGCAAAATCAATATCCGCCTCAAACTAACGAACTATTCGCATTTCGTCACCACAAAACCAAAAAGCACTGAAAAAAAGTTTTTTCTCTTTCTTTTAAACATACAAAAGAGATCGAAACCTTAATCACTTGTTTGTTTTTGGATTTAAAAAAAAGCAGTCCACAATAAGATTCTTTTTGATATTCACCAAAAACCACTCAACAAATGAATACAAAAAGAATGTTGCAAAAAAAAGAAACAATGATCTCGTTGAAGGTGAAATTTTTGGACGGAGCCGTTTGTTATTTCAATTAAAACACGTTTCGAGTGGAAAATGGGTCAATTCGTTTTTCTTAAATTTGCTTGTTAAACGAAAGCTCATATCTTATCGCCCAATACGAGCATCCATAATTCAGATCGTTTCAGGATCTCATTCAACTCTTATTTTATTGAGAGAGCAAACACTGTGCCACACTATCCATAGCATGTAACATATGCGGGGTGGTCTAGTCAGTTTGGTTTTCGATTTTGTTATGCTATGCGCGAAGAGAAAGAGAAAGAGAGAGAGAGAGCACAGTTCATCAAAATTAATTAAAACAAACACGTGGTGAACCTATTCCACTCTTTGCGGAATTTATACGTATATGTGTTCCATGTACTGTAATGCCTTGCACTTGAACCGAGTCGAGCTATGCCGAGCCGAATCGAGCGGAGCAACGCATGTGTGCGATTTTCGGTTGATCATTTCTCTTTTCTCTGGCTCTTGATCCGGAGGCACACACGTTCACATTCGCACAGTGAGTAGTCGTCGTGTGCGCCGAGCAACCACACAAGCAAAGAAAAAAACGTAGAAGCAGAAGAAAAAACAATCAAACAGAGAATCACAACAAAATCGCGTTTTTCCGCGAACATACAGTGTGTCTGTCGCAGAGACGTGTATCGTTGATAGTAAACAGGTGGACAAAACATTCTTACATTAACCGTGGTACGGTTCAGACGAGAGTTCCTCATTCACATTGTACGCGACCTACAGAAAAATTATTTCGATATTCAGTTCTTTGATACAATAACTAGCTAAGACAGCATAGCTTTCGCTCGAGGGCTTATTGATTTTGGTGTAGAATTTCAGTGAGTTTCGTTTGGAGAAAATCCACGGGCCAGTACACGGTTTTAGTGCATTGAAAAAAAAGAGAATTTCAGAAAAAAATCTCATTTTGAAATTGAACATTGATAAAAAGACGAATTGACAATTGTGAACAAACTATCAACTATCAAAATCGGATTTACAGTGAGACAAATATCGATTGGATTTATTTTTCAGGCACGTGCTATACGGTAAGTTCATTGAAGATTTATTTATCTTCGCGATTTATTCAATCAACCATATATATTTACGGAACAAAAATTGTCGTTGGAAAATCAAGTGACTGTCTAGAAACGCGACAGCACTTGATGTGTCTTTGTGCGTGTGTCTGTGGAAATTTTCTTTTATTTTTCGTTTGTAAAAAGTGCACGAAATACGCAATTGATGAATAAACGCAACGGAAAAGCACATCAACGACATACACAAAAGCAGAGCGAAACAATTCTCAACTGTCTCCATATTGGAAAATTGATCTAAATGTCAATTCACCATAATCAGCGATTACAATCTATGAACACAAAAGTTGTGATATGATTGTTTTTCTGACGAAGCGGCTGTCTCGATCGCAAGACATGGTCAACATAATGGGCTCAATGATCTACTGATCTACACCCATATTGATCGCAATGTCGATACAAATGTAGTTTTAGTTCCTTTTTTGCGCAACGCGCGCGCAATTGCACTTTTTCAGCTTTTATTGCCTTTTTCTCGCTCAATTGTTCTCAATTTTTTTTTCTTTCTTCTTTTATGATTCATTTATTAATGTAAACAGTGTCTTTCATTGCATCTTCCGACATCGTTTCCATTTTATGACAGTTTTTCGGTCAACAAACGTTTCACGCACGGTCGTCGGATTCGAAAACATTTGCACAACAATCAAGTTCAGGTTTTATTGAGTCTCGATGATATCACCATGATTTCTTTTCTTGAGTGATATTGCCATTTTTGGAATAAATTTTCGTTCTTTTCGAATGCACCCGAAAATATAAGAACCTATGCAGACTTTGGTATTTGAACGAACTTAATTCGGCAACTCCGTTTTTGAACTGTGATTTTTTTTTGCTTGAATTTGATGGAAAAATATAATTAAATTAAGTAAAATATTTTCTTTTCCGCCTTTTACCATTTGAATAGAATTCATCAAAATTCTCAATAATGATTAGAATTTGAAAGTCAAAAATATGACCGAATCGAGTATTGAAATGTGAAATTATTTTCTATTTCATTTAATTGAAAATATGAATTTTTACAAAAGAATTGGATCAACAAATTGGATTTGAAGTTCACGCCACATTAAATATAAACGTATGTTTCTTTCGATATTATTCGAAAGGTTCGCCGACAAAGACACACATTCACAATGTTCGTCGCCATGGTCTCCATCTCTTGTCACAAGCGGCATTGAACCATTTATTTTGAAGAGTAGTTTTTCACCGATGTCAAACACAATGTATACGAGGCTATGTTAGTGCGAATAATTTCCACTGTCGCAGATTGCACGAATCGAAGAGAAAATAGTTGATATCAGAAACTTGTGCGTAATTCCCATTCGTACATCTGAGCTGCAGTTGCGCCGATTTTCCCCTCGTGTCAAACAAATAATTAAATTCATTTTTACGTGCGACATTAAAGCAGTTGACATTTGGAAAAAGTTTTTGTTCCACAGAAAACGCGTTAATAGTGAGCACAAGTCTATTTTTTTCATCTTATTAACTACTTCTACTCTTCTTTTTTTTTTTAAATGAGAAAATGAAGAGGATGCATCTCGATTAATAATAATAATCTTTATTAATATCGCACATGATCAAAGAGCAAAGAAAAGAGAAACTTGACGAGGTGATTTCACAAGTGATGTCTTACAGTGTGGGAGAAAGAAATCATTTGCACTGTTACTCGATCCGTCTCAGGCTGAGACTCGAACGAGAAATATGTTATCCTCAATTCAAGTCGACTTGTCTTGACTTGTGTGAACTAATTATAATCTATCACAGTGAAATGTTCTGAACTTCCGTTGAATTTAAATTAGGTTTTGCAATTGTGCAATCATAACAGCGCCGTTGCTGCTCGAAAATAGGCCAACTAATGCTATCAGCGAAATTGCAAACTCCACTCGAAAGAACAATGCCTAACAATTTGATCCGTATATTTTCAGTTCCAAGAATGCGAAATAATGATACAACATTCCTAATTTCATATAACAAAAGACGAAAATATTCGGGATAGAAGACGAAAAAATAAAACAGGTTATGAATGGATTGAATCATGCAATTTCTCGTTGGTTTAAATTGAACAACTTGTTAAATGCTTGCATTAGGATGCGTGTAAGAATGAAATGTTCGTACAGCATAGGCCAAAAGTATACGTTCAATGCTTAAACTGATTATTTATGCACTGAAAATAATGCAATGGGTCGAAAGAGAAAAACATTTAATTAGTACAATTTATCTAAACTATTAATAGTTTTACATTTTTCCAACCATTTCTATGGAGGGAAAAACCGCTTTTGATTGTATAGTACACTTAGTAAATTGGCATGACTGAAATTGCCCGCAGACGCGTAAAACTTGCAGAAATTCTGAATTATATCGCGCACATATGAAGCAACGTGGAGAGAATCTAAAACGAATTAAATGTCGAGATCATGACAAAAACAAATACGTCAACAGTGAGAGAGAGAGCGGGAGATTATGAAATATTCTCGCGATCACAGCGTATACTTGTTCATTTATTATTCACACAATTGTTACTCCATATTCAATTGTCTTCTCATAATTTCAACATTTACCCTGTTTTCCCTAGTTTTTTTTTTATGTAACAATTTTGAATGTTTTTTTCTCTTTTTATTCACAAATGTGAAGCTAAATTGCACACGGTTCCGTTGGAGCATCCAATTGAGTGAATCATATTATAAGAAAGAAATCTTGAATTAATTGTTGAATAGCTCTCGATTCGGGATGCTTGAGACATATATTTTCCATGAGATTTTGATAAATGTGTGACAAACGATTCAAGTTATCGCCGCACAACTCTAAGAAAAAAATTCAAAATTTTCGCTTGATCTTGATCTTTTTAAATTTCATTACCATGTGTCGCGAAATAGACGAATCATCAGTGTCAGTGTGTACAATAATAATAACATGAATTTACGTTTCCTGCAACGTTCGTACAGGTACAAGTGAATTGTTTTTGTTTTCATTTACATTAATTTCCACTTGTGGCTGAGGAAAGGTATACCTGAGCGTCGATAACGGTACCTGTCATGTGTGCATACCAGAGTATTGCATGTCATTGCGAAAAACGAAGATGTGTGCGTGTGTTTTGAACTGTTGTTTTTTTCATCATCATCTTCTTCTTTAGCGCGCGCACACACACATCAATGATGATAGCAACATGTTGGCATTTCACGTTCATTTCGTTTGGATTTCTGCTTTCATGTTCTGGATAATTATAAATTCTCAATAAACGCCATACAGGTGCGCCATAGGAGCTAATTGCTTGTTGCGTATTTGAGTAATTCAGCAGAAATGCAGAAATTATGCTGAACGCTCGAATATTCATAATGTTGTGGAATGTGACCGACTTTGGTTCACTACACCACGGCAGCCACAAGTAGACAAGGAGTCATAGCAAAAAACACACAGAAACATACATTATTATATTTAGACACTTTCTGCAATTTGTCTGGCATTCAGTCCGAACATAATACAAAATTAATGAATAATTTTGGTCTTTTGAAAATGGTGAATATCAAAATAAAAGGAAAATCCATGTTAGGCGACCCAGTGATTTGAGCGACTCATTAAACTATGAATAGAGCAAGAATATGGTGCTGTAGATTCCACTTTACTTGCGGATGACACGTGTGATTTAATAACTGTTGAGCAGCGCGCTCGACTTACGATACATTTTATACAATTTATTTTTCTCTTTCATTTATCCAACAATTTATGTCCACGAAAATTGGGTCACATCGCATTTGCCCTGCTGAAAGGAAAAGCAGAAAAATTTACATTCATTTTGAAGTTAATTTATGCATAATCTTTTTCGCTTTGCCGTCTTTGCATATGTGAGTGCGAGTGTGTGTTGGTGCGTCGTCTCATTTTTTCGTTCGTTCAGTCAGTCATTGGTTCAATCCATTCGATTTTCTATTCGTACCTCAGCACCACGAGATCCACCACTCCAGTCCATGAATTCAACGTACGTATAAATTGCAAGTAGATTGAATAACATTTATCATTTATTGAAATATTCTCGTGCACAAGTGTGCACAACAAAGAGAAAGATCCAATGCCAGTCGGGAAACGAAAGAGAGAAAGAGAGAGGGAGGAACGTTGCAAAAAAATAAATTGTAAGACGTATCCAAAGGAAAGCGCGTTCTTCATGTTGTTGATTTTTTCCCTCTTCTTCTTCGTCTTTTTCTTTTCCTCCTTCTTGTTCTGTTTTATGATGCTGTTTCACTTGCTACACAGCACTACTCAATTCAAAAGCATACCAATCAATATCCACTTCTTTAGGTCGCAGATCTCATGTTAAAAGCAGCACACACGAGTCTTTCGTGCAGCTAAAAGAAGACAAAATGTTATCGACTGCGCAAAACCGATTAAGTTCTATGTGCGAGGCGAAGAATGTAGCCAGCAGTCGAGTGCGTCGCTTTAAACAGAAGCATGAGTACTGTGTACATATTTACAATCAGTTTCTCGGATGCATCATGTTTTCGACGTTTTGCATGCAACTCGTCAAAATAACTGGTCATTGAAAAGAAAACAAACGATAGCATGCCACAAGTGCCGATTATAATGCACCTTTTTTTTCTTCAACAGAAGAGAACCGATCGTTTGCGTCTGTCGAGTGAGAGAAGTGAAACTGTTTTTTTAACGTACGAATAAGATGAAAGAAATAGTTACCGAAAAATTTTGCATCGAAAACTCTTGTGTCACATTGACCCAATTCGTTCAATATATACAAATTGTCTGAATAGTCCTTTTTTGTTCCTAAAATATTCTCATCATACAATGAGCAAATTCATGGAGACACAATTTCAAACGATTAGTCCATGGAAATAGTCGCAAGATTTATTATGATGATGGTTACAAATATACGGCGACACAAACTAAAGAGAAACGTATTAAGTTGCAAATAAAATAGTGGATTTCAATTGAAATCCAATAAATTCCAATAATACGCATTCGTTACTGCGACCAACCTTTCTACTCAATAGAAAAAGCTCTGTTTTTCTTCTATGCTTTCTTTGCCGAGTTTCATTGGCTCAAGAGCACACGATCGGTAGAGCGAGAGCGAGAGAGTTCAATATCACCATCATATCAATGACCGAAGTGCATTAAAAAATGACTAAGCATACATATGCCTTCCCGAATCAATAAAAGAAGAAAGCATTCGCAAGATGGACAACAATAAAACACGTATAATGCCCATAAAATCGCTTTGTACTTGTAAATCGCCACACTTGCGTCAAAATAGCTTAGTATGAAGACAGAACGAAGAAGAAGAAGAAGAAGAAAAACAGAAAACGTTTGTCGAAGAAAAAAAAACGAAAGGCTCTTTTAAATCAGTACAAAAGTAAATACAGTGGATTTACGATTTCTGCGGAACATTGGATGGAACAAGAAAAAAAAGAACTCGATTCAAGCCTTCGGAAACGTCTAAGAAAAAAAAGCGCACGTAAATTTGCTAGACAAAAACCAATTAGAGGTTTTGATGGAAACAGAAATCATATTGGAATATCAAAATGTGTCGGCATACACATAGAGAAAGTGTGCAAAATGAACCACTAATCGAATATGCCGCTGATCGTATTCAGTTGGGAAAACACACCGAGAACGCCGACGGACGCGAATCGAAATCTTTTAGCATGCCAATTGAGGTAATAGTTGGTTAAAATTATTGACACAAAAAGCATTACGCGAGCGATGAAGAGAAAAAAAAGTAGAAGAAATAAAAATAGACATAAGAAGAACGGTGAATATATCATTGACATCAACTCAAGCGGAGAATCAACTCTGATCAATTTATGCGAAGCGGAAATCTTTACGAGAGTATAAATTTCAGACTATAGAAACAGATTTCAATTGAATTGAGACCAATGATCATGGCGTAGCACACACACACACACACACATGCACACACAATCAATTTAACTTTCGAGCAATAATCAAAGCACATATTTAGACTTCATTACCTATTTAATTCATGACCAAATTACTAAACGTACCAACGATCCATCATCTGCGACGCAGTCGATCTTTTTTCCCTTCCACTATTGGAACTATTGGAAATAAATGAAACTTTGGAAGTGAGCAGCACAATGACTTGGCACAATTCAAATGCAAACGCTTATATACAATTTTTGCTGAGTTCTTCAATTTATTTGAATGTTTTCTTTGAATTTCACAAATGATTTTTCACCTAAATATATTTAGAATTTGAGTGGATTCCATTTAACGTACGATTTGGATGCTTTTTTAGTTGATTATTGCCAATTAACCCCCCATGTTTCCAGAATTAAGTTTACTATTCACGTGCGTTCTTCACAAAAGACTGTGAAAATATCGTCATAAATGCGTAATTTTCACATCCCGACCAACTCATTGTGTGTCTATTGTATGTTTTTAACAGTTGCATGTTTTCAAAACAATTATGGAAAATTAAATTTCAACAATTTTTTGTTTAGTTATTAACTAATAATAATCTTCGCAGGGAATGTTCTCGATTTGTCAAAAAGAAAAGACCTCATTTCATTCAATTTTCTGATTGGGAAGCTTTTCTTCTTTCAATTTTTTGCATTTTTCAGTGTCTCTAGATGATTTTTTTCGATAATTTCCCTCATCCATATTCAAAAACCTAAATCGCATTCGCAAATTTTCCCGTCGTTCAACTGGTTTCAGAAGAAGAAAATTCAAACATTCCCCCTAGACTATTTACCGAGGGAAAATGAAAAGCGTACGCACGAGAAAACCGATTCGTACCGATAGTTAGGCAAATTTTAATTGATTCACCTTGATTTCACGTAATCTATGGCTGAACTTGATTTGCATTGCGAGCACATCATTTGATTTACATACATGTATACGTATATGCTTAACCACGATAGTAACAATGATAATCATAATAAAAGTGCGTGCTAATGAGCCGCCGTTAATCGATAGTGAACAATGGGAAACTGTAACAGTACAAAGGCATGTGGCAAATTAAAGCAAATCTCCGTGAGTTGATCTTGCACATGTGCCGTGTACTATAAATTGCACTTCTAACAAACGACAAAGACATAACTGTGAATTGTATGCAAAAAGCGTTGAAAGGGAGTCGTATAATACCATCTTTGAAACAGAAATGATGCTATAAGCTATTGTTTACTATGGCCCATATTTTCTGGGATCATTTGGAAATTATACACATACACTCAGCCAGAGATTCATTGCTTCAAGACTTAGTCGACTTGGATCGGCTCAATTACGCTGTCAGCGTTTTCAAGCCATTCGACAAGAGTTGTCTGTGAAATGCAACTCTGCTTGGGTTGAGTTGGCTTGGGTTTATGTTCTATTTTTATTTTCTTCCATTCGGGTTTGTGTGTCTCTCTCAACGAAACAAACCGACTACAATAACAACAACAACGGCGGCGACGACGACGACGACAACGGCGACTGTCTACGTTGTTTTTCCATTGTACACTTCCGTAACGCGAAGCGAATGAAATAAACAATGTCAAGAGGCATATTTCACACACCTTTTCGCCGTATGCATTTATTGTCTTCTCAGTTTTTCTTTATATGTGTTTCTCTTGTTATTTTCTCTCTTTGCAATGACACATAAAATTGATACGATTTTGCTGTATGTCATAAAATGCGTTGCGCCGTGCCACAATGGCTGCGGCATGTATGTATATGTGTGTGCCGTCGTTACCATTTCAGATTTAGAAGAGACATTAATGAGTGGAATTTGGAATAATATGTGGTGTTAAGTGTACATTAAAAGTCTTTTTGTGTTAAGGTGTGTAACACATTTTGCTAAGTATTCGCGCAATGCACTTGACTATTTTCTCAAATTCGAACTTTTTTTTATCGCATCGTGGGACACTTAAGTTTTATTTTATCGTCTCGTCTTGTCTTGTTTGCAAGCACTGGAGCGCCATTTCTTTTTCGTTGGCTTCGGGTGCATTGTCATTTGTATTGTCTTGTTGAATTTGTCATTGTTTCTATTGCCTGATTGTTTTTATTCGCTTCTGAATTGAAATCTTCTTATCAGTATCACGCTTCGTTTGTCGAAGAAGACAAGCAAAAACATGGAACATAGGTCATGACGGTGTCTGACAATTCTTATCGGGAACGAATCACTCATATCAATGAATTACTTACCCAATTATCTTTTACGTCCAAAATTTTACATTTACTAATTATTTACATTCTTAACACCTAGAAATTCTCTTCTTTTTTTTCAAATGATTACAGATTTCGCAGCATAAGACAATGAGGACTTTCATCACAATAAATTTTATGTTAATGTTGATCTTGGCTCAGGTAAGATGACAACAAAAATCAGGACCTTTACTTGTATGTAATTTGTAAGAAGAAAGAGTGCATGCAAATGTCTTATTGATGAGTGTCCGGTGTTGGATGCAAATAACGGAATTAGACGTGGAAAGTGAAAATAATGTGGTTTATAAAATCATTTATTATTTTGAATTGCGTACATTGAAACGAAAATGTGCACAAATTGTGTTGGACACAAAGCGGCCGTGGCTGTCGAACCATATCACTCTTATCGACGCTTGGTTGACGCTCATTCAGAATATTCGATCTGCGATCCAATCGGACCATGTTCACATTACTTACTTAAGTACCGTTATGCGGTTTTCTTTTCTCTCCCAGTTGAACGAGCGTGCGTGCACGCGCGCGAACAAGCAATTTCTTTTTGTTCTTCTCTCGTTCGACAGACACATTCGCACACTTCACACACGAAACAAGCGACATACATGATTAATCTAATTTCATTTTAATTTTTCTGCGTCGTCTGCTCTCTGGCATATGTATATGAATATGGATGTGTATCCAGGTGTGTACTTTTACTCTGCGTTGAACTGCTTAGGCTTTTGAAAAGAATCATTTTTGTCGAACAAATGGACACCAGGTGGGAAAATTCTTGTTGGGACTACTATTGCACATTCATGATCTCTTTTTTTTTAATGCGCAGGTCAAACAATACGCATTGAAAGTGATCGACGACCGTTGAAGAGAGCATGGGAACATTCAAGTTAATTATTAGCCGAACTCCTTTATCCGTTTTTTTCGTCTTCAAATTTTACACCTTTGAAACTCATTCATTTCACTTCGACGATTGAACCATGATCTCATTTCTTGTAATCCGATTCAATTCACATTCGTGCTACTCCGAATTTTGTTTACCTTTAATTCGCGATCGCTTGTTATAGCTTTTCATTTTCGTTTGTAACTGTACATTTTTTCATTGGCATGCTATTGAATTGAAATGTATACGAAAGCGATGAAAAATACAAAGAACACACAGATCTGAGCCGGTTGATAATGCGACTCCCGTAAAATTCACCAAACCGAGCATGACCAATTAACATTAGCTTTTATGTAAACGAATTGTAATTTCATTTTGGGCAAGGTGCAATGTGACACCTGTAATCTTGGCTTTTGTCGATTCTAACGAACATATTAATTATTCATATTCATCATCGCACATGCCTACTTTTCGGCATAATAAAAACTTAAAAGTGTTTTAAATGATGTAAAAAAAGAAATTTTATTTAAAGGCATATTCAAAGTGGGAAAATGAGCGTCATTTATTATTTTGGGCTGTGAAAAGAATATCAATTCAAACACGAAAATAATTCATTTCAAATGGAGTCAATTTGAATGCGCACAAAAAATGCCGCAGTGATTTGGAGCTTTGAATGAAGGGAGAAAGAAAAAAAAACTCTCACGGCTCATCTTGTTTAACTCATCAATTGCCAAACAAGAAGAATCATTTCGCTGTTTGCGGAGATATCATTTTGGGTTTTGCGGTTTTAAAACTAACCGACCGACTAATATGTCTCTAGAAAGTACATGTAATTTAATTTTTGATGAAAATAGAAGCCGACATTGAAATGAAGAAGAAACCGAATCGTGTAAATGGCTGAAATGGAGCCAATCAATGGTGCTCCGAATGACAAAAGGCAAAATAGCCAATGATCGTGCCAATTTGAAAAGAACAACTATGAAAGAATGTAAAAGTCAGTGTGCGCACATTGTCAAAAAGCGAATATTTATGGGTTCTTTTGATATCCAGACCCAAGTGATATATACACACACATGCACACATACCGGTGGCACTGAGAGAGCATGAGGAAGAAGTTGAATGCCGCAGGGAATTTACATTCCAATAGCGCGAATTTATGCGGTCATTTCGACATCGCTTCGCAACACTTTTCACATTATCATTTGTGAGCTCAGGAAAACGAGTACATGCGAACCAAGCGCTTCGTTCTTCTTTCACACAAAACCACTTCATGCGCGCACACTGTGTTCCCTTATGCATGGCTTGAATCGTATGCGTGTTCAATTTATTCGGGTATTTTGTGAACCACATCATTGCCTTGCTTTATCATCAGGTCAATATCAAAATTTTGCATCTCGTAACCCGAGAACCTTTCATTTGCTTTCGAAATTCAACCGAGCAAAAGAATCCACTTGAACATTTACAGTACGAACAATTGATAAGATCAATTTATAATTGATAAACATCTAAAGTCAAGGTCGTGGTGCATCTTATCGTTATTATGTCGCCGGCAACCGAGCAATTGCGGTGAGATATGTTCAGAAACCTTTGACAATTTGTTTAAAAAAACTGCTCTTTCGCTCGGAGAATCAACTCACCAAGCTAAAATGAAGCTTGCGAGTTAATCTTACCGTGGCGCACTTACCTGGAAAGTCAATTTGTGCCGCAAAGCACATTTTCCATGCCGATGAAAAATTGTTCGGAAAAAAGAGAATCAAATACGTACGTATTTATGAAAGCAATTTGTTCGGCGAGCAAACGATGGGAACACGTTTGGTAGAACACTTGAAAAATGAACTTGTTGCTACACATGTTTACACACCGATTGCAACAAATAAGTGCGTAACACGGCTAAAATCCAATCATTAACATTTACACTAACAAGGAGTTATAATTAATGGAACGAATGCTGATCGAATACGGCAATCAGCCAACTCATTCAGTTTCATTGAACTGGTGAACTTTCTTCTCTTGAATACGAAAAATCAAGAGACCTCATTAGCAATTTATTGGCTGACATAGTGGAATATTGCGAAAAAGCAAACGTCTGTATCATATGGTGTGTTATATTGCATGATCATCGAGAGATTGAGAAAGAGAGAGAAGAGAAACACACAGACACACAAGATTTAACAATTAATTTTTGGTCAAAGACAGTTCACATACGGACAATGACAAAAATGCGTTCCGTCCTCATATTGCGGAAGAGAGAAATACAGTCGATTCCAGCCGATTCCAAATGCACGAGACACAGAAGCCGAAGATGATAAAACTGTAAAAGAGAAAATATTTGCTCCACTTTTTTCCGGCGCGTATATTTATGCCTGCATATGAAATGGATTTTGGTTGATGCGTGCTTTCGATGTTTTTGTTTCGCCATCGTTTGGATATGAATATTTTTGCGGCTCGCGCTCACGACGAGGCATCGATCGTAGCCACATCATCGTGTGTGTGTGTGTGTGTGTGTGTGAATGTGTTTATAACAGGGAGAGTAGAATCAATTCCATTGCACAGTCAGAATGAAGATTTGCTTTTGGCAGCCGATAAACATCAACCGCGCACAGTTTGTTCATTGTATTGGCACACAGAGCCACAGACACACTCACACCGAACGAAACTGCAATTAAGAAAGAATTTCCAATGAAAATTCCGTTGGTCAAGCCTTCTCTTTTCGCCCGTTCTCACAAACCTGAATATTTTAATGATCAATGGAATATTGTGTGCGTTTGGCGAATTTTATAGCCTCATATTTTTGATAACCAGTTCAGCCGACATCAACAACTTCATGCACATTCTCATTTTCATTTTCCACGTTCTTCTTTTTTCTCCTCCATGCACTTGCTGATAAGATTGTGGTGCAACGATTTTTCGGGATTACACTTTAAAATAGCACAATTTTTTGCGCAAGCATTTAACACGAATTTCATTCATTCACTCATATTTGCATTTTCGAGAAGTTGCACAATTATTTCAAGCATTTGTCAGATTTGTGTAAAAAGCCATTTTATATACAATTTTGTGTCTGAACTTTTTTTCTTTCAAAGACGTAATAATTCTTGTCGAACTTTTACCAAGCTCGTTTTTTAATTTTTATATTTTCGATTTCACAGTGTGAAATTCACACTTAAAAACAAAAATGGAAGAAAATGAACAAACTAAAAATGTCATCTTAATTCTCAATGGGTAAATTCCAATCAAGTTATAGCTACATTCTAACGGCCGAATGCGTCGTATTCACGGTCTGTAATAATAATACTTTCTAATTTTTTTTTTTGAAAATTTATGTCACTGCTTAGCGAAAAGTATGTGCGTGTGCTAGCATAAATACAAACTTAAAAATCATATATTTCAATATTCCCCGAGTTATTCCATTGCAAACGAATGCGTGCATTGAGTTTTTTCTACCAATGATTGCAATGTCATTTAAAATCGATATTATTGATTCTTGGAAAAGATTGTGGAAAAAGTCTTTGGTGACCGCACACTATCTGCACCTTGTAAAAACCGAACAATTCAAAGAAAGTGCTGAGAGAGTGTATGCACCGTAAAACTATTTGTTGCAGCACCGACGCGACGCATTAACGATGATCGTGGAAATTGGCGAAAGATTATATTTTAATAATAGTATTACTACGATTGGCTCTCAAATTCCACATCTCCTTTTTCAATTTATCATTATTCAGCTATAGAATATATTTGGTTTACGATGCACTTTCTTTCAAGTTTATGTGTGACTATCGTCAAGGCTGTAGCTAAATCATCAAGCCAATCGTCAAAGTTGACCGTAAAAATTGCTTTTGTATACACAAACAAACTGAGTTGTTCTGTAGTGTATATCCGATATTGTCTGTACAATCGTAAAATTGATGTTAATGGCACCAAGCACGCGTATTCCGGTTTATGTTTTCATACGTCGTCGTTGTTGTTGCTGCTGCTGTTGTTGTTCTTGTCTCCACTCGTGAGCCAGGCCGACTCACATATATACAGATCGTTGTCGATCACTTGTAGTAATCCATGCTGTGAGATTGAGTTGTTCGTATCACGAACATTATTTATGGCATTATCCATTTTCACGCATGCTCAATGGCCTTATGATCAATCTTTACTCACTGTTCTATTCAAGACTTTGGGCAATTTCATTCCGAGTATTACGTTTGTTTTGACCATTTGTTGGTTTTCTTGTTCTTTTTCATAGATTTATGCGGCTGATGAGGCCGTTGAAATTGTGAAGGCTGTTTCGCCGGATAAGAAGACGCCAAATGAACCTGACACAGAAGCCGATCAAGTTGCATTAGAGTCACAGGACCAAGAGTCACCACCGGCTATGCTATTGCCACATGCTCCTCCTCCGCGTAAGTGTACGATCTGTTCTAGATAAAAGAATTGCAGCAAACAAATTTTTGTCAAGATCTTCAAGAAAATATTCGGTTATTATTTGACGAGAAAAATAATTTTGTTTCGATTTTATGTCTTTTGGAAAACAGTTGGTGGTAACCGTGCGAATGTTGGTCAACCTTTTGTGGCTCCGTCACAGCATTTGGTAATTCAAATATTCAAAATTTTTATTTGTCTAAAGTTTAACTTTATGTTTTAAATATAATATAGGCGTATCATGGTCCACCACCACCGCCACCACCCCACTTGGCACATTTGCGTCTCCAACACCCACCGTTACCCCCGCAATATCCATCCCCGCCCCAATTCCCCAAAAAACATCATCCAAATGAAATTCCTGATGAAAAACAATTGACAGCCGCATCTGCAACAAATGAACTGTGGTCATCACCGGCTACTGATACACCCAAAATCATTTCACTCGATGTCAAGTGCGAGAAGAAAGGAATGAAAGTGTTCCTACAATTTGACAAACCATTTTACGGTATTGTGTTTTCGAAAGGACACTACAGCAATATCAACTGTGTGTACTTGCCAGCGGGCTTAGGAAGAACATCGGCTACATTTGAAATAGGTAAATTGACTCATGCCTAAATAAAAAAGAACATTTATTCGAATTTAAATCCAATGAAATTTATAGGAATTCATGCTTGCGGTACATCCGGAAATCTCGAAACTGGCCAATATGGATACGGAAGTGATACAAGCTCGGGAACATATTTCGAAAACATCATTGTACTTCAGTACGATCCACAGGTGCAGGAAGTTTGGGATCAAGCACGAAAACTGCGCTGCACTTGGCACGATCAGTATGAGAAGAGCGTTACATTCAGACCATTCCCCGTTGATATGTTGGACATTGTGCGAGCTGATTTCGCCGGCGACAATGTTGGTTGCTGGATGCAAATTCAAGTTGGCAAAGGTCCATGGGCTTCCGAGGTGTGTTTGTGATTGATTTTACTCGGGTAATTTTAATAAAACAACATTCGTCTTTCTATCATTATACAGGTTTCTGGAATAGTGAAGATCGGTCAAACAATGACAATGGTTTTGGCTATTAAAGACGATGAAAACAAATTCGATATGCTGGTACGAAACTGTGTTGCTCACGATGGTAAACGTGCTCCAATCCAATTGGTTGATCAGCGTGGCTGTGTTACTCGCCCAAAGCTAATGTCACGTTTCACGAAAATAAAGAATTTCGGCGCCAGCGCATCGGTTCTCTCATATGCACATTTCCAAGCGTTCAAATTCCCCGACTCAATGGAAGTCCATTTCCAGTGCACCATACAAATCTGTCGAATCAGTTGCCCGGATCAGTGTTCGGATGGTAATGTCGGCTTGGATGTGCATCATTTGTCTGTTGGCCCTGAATCGCAATATGGCCCTCCGCCACCACCACCATTGCCATTGGATGCCTTCCTCAATGGTGTTGCCCGAAACGATCGACGCATTCGAAGACAAAGAGCCGCCGGAGAAGATCCAGAAAAGGAAATCGGCCTGAATCGTATCATTAATGTGGTGTCATCGGGTGATTTAACATTCCCAATTGCAGCTCCGTCGAATGCAAGCGAAGAACAGCCCACAGTTGTAATCTCTGGCCACGAAGAAGGTTTGATTTGCATGACAACTCCCGGTTTCACGATTGCCTTAGTCGTACTCTTGAGCATTCTGTTCGCATCATGCATGCTGTCTGCCTTCCTGTACATCCGACTTCGTCCTTATTCACTCAGTATCAAGGAGCGTGCAATTTCATTCACTCCAACGCCATCGCCAACACATGCAATCCCAACCGTGAAACGAGTTGCTGGAAATACATTACCAAAAAAACGCTACGCTGTCGCTTATTCCACATGAACGAAAATAGAAAAAAAATAAGATTTCCCCAACGAAAACACGATTTGCAAATCACCGAACATATTTCGAGGAGCAATTTGGAGTTCTATACAATCAACAATACGATACACTCATCAATGATCGAATCGCTTCATTAATAGTATTGAGCATTTAAGAGGAACAAACATGAAAATATCATCCAAAAAACGCTCAATTCATATTTGGATACTTCGATCAAACTCAGTTTTGAAGGTGTTGTGCCATTTAAATATTTTTTGCTTTGTTTTTTACTCTCTTTGCTTGTCAGAATTTATGCAAAATAACAGAAAAAAAACGAAACCAAATCGAACAATTTCAAAGCTTTCCGTGGAAATTCTTTCGTTGCTCATCGGAAACAAAATTGAAACAAGAAATATTTTTTGTAACGGAAATTGATATGATAAACACGTTTGAAGGACAGTTAAATGAAAAACAGTAACAGTACCAAATAAGCTAATAAGATGTTAAGTTTAAAATATTTTAAGTGAATTTTTTTTTCATCATAAAATCCAGCTTATGATGATACACTATACACATTTCGGGCATTAATTTATTTTGTAAAGAAAATTGTTCTATCTTTATCGTACTCCAATTCGAATTGAATCAACACGAAATTTTGTTATTGAAAACTGATGTTATTTAGACGTAGCACAATTAAAAATAATGATCACAAATTCCGATTTAGATTCATCCCGAAATGTATAAATATATTAGCAATATAGTAGTCGCATTTCTTTGACGCCTATCCATACATACTCAAACTAATACACATGACACAACCCATACATCGAGATCAAAGTAAAGAAAAAAGTGTAAAAATCTACCTTCCAAATTGATTTGGCAAAAAAAACAATGATATTATTAACATCAAAACAACAGAATTAATCCATTTCATCAGAATAATTGTAAAATTAGCGAATTTATTCCTCAAATTACTGAAGGAAAACGAATTAACATTGATAGAAGTTGTCAATTCTCATACAAATGCAGACAACGATCAGTAATCGAATTTTGTTTCGAGATCAAAAACAATTTTGGCATCCCATTCAATTTTCCAATTAATACCTACTTTACTATTATTTAAACTATTGTAATTACGATTAACCAATATTTATTGAATGAACGAGGGAAAGAGAGAGAGAGAGGAATGAATTTTTTTTGTATGAATCTTCTATTTTGACTGGTATCTTTTAATGCATTACAGTGTAAGACTAAATGATGTAATACATAAAGTTAGAAAATAAATCGTTTTAAAATTGAAATTTATTAATTTGGATTCATCGTTGGATAGAGTACATTGAATGGTCAACTAGAAGGGTAAGTGAGAAATAATCACAGGTTATTCAGATCATTCTGGAAAAAGGTGTTCATTTTAATTATTCACAGTAAATACTTGCTGTTGACATAATATTTGTTTCTACGCGTTGTTTCCTAATTTGCTGCAGTCATTTTGATCCAGATTTTGATTTTCTGGCTTAAACCTCAAAATCGTTAAACCTTCAAATTTTTGACAAATATTTCAAAGTTTTTCCTGAAGATATGCCACAAATTGAAGAGACCTCCATTTAAAATACGTGCAAAATTGGAGCCTAAATACACGATTTTTGGAATCGGCAAGGGAAGCTTGATCTATATTTACTTACAATTCGTCCAGTCAAATCATCTCTCGACAATAGGAAAAAAAACTTGGTGCAAAACGCAAACAATTTTTCTAATTACTTTTATTTGTCTCTATATAAATTTTCCTTAAACAAAAGATCGCTACAAATGTATGATTTTATAAATGATTTCCAAATAAATAGCTCTCAATTACATTACTAAAAAGCGATATAATATGAACAATATTTTTAATTTTTTTTTCACTATTTTTCTGGACGTAGGAATATTTTAACAAATGTGTGTGTGTGTGTACCATCAATAGAATTTCATGATTGTTCAAGAAATTTGGAAGAATAAGATTGAATCACCCAATTTTCCTAAGAATTGATGCTGATGCGTCGAACAGATGTATTCCAAATTTCGGATTACAAATCAGAAACTCCAAAGATGATCCATATTCCAATAAATTAAATGTATTTTCTGTGGAATCCGTAATTAATACAAGATGCTATTTTGAATTTCAAATAATGTTGCTTGATCATTGATTGGCTGTAGCCATGTGAAGGTTTTAGAAGGAAATCAAAATTGAAGGACTGAACACAAATTCTTGCGAATGAATGGAGCATCTCTAATGTTTTTTACAAAGGAAAGACTAGTAACAATGCCTTCAAACATATCATTTGATTGTCATTGTTTCATCAATAGATTTTTTTTTTCAAATGAATTTCGAAGAGATTAGCTATTCTAAAATTCATCGATATATTAAAGTCTACAATCAATAAATAAATTAAGTACATTTCTATGGGCAAAACAAACGTAATGATAACAACATCAATGGTTATACCAAGTACGAATCATACGGAAGCATTAAAAACTCTCGCTCTATATGCTGCTTACGAATTATGGATTCTGTTTAGAAGTTAGGGCTTAATCTCTTTAGTTTTTGATTATTGCTTTCTTTTCCGTTGTTCCCCGACAATTGTTTTATTCCGTATTTTTTCTTTTTAAATTGAATTATAAACTGGTGATTGGCCAGAGTGAAATGCTTTGGCGGTTTTGCTACTCAAATTACTAAAGTGTTTTTTATGTCGTTTTTCTCTGCTTCATCGATTTCTCTAATTTCCGGCAAATGCTTATTTGCGTTTATTTGTTGATATTGCAGTCGATTCAGTCAAAAGTCATGGAAATTCTTACAGTGTTTTGGTGGCATGACTCTTATTCGCTTCAAACTTTATTGGATGGATTTCCCTATTCCCCAGTCGTTAAGCCTGGATTCCCAGCATCGCATGCGTGCATGTTGTTCATGCGGAATAGTCGAAGAGTCATCCAAGAGGCAAAAGTGTTGGGATTCATGTTGCTATTTTGTGCTTCAAATGCAGCCTTTTGTAATTGATAGCGATAGAGTAATGAGCCAGCGATCAGAGCCGAAACAACGGTTGCTGATGTAACCAAAATGAAGAGAATACTGAAACCAGGTACTGGCATACAAATACCATAAACGACTTCCTCGGCGATTTTTCCTTGGAAAACGGTTTCCGTTTCTGGTTTTCCGTCACGTGGGCTAAAGGCCAAATCGGCTTCAGAAATGACGTCAAACACACCGGTCACACCGATATCTGCACTGCGCGCCTGACGATCGGAAACAACGACCGATCGCCGGTGTCGAGCGCGATATGTACGATTATTAGCGGTAAATGTACGGAAAATTGGTCGCACCTCTTCGCCGAGATTCAGTGATCTTGGTCCCGCCATTGGTGGCAATCCCATGCGATCTTTTCCAAAGTTTCGTGGTCCTTGTGGGAATTTCTCTGCTTTTTCGGCTTGCGCTTTCTTCGCCTCGAGGTATGCTTGCCGTAACATTTCGTGCATTGGTTGGTCTTGTGGCAGAATGTCATCAATTATATCGTCATGAACGTCGTGCACCTCCTGGATTTCGGGCACATCTTTCTGTTGCTGTGGCTGTTGCTGTTGATTCAACGGTAATTCATTGATTTGAGCTTGAGCTTGTGGCAGATCATGTTCCGTGCGAATAAAGTGTGGTGCTTGGGACTGTGGTGGCTGTTCTTGTTCTTGTTGCTGCTGTTGCTGTTGAAGCTGTTGATTTTGGATAAATTGTTGTTGTTGTTGAAGCTGCTGCTGTTGGATTTGCTGTTGCTGTTGCTGCTTAAGCTGTTGTTGTTGGAGCTGTTGCTGCTGCTGTTGTTTGAGTTGTTGTTGCTGAATTTGTTGTTGGATCTGTTGCTGTTGATGCTGTTTCATTTGCTGTTGTTGTTTCTGATGAATAATAGCCTCTGGTTGCTCGACCATCGGACCGTGTTGATGTTGCTGCTGTTGTTTTTCGGCACTGTTCGGTACTTCCTTTGAATTGCCCTTGCTCTTCAGTCCAACAACCTCAGCGATTTGATCGTAGAATGATGTTTCTTCCACATCTTCATCATCGATGTCACTGTCCGGTTCGTTATTTTCATGAATCGTGTTGCGGTGGTCGGATTCCAAATGATTGCTTTCACGTTCGATCGATGGTTCAATCATTTCCTGTTCAATTATATCATGACGCTCATTACTGCCGCTCGCTTGACAATGGTCCAAACATCCGTGACGGCAAATTTCCACTTTACATTTGATATGCACACTTAAAGCGTCCGGGAATTTGAAAGCATGGAAAAATGCGTATGTTATGACCGTTGCTTTTTCATCGGGTTGTCGGGCTTTCAAAAATCGTGAAATCATCTTTGGTCGCAAAACACAACCGTATTCATCGGATAGATTTATAATGTGTCCTGAACCGTCTGACGCTATACACGATTTTACACGCATATCGAATTCACCTAAAATAAACAACGAAAATCGTTTACATTAATCAATCATTTCGAGTTGGCAGCGATTAGTCTGAAAAATACTGGTTTCACCACATAACTGCTTAAAAGTGGACCATTAAATTGAGAATAGGTATGGTCGTGACTTTGAGATTGATTCTAAAACAAAAGCGTTCGGAAATAGTCTGCTCGGTTTTAGCATATTTGAGTAAATATTTTTGGAATGTAGAAAATGTGTTTTAGAAATATTTCATAATGGAAAAATCATTTGGATTAAGTATCGTCGATTTGGGTCGAAGATACTTGTATACAGTTCAAGTTAAAAATGGCATCAAATCTTAAAAAAGCTGACGGTAGATAATCGAAACAGATTATCATTAAAATTGATCTTGAGATTTTATCTAATTGAAATACATTTTCAAAATGACCACTTGAAAATGAAGTGAGCGTTTTAGAGACAGTTTCAGTCATAAATGGCTTCATTCCGTTCATACACTTCAGACGAGCGCCTAAGTATAGTAATTACCTCGAAAGTCGTTAATAGCAACAACAAGTGTAAGTGTCGATCCAATTGGTACAATTCCACTCACGGGTGGAGCCCACGGTCCTTTGCCACTCTGTATTTCCATCCAGCAATCAACGTTGTCACCTTCAAAACGATTTAGCCGTCATTTATTTTAGAATATTCATCGTGTGCTTTCGTTCAGAAAAAGAACCTATCATCATTGAATCAAGAAAATAATACCTCTGAAGTCCAATTGGATAACGTCCAAGTCGGCGATGACCATCGGTGGTTTTGATGCGGTCTTTTCATAATCATTGAACCATTCACATCGGAGTCGTTTCGCCTCGTCCCATACTTCAAGCAAATCTTTGTCGTATTGAATGACAATCTAAATGATACACATTAAGAATGCAATCAAATTTATTAAATGATACAGCGCGCAGAAAATGATTTATGATTGTAACAATAAGCAGTATTAGTTTATTTTGAAATCTTTACGATTTTGCCGATTACAGAATTAATTATGTTAATAAAACCGAATTCCATAGCATTTCTCGGAACGTAACACTGAAAACCATTCATTGACAATATGACATCGGTGACAACCAGTTATATAGAAGAAGGTTATAATTCACTGTTTTAGATTCAATAAACCGTCAATATAATATATTCAGTGTTTGCTCCAATTTCATCAATGAATCGGAATCATTTGCCGATGTGTGTATTATATGAAGGACATTTGCGGCACACTCGCCAAATCGTTCGCGCTCGATGGAGGCAAACGCAACCCGTTAACATACTTAAAATAGCACTCAAGCAATATTTACAGTAAAAATGACCCCAATTTTGAAATCGATGAAGATAAAATGCAACAAGTAACTCGTAAATACAAACAAATCGCTTAATCAAGAATAATAAGAATAAACGTAGCCATATTTCTTACTGTATTCTCGTAAAATTGACCGTTCAGATCAGGTTTCGTACCACACCGTGCATACGCTATCCGAAATGCATAGAATGTCTTTCCCGATGACGGTGGCACATAAATACATCTCGGATCGGAGTGCTGACCTACATAATGCCGTCGCGTTGCGATAAGAAGAGAACAGAACAAAAAGAGGAATGAATGCGTTTGATATTTGCGATATAAAAAGAAGAAACAATATACAGGCTACAACATCAACAACAACAATAATAACAGCAACAAGTGGCATATTACACAGTGCAACAAATTTTGGGTAAAAAAAAGTAATTGGAAACGACCACCATGACATGGAAGTACTCCTATGACATAGCAAACGTCTCGCTGGGTTTTACAATTTTGGCTCGGGTTGTTATTTTTTTCGGCCTGTGTAATTTTTTTGTTTTATATGATTTTTGCAATATTGATGTCATCACTTTTTGGTCAATAACGCATTCAGAATCGGAAATATCGTCTTATTTTGTCAAGCAAAGTTGTAGCGAAGAGTCTAATAAACAAATTTTATGAACAAACTATACATGAAAAACCCATCTAGTAGGTGCTATGGAGCAAAATGTAGAAAAAATTGCCGATTTTTTCAATTTTCCAACCATAACTCGCAGCGTATTCGATTTTTCTGGCCATTTTTTAAAAAACAATTTCAGCGAACATATAACTGATCAACTTTGCTTAACATATCAACTCAAAGAAATCATGTTCTGTCTACCTTTTGGGCTCAAAATCGCTCTTTGGTACCAAAAATGGTCAATTTTCTGAGAATTCTGGACTATTACATGCAAATATCTGTATATTTTTCCATATTTTTTGCTTGAATTTTCGTTAAAGTGTCTCTGCAGATAATGTGGACTTGTTTTTAAGCTAGTCTAGTGGAAAAAAAATCACTTATTTGTAGGGAAATTTCAAGTTTTGGACCATATTTCGAGCGTTTGGTGGACATTTGGCCAAACAAAGTCATGACAACAGCCATATTTCAGTTTTTAATGTATGCTACATTAAAGCCTAGGTTTGCAGCTAAAAAATAGGGCCAATATGATCTACCTATGATGTCCATTTGGAGATTTATGGCTTCCCAAGTGATGACATGTTCATTTAAGGCACTATTTTGGCACTAATCATCGATTAGGCAGCCATAAGTACCCTACCAGACGTCATTGGCATGTGGCATTGGCCTTATTTTTCAGCTAAGAACATCAGTTTTAAAATGCCATACCGCCAAAATTTAAATATGAGTAGTTTAGAGCGAAAATGTAATACAGAAAAGTTGCGCGGAAAAATGTCGATGATGAATGAGCGGAAAAATGATAGCTATATAGTAAACTGTATAGTAAACTATAGTGAACTATATAGCTATCTCTTTTCATTTGACATTTTTCCGCGCAACTTTTCTGTATTACATTTTCGCTGCAAACTACTCATATATCATATGTCATGACTCAATGTTCACCAAACCAAGAGCTTCTGAAGGTTGGTCGTCCAGAGGGGGGTGATTTCAAAGAACCTCAAACCTTTTTGTGCTGTCAAAAGACAGATGTTCTAAATTGAATGTTTTCTATGTCGCCATCTGGTTGGTAATACTAATATCTTCACTGTTCTGATGAAGATTTAATTTGTTTATCCAATTTGATACAAAATCACTTTTCCATTCATAAACTCAATTTAGAAAAGAAAATCACAGTTATTTCGACTTTTTGCATGCAAAGAGTGAAAAAATTGTCATCATCAAGTTTAGAACACGGCACAACCAATTTCAAGTGTTGCAACTTCGTTTTGAAAGAAGCCGAATATTATCTGAAGAAAAACACTAATACAAAATAATAAATGACACATGATTCTTTTGTCTCTTTGTGGACATTAATTCCCACATTTTGACATTTCGCTCCATGGCACCTACTAGATGGGATTTTTCATGTATAGTTTGTTCATAAAATTTGTTTATTGGACTCTTCGCTACAACTTTGCTTGAGAAAATAAGACGATATTTTCGATTCTGAATGCGTTATTGACCAAAAAGTGATGACATCAATATTGCAAAAATCATATAAAACAAAAAAATTACACAGGCCGAAAAAATAACAACCTGAGCCAAAATCGCAAAACCCAGCGTGGGTTTTGCTATGCCAAAGGAGTACTTCCATGCCATGGTGGTCGTTTTCAATAACTTTTTTTTTACCCAAAATTTGTTACACAGTGTTAATCGCACACAATGAACTGAAGATGTGGATTTTATTTTGTATTTAAATACAAATATATTGTTGATCGTTTTTGAAAGCGAAAAAAATGAATAATAAACGATGGTTTCTCTTTCGCATACCTTTTGAGCTCACAATGCCATCGAATGGTGCCGAAAATGATAGATGAACATCCATATGATCCTTACCACACATAACTATAAATTGAGGTAAAACATTGAAAAAAGAATAGAATTTTATTTTAAATCATTATTTCTGATGAATGGGTGAATTTAATGAAGCTTTTTTTCGGAAATTTTCCCGTGGCTTACCTTCTAAAGAATTTATCGTTGGCATTCCATCGGGTCGATCTAGTGGCCATATTTCGTTACCGGCTAATACTAAATTAATCTGAAAAAAATTGTGACAATAGAGTCATTTTAATCTCAGTTGCCGCCGCTGTAACGAGAAACGTTCAAGTTCCGGAACAATGGAATTCGCTTTGCTTTATCACACTACGACTAAGAATTCGTTTGCTTTATCTTGTAAATGTGTTCAGTGTATAGCGATTTAGTGCTATAATCCGCAACAAAATTTCTGTTGTTTTTATTTATTTTTCATATCCAAATAAAATTATGAATTTATGAATCGTTGTTCCGGTTTGAGAATTTGACCATTTCAATTAATTAAAGCAAATTGATCGAGCATTTATAATATGTTCCATTCAACGTATTATTATGGCTTTATTGTGTTACTTTCTTCGCGACCTATACGAAATGGAGCTGAAATTCTGTCTGAGAATACCGTGAGATTTGTTCGTATCACTTCGACGTTTTGTGTATTAATTTGCACTGACGATGTTGGCAACATCATAACTAATCATGATGGATGAGTTTAGGATGATTTTTGTTTGTTTGATTTAATCATAAATTTATTGTTGACTTACCATAAAACTAGAGATTATATAAATGATTTTTAGATCCCACAACCTCGTAGGATCTCTGTGTGAGCTCCACATTTTGGAGCGGATTCTTTTTTGTATTGTGTTCTGTGAATAAGTATCTGAAAAAAAAGAGACGAAAAGAAGAAGACACTTTCAGATTATATTGAAGAAGATGCAGAAAAAACGAAAAACAGCATCGAAATAGATCGAAAGTAAAACAAAACAAAGGAAAAGAAAGCACCACACGCGCCTCAAATCGTGCTTTTGCTGCTATAGCTGATAACAATGAGAAAAAAGATCACACTCAATTCGTTTAAATAGATTGGAATTTGTGATTAATTTACATTGAGATTTCATGTAAATAGAAAAGCACAGTTTTGATAAAAAAAGAAGGCCTATTTTCGTCGATTCAGCGGAAAGAAACGTAACATTTTGCACGTTGAGACTACCATGAGAGTTTGACACAGAAACCGTGTTGATAAAAGACAAACACTTCAATTTGAATATTACTCGCATTCCTTAATAGCATAATCAACCATGGCCGAACTATGTCTGCAACAACACGCTTTTTTCTCGTTTAATTTGCAAACCAGACGATGATAATACCTCTGTGAGATGATAATGGATAGGCCGTTGGTGAATTCGTTGTGAATGTTAACGGTATTTAAGAAACGATTGAAAGTTGGACCAAATGTGCCAGATTATATGGTTGAACGATATCACCCGCACTCGATAAGCTATTGCGTGTTGTCTACCGGCATTTCCATCGGAAATGGTTGTATTTGTTCAACAAAATGGTGTATGGAAGATGATTCGTAATGACAGTTTTAACCGTTTATTTCCGATATCCATCAAATGACCCGATTAAATGAAATCGGAATGGAATTTTAATGAAATTGAAGCCAATTATAAAGCATCATCCGTGACAATCATCAACTTATTTTTATAACTTGTATTTATTCCCCAGTTAATAAAAAAAGACAATTCTGATCAAACGCCGCAATAAGTAAATAAACAGCTTGAATGGTTTTATTCGCTGAAAAGTGGATGTCGAGTAGAATAAAGTCATTTGGAGCGATTCTTACGTTTTTTTTTTTCAAACTGGTTTATGATCTGACTGAGTATGCAGGTGAATTACAATAAAAACAAACTGAGTTGCCATTTATTTTTCATGCAGACAGACAGCCACTGGCTTGCATTCAAGTTGGAAATTAAATAACCCATAACCATAGTAATCATTCTAATATAACAAATTCTATATTGCCCGATGCGGTGGTGCCAAATGAATGTGAAATAATATTTTTTTTGGTCGCCTTAATTGAATCTTACCACAATTGAAATCTGAATACATCAGACAAAAGATTGTTCCACATTTTGCTTCTACTTGTTTGTCATTCATTTTGTTCTTTTGCGAACGAAAGACAGAGGCAAATAATAAACACATCCACACACACAAAACTAGAATGAGTTGTCACAATTATCAAAAGAAATTTTCTGAATAAAGGTAGCTACAGTTTGATTGTATTTTTATTTTCAGATTTTCCAAGACAAATGTTATGCTTTATTCATTTTGTGTGACAAACAAAACGAGAATCAGATAATCACTGGAACAAAATTGTAGTGAAAATGTTGTTTGTTGTATTTTTTTTCGCTCTCTCTCTCTCCCTCTCCCTCTCTCTCTCTCTCTCTCTCTTTCCGTCGGTTTTGTGATGGTGAGAGACAGAGAGAACAGAAAGACGAGAGAAAAAATAGTTATTCACGATCTGTTGCGCTACTCATGACATGGTATTGTACTTGTTAGTTGTACAGCATCGTTCTGTTCATCATCTTATGTTAATATAAATTTCATGCCGTTCGTTATTGTTTTCACGCCCATGAAAACAGTAAACAAAATTCTTTTTCCACCTTTTGATCCATACATTTCCTCTTTCTGTTTTGTGCCATTCCGATTCATTTTTTTTATGCAAATACGTGATGACGTTTACTTGTGTATAATGTCACGACAACAATATGTTTCGAGAGCATTTTCTGATCAACATGCATGCAATCAAGATGAAGTAATTCTAAAATAATAATTCTATTGTTTCATCTAGATTCGAGAGAGAAAAACGAATCTCTTGTTCAAATCTTCGGCCAAATAATAAGTGTCATGAGTATCAAAAGAGATTTACATAATTTCATAGCGAATGCAGTCCGAAAAAGCACAGTGTGAAAAGCCGCGATTGTTTGAAATATACAAGTATCAACATTTGATCCAGTCAAAGTTTGTCTACTGTTTATTTTGCTGGACATTTTCAAGTGAACAAATTTTAACACACTTGAACGGACGAAAGCGTGACCGAACATTGCATGAAAATGGTCGAAAAAAGAACCAGATTTTATTTACATGCCGATTTGTTTTTATGTAAACGTAAAATGAAGTCACAATGACCACGCATACGGCGATAGTGCATACGTTTCGGAACACGTAGAAAGTGAATGAACTCACTTTCTTCACCATTTTTTTTTTGCTGTTTCGATGATAATAGCAAATAATTCGTGGCCATTAGTTTCTAAAAATGGTGCATTTGAAGCTTTTTTTTCTTCATGTTAAACAAATTAATTTCGTTTCTATTGTGAATAAAATTGAGCAGTTTTTGCATAGTTCGTGCGTTCAAATGTTAGTGAATCAGCGATATTTCTTTTTTATACAGCTTTATTTCAGAGTGAGCAATTTTTTTTTTCGAATGTATATTCTGATTATTCATTGATTTTTTTTCCGTTAGATAGCGTTTTTTATGACACCAGAAAAATGGCTGTATTGAAAAACGTGCGAAGAAATTGTGTGGCCTGCTGATGACGAAGATTTCAATTCCGTTGTTTTTTCGTATTTAGTTTTCAAGATCTTTCAAGATTCTATGGAAAACAATGAAAACTTTTATTGGCTAATAGCAAATGGATTTTTTTTCTTGGCTGATGGCATTATGGCCTTAATGATGGTAACAAAGCTGCTCACTCAATTCCATTTACAAATTAATTGAAAGTTCTTTTGTTATGGTTTGGCAACACGCTTTTGTGCTTTGCTTTCATAGGAATGCCGTTTATATATCTCTCTCCTTCTCTCTATCTCTCACTCCGTGAGGACGCGATGTGAATTGATTCATTGTAATTTTGATGCAAATGATCGTACAAGATATTTGAAAGTCTGACACAAAGATGCAAATACTCACACTCATGCGCAGTCTTGTTGAAAGGGATTAGCGTGAATTAATTAAATCGATACATCAAGTCTAACACTTTTGAGTGAAGTTTCATATTTTTGATATGTGAATTCTGTTCAGAATTTCAAAGTGTGCGCTGACCATTTCAAAAGAAGAATCGAGAAGAATGACGTGAGTGTGGTTCGATTCATGGGCAAGATCGGGAAAGATAGAAGCAAAAAAAAGAAAACCATACAGCAAACGCCATTTCGCAGATTTTGCGAGAGCATAAGAGCATAGAGAGAAAAAGCGTTGGCCTTATAAGAAAAATCTAATTTCCTTTGATATATTCGATTCACCAATTCCGAGTTCCGACTCCAATGAATGGAATCGATGGAATATCGAAACGGATGATGAGAAGCTCAATACCCATTACTCATCGAGCATATACACATACTTGAAATGCTCTAATAGTTAGATGAAAATGTACGAGTCGAGCATGATCGAAAATTTTTCGTTCCGTACGTGTTTTTTTTCTGTTGATGTTGTTGCTGTTGTTATTATTTGTTGTACTTGAGCGGTATGTTAACGGTTGATTTTCTCCAAACAGTTCCCGAAGAAAAACTGAAGCGAGAAAGAGATAGACGACTTGAGAAAAGGCATCGGCATACTCCGCTCTCAGTATCGAGATAGAATTACTAATTGCACATGATTTCAGCTGCACAGCTCACGCAATGCATATGAACGATACCAATAATAATCCAAGGTGGATTTCTATTGAAAGTTCGAACAAGTTGATTTTCGTCACGAACACTTCATTTCTGGTGCATGCGTTGCTTCGAAACGGTAGTGCAACCATTTCATTGGAACATTTTCGACGCTATGTGTATGCAGCAGTATGGTGATGGAAAATGAGAGAGAAAGAGCAAGAATATTGCGGCGCATCGAACTGAATCTGATCATGAACTTCAAAAACTTGTTTAAAGCCCGCTGATTCGCACAGTTTTCACACTGATTTTGTTTCAGTGTGTGAGTTTTTTTTCCTCTCTTCACATTTTCGTTCCGCTTTAATTTGTTTTAATTACAACGATTTTTATTATTATCCAAATGAAAATGTGATTGATTTGTTCTGCCGACGTGTGTATCTAGATTGTTATATCTGATATGCAAGCTAAAAATGTGTTTCCCTAGACAGATTACGTTAATTATTGCCCGTTCTTTTAAGACAGTAAATTGATGAATTGATGTTTAAACTGGTCAGCGAATGAACGTGAGGGGGGGGGGAATGGAATGACAAGCAGGTATAAATGTGTACGTATCGCTCTAATATCATGTTTATGTTTTGTGTACATGAAATTGGCTGGTCAACCTATAGAGCAATTCAAATTCATGGTTAAATGATTGTTTTGAGAGCAATTTCTTTTGGCTATTTTCATTCAACGAACGATCAATTGCAAGGCTTCGGTGCCATTTTAAATGACATAAATCAAATCGATTTCATGGCTGTATAGATCGTAAAGAAAGTTTCACAGCGAAATTATACACGGCACGGTCCATCATTTTCCGTTTGCTTTGATTCGTGGCTTTGGGCCTAGGTGAAAATAAAACTTATTTGTACTGTTTTTTTCTGCTATCTTCTCTATTCTCGCCATCTCCTTCATAAAAATCACAAAGGCACATTTTACTGATAATTTTGCAACTTAGCCGCATTTAGCATTTGTTTCGTTTTGAATAGACGAACCGCACGAGCGAACGTGCGAGTGCAGATGCGCGCACGCGCTCTCATACACACATTCTCTTAAAAAACAAGTCAAACTGGTGAAACAATAACACCTAACGTGTATAAAACTTTTCGCAATTGTATATATAGAATTGTTTGCACAGCGACTCGTCAATTAATGATCGGAACCAAAACAGAAAGCAAAAGAATGTCACAATTTTCCATAGTGCGGTCGATGTGTGTGTGTGTGTATATCAAGTTGTACCGCATCCGATATCGGGCATTCAGTTGGAAGGAAATTCAATAGACTGGTGATTGCAAACGGTACACGGATTGAATTCATTTCGATCTGTTTGGCTAGAAAATCATGTTATTTATGTAAATTGCTATTCAATATACAATAAAATCCATATGACACCAAACGAAATCGTGCCAAAAAAATTAATTGAATTTAGTCTCGCGTTTCCACTTTATTACCGCCATAAACTATATGCATGGAGTACGTGGTGAAATGCTGTTCGGCCACACACATATACAGAAAATAAAGGCTAAGATAAAAAGTCGGAGGCTGTTTTCTTGATCGCGAGATTTTTACGATTATCGTACCAAAGAGTCGGATTAAAATCTGTTCATGCGATTAAAATCGATGCATACACTCTTCATTGGCTTCATAAAGCCATACTGGTGTGCTTGATTTTTGTGCCACAGCGAATGCATTGTTCCAAAATGACTGAATTTCGATCTGATCAGTGATATATTCCCAATTCGATTTCAACATTAGATAGTCGCATATGCCGAAAATAACAACGATTCGGCCTGAATAGATGGAACACCTGACGATTTATCGACGCAATGGATTGTGATCACTAGCACACAGAAGAAGTGGAAGAAGAAGCAAAAACTGTACTGGAAAGGCGCTACGGCATTCCTCATACCATGATCTATACCATTTTTCCGGTTGAGTTTTGTGTGTTATGAAATTTAAAATAAATAGAACGAAATGATTTCGAGAGACGAGAAAGAAAGAAAAATGAAAACCTAATAATACATTTTTAATAATAATTTACCGTAAATATTTTGGATTTTTGTTGTTCTTCTCTTTCTGCCACCGTCGCCGTCGTCGCTGCTACTCAAGTTGATTCTTGATATTAAACGAAACCAGTTCAATGAAAACTTCTAGCAAAATGTCTCTTTCAACGCTTCATTCAAGTTTATTTCGATGGAACTCCATTAGCGAAAAACAACCGGCGAGTTCAAAACTGACACAATTTTTTTACGCTAAAAATACCAAACTGTCGAAAAAAATTATTTTTGGCCAAGCTTATCTCGTAATTTTTTTTAAAGACACTACTGGATCATAAAGTTAATATTAATTGGGTGGCTAAAGATCAAAAGATACAAATTATTTAATCAACGGCTACATTAATTGGATTCGACATAACGACGGATGAAATCTTCATTTTCAGTTGTGCACACAAACACACACATACTCATTTCACATAAGACTTTCTCCGTGTGCACATTTTTTCTTCTTTCGTTGTGTCGTCTATTTTCTTGGATTCCGTTTTGCTTTGGCTACTTTCGCCGTTATTGATATTTCGTTTGGACAACAGGACATCGATAAATGTGTTTTTTGATCGGAATTTCAGATCGTTTTGCCAATTCAGAATATAGAATGAGCCAAATGAGCTCGTACTGTTTCGTGTGTTCACACTTTTCGCACAAGCCAGCGATCGTTTCAAAATCGCCCAAAGTACTATGTAATTTAAAAATTATGCATGTGCACATACACACCAAACCTTATAACGAGAAGAATAGAAAGAAAAAGACGAGAAAAAAATGATAAAGAAAAATCGAAAAAGAAAATAGAGTTGTATGTCGAATTTGGTTATTTATTTGCGTCCGCAACAAACGTAAACAAGACACACTTAGATTGGTAGGTAGGTCAGAAGAAGCGCACCAGCGATCCAATTGAAGCTTCAAAGTCAAGTGAGTGAGCATAGCATATAATTCTTGTATTCTTCTATGTGTCTTTTCTATTTGTTCATTTATTTCTTCTGCCTGCCGCCTATTTGCTTGTTGCGATGTTTTTTTTCCAACGCTGTTATATGTTACGTCTTTTCTTCACGCTATACTGCGAAAAACACTGAGCACCGTTTGTGAGCTGCGAAAAGGCGAGACAGCAAATTGGCCAGGGGGAATAGCTATCGTTTGAATTGGCCTGTCAGACCACTTCATAGTTTTGCATTTCAATTTGAATTTGAAACTGAACTGAACAGGACTGGACGTTGATCGAAAGAAAATGTTCAAATCATACAAAAGCTGGCGAAAACTCGGGCACAAGCCTGGCACATGAAATTGTTTTACTTATCACGCGGCCATCAGTCAAGGTAATTGATTTTAAGTACAGCCAAATCTGACCACAGAAGAAAAAAACAAAAGTTCAAACCAAATCGGTTTTCGGAGAGATCTACAATTTGAGATTAGTCAGCTCGAGGTCGGAGAATTTGATGGAAAGTTCCGTTCGCCTCACGATCGATAATAATTTCGGAAACCTGATGCCGATGCTGACGCTTATGTGTGTGTATTTGGAGTTTCCGTGAATGAAAGTGGGCGAGTGTGTGTTGGTTAATCGAAAGAATGACCGCGATTCGGCTCACTGTCTCATTGATGACTGACTCATGTGAGAACTAAATTTTATGCATTCTTTTCGTATTGAAAAGCGAGAAAGAGAGAGAGAGAAAAGGGAATAATTCACTTTCACCGTTCAAACTCCAAAGAGCGGAATTGATTTCTCAGAATTCCTGTCGATACCATGATGCGATGATTATGAATACAGATTTGATAAGATTGCTGATTTATTTTTGGTAATTCCTCCGAAAAAAAACATGGATTCAATTAGAATATCAAAGGTTCCCATTTCTAAGCCGTGCATCATTTAACCCGCTAACATTCTGTGTGTTACCACGAGTTTCCGCTCTCACAATCGTCGACTGTACCATTGACAATGCGCAAACAAATACGAATGCGTTCGTTAGATTGTTCTCTATTCTTGTTGATTTGTTTCTTTCTTCATTTCTCTTCTCCACAATTTTTTTATTACGGTTCCATCTAATTTTCTCCCGGTTTCGAGGCGGTGAACATCGTTCGTAAAAAGAACATCAAACACACGATTAGTGAAGCCGGCGGCGGCTGTGAAAAAACATCAACAACAACAACAAACATCCAAAGACGCAAAGCGAAGGAAAAATAAAATCATTAAAGTGACGACGATGACGACGACGTTTTTTCGCCGTTGTTTGCGTTGCGCGATCGAATACGAATATGTGTGTCAACTTCGTTAAATTGAATCATACAGCGAGCGGTGGCTATTCAAAATAATTAATGGATTTGAGGGAACAAGTTCAACCAATTTCAAATGTCCGAAATTAATCCATTAGCGCCTGTGTGTGCGCCTATAATTCATTGTCTTTTTCGCCAACCTCCTCATTTATCATAATAATGAAAGCGTTTGAGAGAAGAAAAAAAAGTTTTTTGATCGAGTCTTCAAAACTGTAATTCATGAGCGAGTTCATGTTTTTTCTGACTTATGATAGATAATGATTGCTTTTACAGTGTTTTTTTTTCTCGAATTTTAAAGCTTTCATATAGTATGTTATTTATCTGCGAGTAACAATTTCAAGCGGTTAACAATTGGAACAAGAGCATCGCTGAGTGATGAGTGGCGCTTTAAGAAAATATTATGATTACATATCAAGATGTTGTTGGAAATCAAAGAAGAAGAAGACTCAAAATCATCACTGCTCGAAATTAGAGTTTCGTTTCAAAACGGAGCTAATCTCGCTATATAATTTTCCACTGTAAACCGCTTCATTATCAACATAACTAATGCTAACTCGGCGATACTGTTGCTGTTGTTTTTCATTGCAAGTACCGTTTTTTCTGCGTTAAATTGAGCTACCGCACAATTTAGTCAAGAGTTTCGATTCTTCATGCGTCAAGATTTCTCTTGGTAACGATATTATTGACATGGTAAATATTGTAACCGCAGTTTGAAGTGTCATGCCTGTTTTTTGTTTGTCGCTTGCCATTCATTTAATGATTTAAAGCGTAACTTACTGCTCTCATATCTGTATATCAGATGTAAAAGTAAATTTACGAATACGACATTATAATTTCACTTTATCTCACTTGTTGAAAGAATCGCAGCGCAAAAAGAAAATTAAATAAAATAAAAGAACTTGCTTACGCAAAATGGTGAAATAGCTCTGAAAGCCAAGAGCGAGCGAGCGAGAGAAAGAACAGCGCGGTGCGCGGTGTGTTGATTTCACTACACTCACACACACTCATGCACGCACACTGACTGTTTCTTAAGTTGAACGGGAAAAGGCATTGTCGCACCATGTTGAGATCGCGCTCGCGCGCACTCTCTAGCTTTCAAGCCCGTTCTACAACAACAATATGTTGGTCATATTTGTTTTATTTATATGCGTATTTAAATTAAATAGATGGGAGAAATTTGTGTTGTGTACAAACGAGCAAGCACAAATGATACACCGGTTTCTTGGCTTTCCGAACATTTGCTGCTTTCGAGATATGAACTCTTGGTGCCGTGAATATTTTGTCTGCTGTGTTTCTCACCGTTGTCGTGGTGTGATGACAATTTCTTGAGAATATGATCATTGATAGTGCCAAATTCTGTCAACAATCGCACTGCACTTTGATTATTGTTCACATTACAATAAATAAATGAGATGAATGGAGGTGATTTATTGCTTGTGACTTTCGCACACACACATATCTGGAAACATACTTTTGCGCTGATGACACTCGAAGATCAAACGAATACCGGAATGCCAGAGTCATCTTCAGTCAGTCGATCATCATCATCATCAATGGAAAATTTGATCGAAACAGGCATTTTGAGCGAACGAAAGAATGTGAGAATATATCAAGTAACTGAAACGTACGATGGTATGTATGTGATGAGACACTCTCTTCTGCGCGCACCGATAACACCCGATGATGAATCCTCGACAACACGATGAACAAGAATATTAAAATGAAACAAAACACCAGCCACGACAACGGCAACAACAACAACAACATGATGAAGAGCAGACTAGCTGCTCAACTGAGCCAACAGAGTGATCAAAATGCAATTTTTAATCTCGTTACATTTAACATAAGAATTGAGGTCACCGAACAGTTACCATGCACACATTCAGCGTGTGTACAAAATCACGCATGCCAACATCATTTGCAGCGTATCGTCTCTTATTCTCTCGTCTTGTTCGCCTCGTATATTTATTCGAGATTGTTCGTCTCAGATGCTGAGGCGCTGTGTGTGTGTTTTTTTTCTTTCTTTCTCTCTCATTTTCTTCACATTTCGTATGACTATGGTGCACTTTCATAAACCAGTCATCTTCCATCGAATTCTTCACTTGTAATTTTTTTTCCGTCCGCCTGTTGTGGCGAGAGAGATGTGATAACGATTTTCCTATATATACGTATTTATACGGTCCGATTTCTTTTGGTGGTATGGCCAAGAGGCTTGCATGGGCCGAACCGAACCTATCCAACGGTTGATACGCTGAATTTTGTGGCAATTAATCATAAAAGTTAATGAGTCCGTGAAAAACAACAACTAATTTTCAATTTTTGCTTGTTGATTTTTACGTTTCGCATTGAAGAAACCACTTCGGTTAGTTTAATTTGATTCTAAAATCGTTAAAATTCGATCAAATTAATACTCTCCATTGGAAAACGGGGGAATATTGTGTGCACAAAAAAGTCAAAGATTCTATTTTCGCTTGTCACCCATTAACCATGGACCCCTTGAAAAAGTTGAATTTTCACTTATTCTACAGATAACAAACACAGAAATTGAAAACACAAAAAAAAACTTTTTTTTTCGTTCTCACAATCAAACTAAATTTCGAACTCACACCGAAAATTTTCTCTTGAATTAAACTACGATGTTGATTAAGTTTTTCCTTTTGAAATAACGTAGCTGCACGTGCTAACGTCTAAGCAGTCTACCACAGAGTATTTAATGATGGTGCAAAAGAGTCTCGCTTTACCTGTTGCTCCAACAGAACAACTGTTTTTTTTTTTCGATTCTCTTTTGTATCTTTCTCCCATCGGAAACGCTTGTGCCTCGCATTGCTTTCTTTCATTCACCGTTTAAGCCATACTTCGACCTGCTGCTGCTGCTGATGTTGCTTGTGCCGCATTTTTCCTCCTCTTCTCCTCTTCTCCTATTTCTTTTCATTTGATTCGATCGTCCGTTGTTGAATAGCGTTTTGTGCAGACGTTACGAATAGAGATGTGTGCCACCGTAGAGCCACAGACGGATCCAGTGTCTGCAGCACGGCAATTTTGTTGCTCTGCTAACCTATAGAAAATCGTACCGAGCTAGAGCTAAAGCCAAAACGAAAGCCAAAGCAATAAAATGACGCGCGGTTCGGCAGAACAAAAGATGGATCTAGAACAGAATCAATATTCCGACTCAATTAGTCTAAGACTTTTCGGATTTGATTTGTCGATTTGCTTTTGCGCACAGCACGCCGAACACTTTCCAAAATCGATTCATCTTGGTTTTTGTCTTTGAAAGCGTGCAGCGATCATTTCAGTGTGCGCAATCCAGTTTGATTTGGTTTCTCTCTAAACGCAATCTCATGAACATAACTAATCCAAATTCGAAGCTCTCAATCTTGCCCGTAAAATGAAATAAGAGAACATTTTCGATGACGACGGCAACTATGATGATGATGATGATGATGATGATGATGATGACGACGACGAAACCCGAGTTCTAATACCAACACGACATTGTAATCATAGCAAAGTATAGTAACGGTCTAAATAGCACATATTCCGCAGCACCTTTTTATGTATGCGCATAAGAGAATCATATATGGGGTCCGTTGGTTTTGGTTCTCTGGAAACCACATAGCGCATTCGGGTTTTATGGCTTCCAACCGTTTCATCTTTCTTCAAGAATGCATTGATAGCTCACGAACATATTCTACGTATGATTATTGGCTGCCGCGTCTTTTTCTCTTCTCATTGGTTTTATATGAATCTTGATCTCCACATTGAATGCTCACAGTACTGGGAAGAAATGTGCTTGAATCAAAAGACAAAGAGTCTTTCGTTGCGGCTTTTCGGTTTTATGAATGGGAAAACGTTCTGTTAATGCTGGGAGAATCTTTAAAATGCTTTTTCCAACAATTAATTTTCACCAAAATAGCTAACAACATTTGGCTGGACGCTGGCTAATTAAATGAAAGAAAAGTAGTTTGTTTCATTTTCGTGGAAATCAATGCAGTCGATTAATTGATATTAACTGCTCTATTTGATCATCGATAGGTTGGATATTTGACGCAAATCGAGGCTTTTGAATTGATTACATCAAAACACTACTAGACATGCAATTTACGGCATTTTTGAAATGCATTTGTAACTAAATCTAATTTTATACCAGCGATAATAAATCATACTTTGCTACACTTAAAATTAGAGGGTAATGAAGCATTCAATCTTTTTTTCTGAATAAATTTGGACTAAATTTATCTAATAATTTGAAATGTACCAAATGGTTTATTTTAGATCTAAACTTTTATGGCTTGCAATAATGTGTATTGCTTCTAGTATTTACACCAATTTTCTCTCAACATACACGAAAATCTCATATTTCAATTATATATAATATAACAAGTGCCATTTGAAAGGCAATCGATTCTTTCAAATTTCCCCCATTCGTAAATATACGGAACAATTCGCATAATTTAATTCCAATTTCAATTCCGTCGATAATTTAAATTTATCGCGTGAATGAGAAAACTTTTATTCAAAATTCAACATATCTTCAACAATATCATTTAATGAGCACGCAAACAGCCAGTCAAATAGAAAAAAATGCTGCGAAAAGTTCAGTTCGGCTCATCTACACTTATCGAAATATTACGGATCAATCATTAAAATGACGGTCCGTCAGTGATGATTTCGTTGCGATTTTCTGCTAACAATAGTTACGGCCACTTAACCGGGCGGGGAAATGAATTGAATCATTTTTCATTTAATTCATCATTTAGAAGAAAGAAAGAGAAAACAAAAGCTACAACAAGCGATTTGATTTGAGAAAAAAAAACAAAATCAAACAGTTTGAAGATAGCTCTGAATGCGTGTAAGTTATTGTGTGATTTTTCCGATTTTCTGATTCTCCATGCACACATTCATTTCTCTTGAATATACTTTCATTGCGATTCCATCTCCAATAAAATCAGCTAACAAGTTTCGCATATCAAATTTGAATCATTCTTTGTTTGAAAATAATTTATGTTGCATATTCATGTTTTGCAAAGGTTCTCATCTATTCGCGTTTTTTGTTTGTTTGTTTGTTCATTGTGAAATTGCAATGGCGGGTATTAAAGCGATTATGGTTCTTTGTGTCTATGATCTGAATTCATGTCTTGCGGTTTAATTGGTTGGAATAAATATAGCCGAAGTGACACGACGTTCGTTTTGTTCTTCAGCAAAAGAACCATTTTGCAAAACTCGGATGAAATTGCGTCGCAATGAATCACTGTGTGCTTAACCCACTTTCAAGGTGCATAAGTTTCGCTGACAGAGTCATTACGATGAGAGAATCCATTACTTAATACTATATAAATGCAATTAAAAGTAAACAATAGTTGGATAATATTTGAAAACGGTTTTATTATTTCACTGCACATATGCACGCACGCCACTTGTCATTTATTCCGAGACGGAAAAAGCCGGTCGTGTTGGTAAAGTAAATATTTTGATCCAATTCAATGTAAAATTCTCATGAATTATTCCCCTTCATAAATACGTCAGATGATGCTTTGCGGCTAATAAATTAATCACGTTTTATTTCTCGGTGCCTCTTTTGACTGCTAATAACCGCCCGTATTTTCTTTTTTTTTGTATCGTCAACATCACATTGCGGATATCAACACATATCTTTTATTGTTATAATTAGAACATTTACTAGCACCGTAAAATAATGATAAAAATACGAGTTACACGGGTGAAAAGAAAATGTAATTAATAAAACCATGAGTAGCAATGAATATGATTACCCCGGGACTAACACTATTCAAGATACACTAGTTCTTCACGAATTCATACGCATGTTTATGTATGCCATTCAAACAAACAATTTAGACTAAATGTTTTTGGGATATCAATTGATAACAGCGAAACAAAATACGCACATGGTCGTTTAGAATCCATACACATGTTTGCAAATTTCTTACTCATTTCGCAGAATAATCACTCTTGATAAATTTTTGCACGATTCAGTGTTCACTGGAGTATGAAACGCTGCAAACTGTCGGCAAGTTGTGATAGAAAATGGTCGAAAATACGTTCCAAAAGGCAGCTGATGGCTCTAAGACAAATGAAGTGTTCTACATTTCACCAATCGTTTACGAAGGTATTGATTTAATTGAATAAAATGAAAAACAACATGAAATTTTACTAGATTGTGTGTAAACGTTTAGTGTGCTTTCTATTGAATTCTGTGAAATTTGGTTTGGCGTAGTTCAGTTTCTATGATGAAATAAAAAATCATTTCTAAGTGATAATGATTCATTTTCTTAAGATTTTTGACTTTGAATAAATAAATGATTGAAAGATTGAAGAGTGTATAAATCTAATTTCTTTGTGACTGTGAATTCAGTGAATTTGTATTTGGACTCCCGGGGCTCTCACTCCTATATGTGTTAAACAATGGAATTTTGTTCATATATATGTTTATATGAATTTTAACCTTCTGGCTGTGTTTGGGTAAATTGAACATGGACTGTTTTTAGTGACATTTTTGTCACCTACGTATATAAAAGAAAAATAACATTTTTTTCAATATTTTCCTTTGAATTTATATGATTTTTGATTGAACACAATATTATCTTCATTATTTATGCATTTATTTATATCAAATAACACTGCAATCTTTGAACCATTCGAAAGTTCGATGTGTAGATGCTGCGTTTGACAAATTTTGATTTGGTGATTTTTCTACTCGTCATCAAGATGTATTTGCATGTGTCAGAGAAAAACCGAAAATACATGATGTCTCTTTCAACTTTTTGCTGTTTGAGTTGAGAAGACTCCAAAGTTAATGTACAAGTGTAAAATACAGAAAAAGATTCATATGCAGTAATAATCATATTGATTAGAAAACACATGTGACATTTTTGTCACCAAACACAGTCATACTGGTGCGGAATTTAATTTTATATGAAAAGTTGAATTTTTTAAAGAAATTTTTCGTTTTATATAATAGATTTAATGGTCGGAAGAGCATTCCTAAAGTTTCAGATAAAAAATTTCATGAAAAGTTATTTTTTTCACTTTTTATAATGAAAGTGACAAAAATGTCACCAAAAACAGTCAGAAGGTTAATTGTTTTACATACCCCAATTGCATTAACAAAAATCCTTACAAAGTCGAGAAAACAGTGAAAGGTTTGTGACATTACACTAGCGCCAACGAATAAATGCAATGACAGATACGGCAAAATTCACAACTACTTTTCACTATGAGCTACCAGTTTCTCAGTATGAAGAATTGAGGCCTGCTTCAGTATTCTCATTAAAACTCATGTCTACAAATAGGAAGAAAGATCAAGTATTTGCAATAGCAAAAAATGTTGTGAAATTCAATTGTAAGTTGATGTCAGTGATTTGCGCGCTCTGAAGTTTTATATCAGTTACACTGTTCGGTGAATTTCTTCAACAAAGAAAATGTGTCTGCTGAAGCAAGCCTTATATGAAATTTCCAGTTTTTACACGTAAAAGTCTTTCTGATTTAAAGAAATGTGTCTCATTTTTAGTTCTGAAAAATGCTTGTATTTATTGCAACAAAAGAATAAATTATTAAA